ATATATTGCTGTCTATGAAAATAATCAAGGATTCCACCAGCATATTTCCATTTCGAAAAATCAATTTTATCCTGAGAGGATCAAATTTAAAATTAACTGCAAGATCTTGTTTCTTTTTTTTTTTAGCTTGTGTACATATGGTGTGTCATGTGACAATAAATTTCTTATTAACTCGGATGTAACGGGAAAATTTTAATAAAAGCTTTGAGTTTTATCAATAATAGATTATATTAGACCGAGATTTTCACTTCTCTTAAATTAACTTTTCAGACATCTTTGAGACTTTCTAGATTACGCAAGTGGTGCTAATTCACACTGGATTTATATTATTATACAGCGAGTAAGTGTAAGGCAGTTGATGAAATTATCATAAAATATAAGAAAATGCTGATTTTGGTAATACCCTTCGATGTTCCTCCTTTTCGCATATCATCTGAAACATTCTGAGCTTTAGTTATATAATATTGAAATTTTACTTTTATTAAAATTATTTCGTTCTAATTGTGTTTTCGATACATTGCTTTATTTTAGTGGTTTCCTTTCCCCTAATACTATAATTTAGAATTCAGCCAGGAGTTGACCGGTCAAACTTTAAAACTCCATTTTTTTTCAAATTTCAAAATGATGTTCTAAACACCAAGATCTTTAGATGTTATACGATTTATATAGAAATTAAAAAAAAGGAATTTTTCTGAGAAAAACTTTAATTTGTGTTTTAAAGGAATTTACAATTTTTTGCTACACCATATACATTTGACTGATTAAAAATTTTAATTTTGATCAAATTTGTATAAGCAACCATTTATCTCTATTCTTTTTTTGTTGCTTTGTTTATTCTGAATAGATTCGCCAAGATTCGTAAATATCGTCGTTAAAGCTTTCGTAAATTTGCCTTCGTTTAAAAGTTCCTGCTGTTCTTTGATTATTTTTTTGAAACTATTAATTGCTAAAAATCAAATTTAAATTTAATGACTGAAGAAGTATGTTTAAAATATTTTTTCCTTAGCATTTATAATTTATATTTTCCTACTTTTAACTGGTGGATATTTGATATCTATAAACAAACCCCACTGAGTATATAGGTACCGTTCAATCTACTAATAACAATCAGATGTTTCAATTCATCAATAATCTGATTAATTAGATGAATTTAAAATAAAAATTGAACTATTGTTCAGGAATACTATATAAATTGTGAATGCAAATAGTTATAAAGGGATGCAATGGACTGTGGGGAGAGAGAGAGAGGAAGAGAGGTGAATCTTCACAATCTCATTTAGAACCTTCTACTGAATTACGAACTATGTGTCCCTGATAAATGATATCCCGTCTAGATGACAATGCAAGGTGATCATGTATTGGCTACAATGATGGTCATTAAATTATTTTTATTCATACTCAGCTAACTCCTCAGATTACCTTATTGATTCAAATCATCTGATTAAGTAATTCATTATAGCATTCTTATGAAATCTTTATCAGCTTGATGTTATATAATTGCAGTTGAAATAAAAAAAATTAATAAAATTTTTGGATAAACAAACAAACATATGGGAGAATTCTCATCGGCTGCATAATACAAGTTATGGTCATTGGTCGAAAGTACGAAAACCATTGATTTTTTACATTGCTCATCAATAGCCCAAAGGGTATTCAACTGATGTGCTAATTGCTCATTACCCTAAAAGCTTTCATATTCGCTTGTTTTACATTTTAATTAATTTTTTAGCAACTTTAACCAGAAAGTTAAATAGATTTGCCATGACAAGGTTCCAAATTTATAGCATTGGCTGTAAGTTAAAACTGTTGAGATTCAACTTCATGCTAGCAGTATCAAACTTTTTGATATTAAAAGCTAAATTTCATCACTAAACCCTAAGTTAATACTTGGAATATTATGCTATTTCCAATTTGAATTCAGGAGAGAAAGAATAAAGATAAGTGAAGAAAAAAGCACAGAACAAAAATAATCATAAGCTGAGAACTTCGAAGAGAAAAATGAAACAAAAAGTTTAATTGTTTTCCAATGAATTTTGTTCATGAAAAAATAGAAAATTTTTGATGGTAACCTGTTTTGTGATGAATAAAGTAGCATCAACACCTTTTGTGGTGCAAAAGTCCGCACTTTGATCACCCGAGGTTCGTTGTGACAGTTGAAGCAAATCATTGTTCAGTCGATATCTTTCTTGTTCGGTAAATTGCTAGAATATTTTTTACAATTTCCATCAGGATAACGCTTAATTAAATATCTTCAAGCTATAGCAGAAAGAACAAAAGGATAAAAGGAAGGAAATTGATCAGAGATGATCATTTGTCATTTTTAATCACTTCATCGATTTCGTTTTTTTATTTCACGACTCATTTCTTGAATGGACTATTTGTCTTATTAGCTATGAAGATATCAATATTTAAAAAATGATATTTTACAAAGTCTAAGCAATATTATTTTTGATTAATAAAACTTCCCATTATTGTCTCGAAAGATATTTCGAATAAGTTTTAGGAAGTTATTTCGAGTAAGTAATTAAGCAATAAAAAATTGAATAAAAATAACTTGATCTGGATCACACACATATCCTTTCGATTTTAGCCCACAATCACTGTAGCCATTAGTACGAGGATTTGGAAAAGTATTCACTGCTTGTTCTTGAGCAAAGCAAAATTGAATGACAAGCAATAGCAGTATTAATAAGTTACAATGCCACATTCTGCAAAAACTTACAGCAGTTTTAACAAATTAATTAATTTATGAAATAAATATCTAAATATTAAAATCATAATATATTAATATCTACTGTTTAGTGATTTTGAATAAAAATAGAAATTATTTAATACAGCTAATATAATATTCAAATTTGTAATTTTTTTGTTAAATTTTCTTATAATTGCTTTTTGCTGTTGATATTTTGAAATGCTAAATGAAAAATGGCAAAACAAAAAGGATGATATCACTGCATGGATGAATGCCTAATATTTCAAATGATTTTCTGGTATGAATGCATGTTAGTTGTATTAAATGAAACGAAATATTTGAAGTGGAAAATAAAAAAGAAGACGGAAAGGTAATGTAATTAAGAAAAAAAGAAAATGTTCATTTTGTTCATTCTGTCAAATCAATGAAAAATGAAAAGAAAGAGAAGAAGGAAAACAGTTAAAAACAAAAGTTAGAAGGAAATGACTGAACAAAGACTTCAATTTGTTCCTATCTGTCCTACTGATATTAGGAAGAAGACTTTGTTATTAAAATATTTAACAGAACTGAATGTAGTATATATGTAAAAGTATGACGAATTCAGAATGCAATTGAAGATATCTCAAGTGATATAGATTTTTAATTAAAAACTGATCAAAGTGAGATTATCGCAGTTTTATTTTAAACTAAATTATCACGAAATCAGATAAGGTGATGAAAGTATGCTGATGAATAGTTGAGTGCAGTGAAGTGTCATTGATTGTAGAGGAATGATTGAGAGGAGCATTCCTCTCTAATATAAACCTGCACTTATTCGTCTCATCTTTCTATCAAAATAAAATCATATAATTCTTTTTCAATATTATTCTTTTTTCTGCACTTTTTTTTTCATTTTTATATACAAATACGAGGAGAGATAACCTTTATTATTCATTTTTATTACCACAATGTCATCAGAAAATTTTGCATTGTTAAGAATAAATTTGAAAAATAATTGAAATTCAAAAAATTTTACTGCCGATCGATTCAGCTGAATATAGGTGGCTAAAATGAAGTAAAAGTGAATGTGAAATTGGAGTAATGATAAGAAGGGAATTGCAGAATTTTTGAATAAATTGAATTTTATTTTTTGTAGATACAAACACATTTTGTAACTTGTAATTTTTGCAATAATTTAGAATTTGAATTAATCTAAAATTTATTGATTAATTTAAGTAATCTATAAAGCATAGAAAAATATCTAAAAGAAATGATTGGCAGCGAAATTGATCCCACTAGTTAATAATTAGTGATAAAAAGTGCCGAAAACAAATGGTAACTCTCCGTAATAAATTAATCCCTAGAAATATCTGATAGCTAAGGAATAATAGTTGTACTAATGACTGAAAATATATCTTAGAGAACTCTATAACGTTATTGAATTTGACTTGACTTTTTTATGACTTGTTTCCACTATTGCTAGGTTTGACTTTTTTCTAAAAATTTTTTTATTGAATCTTTATTTGTTAAATCACATTTCAGTGTGACACATTTCAGTGTGATTTAACAAATAAAGATTCAATAAAAAATCTATGAGATTTGACTTTATGCTACATTAAGTCTCTATGAAGATATTAAATTCCATTTAAGATTCATTCGCAGATTAAGATTTTTTGAATTAGTTAAAAAGTCTGAAGTTTCAGCTCGGTGATAAATTAACGAAATTACAATCAGACGTGAGTTCCTTGGCAGCATATAAGGATGTCTTGTTTTTTCATGCATAAATCCAATTATCTACATATATACATATACATAAGTGTAGTAAACTGTAATATGAAACAAAATTATTCATTTATATTTCTTTATATGTTAATGTCATTATTTACAATTGTTCTATTCATACATACATATATTTAGCAATAGATCTGGGAAATACATCTGACTGGCTAATGATTTTAGCCAAGATTTCATTGTTAGTTAAATTTTATTTTCGAAGGAAAAAAGTAGAATGGGAAGAAAAGCAATGGCATGAATCCATTTTTGGTCTGTTAAATTGTTAGATGAGAACTAATTAACGGACTCACAGTGATGTAATAAGAACAATGTAATCCATTTGCTAAATTCCATCACAAACAGACACTAAATGATTTCTCCGCATATTTATCAATTAGATTGAATACATAAGATGAAGAGAAACATAATTTTTCATACTGATACTGTCAGAATAACATAATTCTTTGTGAAACAGAATATTTGGGATATGAAGTTGTATTAGCAAACTGAAAACCTAAACTGATAACCTGATTATTGTAGCAAGGCCCTAAAAATTATGCTGAATGAAGCAAGACTAGTTGTCTGGATGGTTTGGTTGGGGTGGGTGGCGGTGGGGAAGTGGAGTTTGGTTGTCTTGCACAAGGTGGGTTATAGCTTTCGTCTGGAAACATAGAAAAGCGGGTTATAACACTTGGATTCAGTATGATTCATAAGGCATTTTCTTTAGATATGTTTATCACTTTACTTATAATATGCAGTGCAAACTGTAATATCTATCAGTTTTCCAAGATGTCTAGATTTTGAACCAAATCATTGTGCTGTTTTCGACACCTTAATCAAGTTTTTCTTGTTGTGGTATTTTGATATGGAAAATGGTTTTTGCTGTGGTTTGTAGTAAGTTAACGTACAGAAAGTACGGGAATTCATTTAGGAGTTTCATTTTTTATTTATTTAGTTGGAATTGTCCATTTTTGATGTTTTCCAGTGGGAATTAATTTTGAGGCAAAGATTAGGAAGAGTATTTTTGTGGGCGGGGGTGTCATATTTTTTATTTTCTTCGTTCTTGTTCCTGTAGAATGAGAACATCTATGAGCTGGAGGAAAAAGTTGTTTACTTAACTGGATTCAGACCTTGGAGTAATTAATTCCTTGGATGTATCGTCTGTCATTTGTTTTAATTCTTCGATGAGTAACTGCTTATGGTTTATGTTGTATGTTAGATTACACACATTTTGAAGTATTTGCTTCTTTTCTGTGATTACCGATGGAACAATGATACTTTTAAAGTGGACGATGAAAACCATGATTGAAATTAATTTTTAGTTAGTCGGACTTGCAATGTCTCATCGTAAATTTTCGGCTCCACGACATGGATCGATGGGTTTTACACCCAAGAAACGATCGAAACGCCACCGTGGAAAAGTTAAGGCCTTTCCCAAGGATGATCCCTCGAAACCGATTCATTTGACTGCATTTATGGGTTTTAAGGCTGGGATGACTCATATTGTCCGTGAGGTATCATTTTCTTATTCTGACTTTTTGATGTTTGTATTAGTGAGCAATGCACAATGATGAATTCATTGACTATTGTTTGAGCAATAGAGTGATGAGCCATAAAATGTTCCCTATTGGACTGAGTGCTTCATATTTGTGTTCCAACTAGACATTGTATAGTTTCACATATATTAAATATGTGGCTATTATAGGTTGATAAGCCAGGATCAAAGGTTAATAAAAAGGAAGTTGTCGAAGCGGTGACAGTTCTGGAAACACCTCCAATGATTATCGTTGGTGTGGTGGGATACATCGATACGCCGCGCGGTCCGCGACAATTTAAGACAGTATGGGCAGAGCATTTGTCAGAAGATTGTCGACGAAGGTTCTACAAAAATTGGTACATTTACTGGATTTCTTTAGACATTTTCATCAGTTTGCAGCATTGAGGATGGGTTGTGGTTTGCTTGGTGGTGTTGTGGGTAAAGTGGTTTGGAAGTGGGTGCCCGGGTTCGACTCCCAGGTCCGCTTGTGCAAAATTCTGAAAGCTGTGACGAGAGGCTAGGAAGAGATACTTACTAGTTATGAAGATAGCAACAGTCCTAGTATATGCTGCCTTCCTTCTGAGCTTTCGTTTTCTAACATGACTGTAACGTTCCACGCCTCAATGTCATTTTGCTACATTTGGAATGAATTGGTTACTTCAGTGCACGGTTTTGAAAATACTGTCACTCTCCTCTGCAGTGTTTTGCATGAGTAGCAAATTCAGTCGTCGGAGAACCGACCTTCCGCTGTTACAAATGTTGTCAGTGTAACATGAAGGCCACTAAAACGGCGTAAGAAGCGGGAGCTTTTTGTTCTTTGCTTTTACACTGTTAGAGTTCTCATATTCCACAGGAATTCATCGAAGAAAAAGGCATTTCAAAAGCATGCGAAGAAATGGCAAGATGAGGATGGTATGAAGTCGATACAAGCTGATTTGGCCAAGATGAAGAAATATTGTTCAATAATTCGTGTTATTGCACACACACAGGTTCATTTTTGGGGTGGGGGAGATTTTCTTTTTTTCTTTATTCATGTTTATTTAATTTTTTTTTTTTTGTTTAAACCGATTACAAGTTTCACGTAGAGTTTCTGTTCACTCTCGACTTTGCAGATGAAAGTTATGAAACATCGGGAGAAAAAGGCCCACATTATGGAAATACAAGTAAATGGTGGTACAGTCCCCGAAAAAGTTGATTGGGCTTATGAACATTTCGAAAAACAGGTAGATTAATTTTAAGACCGCTTAATGACATGCAAATGTTTTTTTTCTCAGTCTTACCAAGGGAAGAAAAATTAACTAGAACATTCTTCACACACAGGTGCCAGTGGACTCGGTATTCGCCCAAGATGAAATGATTGATACCATTGGTGTTACCAAGGGAAAAGGTTTCAAAGGTGTTACAAGTCGTTGGCATACAAAAAAACTTCCACGAAAAACACATAAGGGTCTTCGAAAAGTACAGTTTTTCTGATTTAATTGAAGTATTTTGTTTACAGTAGTTCGGTGGCAATGATGTATAAGGCCAAATGGAAGTAGTGGACTGAAAAGCTCTTGTCGATATATTGAAGCTGAGCCATTCACTCATTTTCTAGAAAAGTTTTTAGGTTGTTTTAACAATACTGATAAGTCTGATCCTTGGTTTAGGTGGCGTGTATTGGAGCTTGGCATCCATCTCGTGTACAGTTTACGGTTGCTCGTGCTGGTCAGAAAGGCTATCATCATCGTACGGAAGTCAACAAGAAAATCTATCGGATAGCAAAGTCTTGTCTAACCGAGGAAGGCAGAAGAAACGGTGGTACAGACTATGATATTACGGAGAAGAGTATTAATCCTATGGTAAGTCTAAATGATTTGTAAAGGATGGGGCAGGGTGATATAATTTGGCATTGCATAATGATGATGTTAGTCTGCAATTCAGCGTATTATGTGCTGACAACCGCACGGGACTGAATGCATTTGTTGACCTCAATTGTTGAATGATTATCTCTTACTTTCTATAATTATAAATATTTTAGGGAGGCTTCCCGCACTATGGCTTAGTGAATCAGGATTTCGTCTTGATTCGAGGTTGCTGTATGGGTTCGAAAAAGAGGCCTATCACACTACGGAAATCATTAATTACGCAAACGAAACGTTTCGCTTATGAAAAAATCAACTTAAAATGGATCGACACGAGCTCCAAGTTTGGTCACGGGCGATTCCAGACACATGCTGAAAAGAAGGCATTCATGGGCAAGTTGAAAAAAGATTTTGTCGCTGCTTAGTGACTACTCTCATGCCCGTTGTTGTCATTTTTCTTGCAATAAATTGTTACTCTGCTGCAGTTTTCTTGACTTCTTCAAAAAGATGTGTGGTGTTAGTTTACTGGGAAATAATTTACATTTTCCTCATTGCATTTCCAGATCTTTTAAAGATCGAGTGTTATCAGGAAATTTTAGTTTTTCTTGATTGATGATGGATTTCTTGTTGACGCAAACGAGTAGTCGAAATAAAACGTTTATTGATCGTAGAGACGAACCAAACTGAGCTTGATGGTTATTATTGAAATCTACTTCAAGCAATAGGCTTAGAAGGTGAGCATTAGCTTATTGTCAATTACAGTGACTTCGGTAGATGCCATTCAACCTATACAATGAATTTAGTTTATAACATTGTATTAGTTATAAGAGTGACTGTGAGCAGATTAAAACATCTGCTATAAGTAGGACTGGTTTATAACAAACAAAGCTAATTGAACGAAGGGTTTACAATCGTTTAACATTGATTGGGGGTAGTTTACAAATTAAGCACTTGTAGATGCTTTAAAATGCACATAATGATGGTAATTGTTGGTTGAATGATTCCTTAGAAATTCTCAGTAAGGTAGTCGTTGGTCTTAGGCAAATAAAACAAACTTTGGTCTTCAAATTCCTCCATCTCCTAGATTTGATGGAAAATTATTCTGGTCATTTCGACTCAAAATTTTTCGGTGTTTCCGATAATTATGAAAGATCGCAGTATCTGGGTGGTATGAAGTCGGTGAATGTTGTGTTGTACTGATTTGGGGCTCTGTAAGTCTTCGTGTCGGTTATGAAGACTGCTTGAAACTGAATAAAGCAATTAATTCAAAATGATTAAAGATGGAAATAAAGCTGTTGGATGTTATAAAGTGTGGACCAATGTCTTGGAGAAGGAATTAATCTGTTGAAGTAAAACAGGTATGATGTAAACAAAGGTAAATGAAGGTGTTTGTTTCGGGACAAGTAAGTACACAGATTTGCGGTTGGACAATATGCAAGGAATTATTCCGAACACATTGATATGAAATGTGAAAATGGTTCTGCCGCTAACCATATGATCAATTGGGAATCACTCTTTCCGATTCACGTACTAAGTTGAACCCATCAAATCAAGTCATTATGAGAAACCAAATGGAGGCGGGAAGCACGGGCAACAAATAAAGCTGAGTTTTGGTGTCCACGGCGTATGGCCAAATACTGATGTCAAAGCATAGCTTTTATTCATTTTATTCTCTTCATAATTTCATACTTTTATTCTATGCAATTGAAGATGACCTTGCAGTAAAACTACTTTATTATTATACAACCCACTTTCTGCAGTAGTTATCGTAATTTCAAGAAATGAAAAAATAACAATAATGTAATAGGTAATTCATCATTTCTCAAGCAAATCAAACAGAATAATGCAAAGGATTTCGGCAATTGATATTTCGGCTACTAAAATGAAGTTACGTTGTTCAATGAGCAAATGAATTTATCCAAACAGATGTTTGGAGGAATTGAACTGAAATTTCGAGAAGTATACTATACATTCACTTTTTTCAAATATTAGCTATGAAATTTATGCATCGGAAAATGTTTCTATTGGAAATACTTTTGCTTATAGCAAATATTTGCTATCAATTGGATTTAATAAGAGATGACATTTTTAATTTCTCTAAAATCTCTTGCTGACAATTTTCAGATCTACTCGCTCTTCTCCTTTCAAGTACATTCAATGTTAAGACGCACATTCATACTGCCAAGTGATCCTTTTAATTTTCAACCGTTCTTTCCTTTGGGTGTCTCAAAAATTGTCTGAAAAAAAAAAAAAAAACAAATCAAACTTTAAAAATTCATTATGAATACATTTCATATACCCATAACAATGCTTATAAGTTTAACCACCTTTCTTTGAATAATTCTCTCTAGCATTAAATGATAAAATGCATCAAAATACATACAAAATAGTGGTTAGCTGCTTCACTGCCCGTTAATTCGATAGCCTTCTGACAATTTTCTTGGATAGTTTTCCTGACGTGTTTTTCTGTCCAAACTATAGCAATTGGTAAAGTTAATGCATATAACGGAGTTAATTGCACACCTGAATTTCAATGAAATAAGCATAAACATTCTTAAAGTCACACTAAAACTGGTAAATAAGTTTGCGGCATCACTTCCGTAAACTGTGCAATTTATACGACATTAATATTTAGAAAATAGAAACATCGATAATTCAGAATGCAATATAAAACTTAAAATTTCAATGAGTGTAATAAATAGTCAAATTATTGTTGAATCTTTTTGCAACTACTCATTCTCCCCATAATTTACAAATAATTTTATGGCTTATAGCTGATTAATTTTATATTTATTAATTATGTTTAATTGCTAAAAATTTTCCAAATAGTTTCTTATATTTATTTTAGCTTTTATATTGGCCACATTTTACAGATTCCAAGCGATTTTTTCACTGTCTCCGTATTGCTTGAAATAAGAACAATTGGAGCAAATTTTCGCTTTACTATTATTAATTGAACTTTTTTTTTTAATTCTAAACCTGCTCAAATTCGGCTCATTCATATTTGTTCACGATTACTTATTTACACATTTTCTGTAAATTAGAAAAGTGAATTAGATAAAAACTATAAGACAAGAAACGAACTTTCGAGATAAATAGCAAACTGTTTTGGTGAAAATTTGAAATCGATAGCAAAGTACATAAACAGTGCGCCCAAATAAAGTGCCAGGAATACGGAATGAAATGCAACTATTGGTGATAATGTTTGAAGAGAACTTATATTTTCCGTGATTTGATAACGATGTGATAAGTTGACGTGAATTTTGTTTCGGTGAAATCTCTGAATAAATGCAAGTGCTGAAAGAGTCAAACCAAGAAGTAACAAAAAGTTTGTGCGGGTTGCTTCTCCACAGGTAGTGACTTCATTCATTCATTCATGTAAAACAGAAAAATTATTTTAGTGATGCGATCGAATAGGAGAAATTTGACATATTAGGAGTGTAAGGTCAATAGGTCAAAAAAGTAGCCAATTCCAATTTAATCTTGATAGTCCCATGTTTCACTCAAATACCGCTCATATCACTAACTTATTTACGCGAATATCCTTAATAGATTAAACATGTAGTTGTGCGTCACTTACCGCCGCCAATTTCTTGAAGAAAATTTAGATCAAAGTAACATTTAAATCAATTTACTCATTAGATAATTTGTTGGTGAATGTTTTTGTAAGTAATAAATCAAAATTGCCTTATTAATGCAAAATAAAACTGGGAATGTTAAAGCAGAGATACAATCGATGGTCGCATAAAAGCCTAGAACAGCAGCAGATTTTAGTGCGTTTTCTTTATTCGCCGTCGAACAATAAACCACTTTCTCTGAATCGAACAATTTGAAATTACTACTCATAAATAGGAAACTACCGATACCAATGGTTAACTGAAAAATATTGAAATTACAGAACAGTTTTCGGATTTATTAATATTGCAGGTTACTACTACTATTCCATGTTGTATGTCAAACTATTTTAAGGTATCATTTGGTTATCCTTAGGAAAACGGCAATTTCCCTGCATCAGTTATTCGGCCAAGTTGTTAGAGGCATTTTACACACATATAATAGAATCAAAATTTAAATTACACACTGTTCTTTTTCGTTTCTTTTGAAATGTTGTCAAAGCATTAAATCATCAAACTAAATCACTAATTAAATCATTGAAAACAGATTTAAATTTCCCTCTGTACCTGCATTACGATAAGTATAACAGCGATACTTTTCCCAAAATTTTCGTATCTCGATGAGAAATACGTAGCGATAGCCCGCTCAATGACTACTGTCGGTATCGAAGCCGCATTTAAAAATAATGTCAAAGATATCGGTGTTCGCATCATGAAACATTCCCACAGAACTGTCATATACCCACACGGATCAACACGCGTTTTGTGATATGCCAGCAGTACATAGGTATGGGCAAATATTCTATGAAATAATAAATTTGCCAGCAATTTACATCAACGATCGATATTGTTCTTTGCTTCACTATGAATGGCTTTTCAAAGTTAGTGAATTTGGCTTCGATACTTGAACCGTTTGAATTCCGAAACATTCGCTCATTGTCACTATATGATCAATCAGCAATCGATTAACTAATCAGTCTATTTGCACATTTTTTGCATTAATCCACTGTTTATTTACAGTTTTTATTTGATGAAATACCCAATTGATTGTCTTCCCTATTTTGCTTTCTTATTTGTATTTTAATTACTTCTTTGTGCATAATTCTTGAAGCAATTTAAGAAAACTTTCTATTATTGCAGTGCCTTTCATTGACCGTTGCAGAATTTTTCGGTTACAGAAAATAAAAATTCTTTAAAAGTGAAATAAAAAAATGAACCTTGCAATACAATGAAGAATAAGCCACAACTGATGTACTATAATCAAAATTCGAGTATTTTGATGTAGTAAAATACGATTCGTTGTCTTAAATATTATCCATATTTCAACAACAACTGCTATCGCTGATATGATAATCACAATAATAAGGACAATGTTTAATGCGACACTGTGAGCCAACTCATTTGCATGCTTACATGAATCCATATTTATAATAAACCTAAAAATTTTATGCTTTATCACTTCCTAATTTGCAATAAATAAAATCTTTTTATAAGAGAATTACAATTATAAATAATTAAATAAGTAAGCAAGTAGACAAATAAAAAAAATAGATAAATAAACAGATAAATTAAGCAAATAAATAAGTAAATAATGATTAAATCGACAAATAAGTAAATAGATGTATAAATAAATAAGTATATATTCATAATAAACATAAAAATTTTGTGGTTTAGCGTTCCGTAAATTTACAATAAATGAAGCCTTTCTATCTATCTATATATACATAAGGAAAAAAAATTGAAAAACCAGCATGATAAATAAGAAGAGGAAAAAAGATCACGAAAAAATCAAGATCAAAATGAACATAATTACAATAGGTATAGCAGGAAAGAACTTTAAAAATCATCTGGAATTTATAAAACAACCATTAATTAGTAATATACGTTGAGTTTTTTGTGAATATGAAATGAGATTGGCAATGTGTATGGTAAAATTGAAATTTTCATTAGCACAGTTTTAAAGATTCAATAGCATATTGAAAATATACGGAATTATAGCATATAGAAAGCATTATTAAGGACAAGAAAATGAATAGAAATAATTTTCGTTAATTACATATTTCTGTTTTATAGGATGAATAGAAAAAGGTGATGAAAGGAAAAGGCTGAATAAGCATTTGCTGAATAAATGTTGAATAAATGATGCTATTTTGCATTGATGATATCATATCGTACACTAATTTTACAACCAAAGGATATAACGGGACAAGTAACAGAAGATAATATTGAACATTATCGATTTAGACGAGTCTCATTATCAAATGACATTTCCAAGTTGACTTTGGCTTGTTCATTATGCTTAGATCAATTCCTAATGAATATCTGAATGGTTCATGATTTGGTTGGAGTAGCAGATATATTTCGGTGAAATGTTAGGGAGAAAAACACAAATCAGGAAGGATAATTTGATGGACAAAATAATTGTCAATTGAATCGCAAAAGTTTGCCATGTCAGTCGCTCCTGCTTCCACCTATTAATAAATATTAGGCAAACCATAGTTTAGTTTATACTTCAATTTTATCGTTTTATCTTCATTTTCACTTTGACTTCCATAATAGATAAGTTAAAGTAACTGGAAGATTGAGGACTTTAAAAGTTTTTCTGCGCTAATTTTTCAACAAATTTGCCCTTTGAAAATGTTAGCCATTCCTTTATAATTCATATCATGTTGGAAAGCTTCGCAATCCAAAAGTCATTAGCGATAAATCCAAGGAATTTTGAAAATATTTACAAGACTGGATATCTTTTTAGATAAAAGACACATAAATAAGTGAGCAAAACAGAGAACAATTGTGACCAGTGTTAATATACCGACCCGGCAATTCATAAATCCTTTTGATATCATTTAATTGAGTAAATATTTCCATGAAGTTTTTTTCTGCATATACAATTCTTAGTGATTACTTTTTAACTGCTTCAAGAATATTACACTGCAAGTTAGAAGGTAAATGAACTCCATTAAGCAAATAAATCAAATGAAGTAAGTGAATATATTACATGCTATCTTAAAAAATAATTGCTTTTCCTTTAAGGATTACATTCGTATATAAAAAGGATCTAAAATGATTATATTTATATATAAACAAGGCTCTGCAAATTTGGAAAATTACAGGAATTGTGCAAAACTAAATCAATTGCCTTGAGGTAAATTTAGTGATGATGTTGTAAACAAAGCAATATATTTTAAACAATATTATATACAATGCAATGAATAAAATAATGCAATAAATGACTTTGTAAAAAAGAATAGAAAATAAAGCAATAAAGTGACTCGGCAGAGAGGAACTACTTCCTATTTCGAACATAATTCATTGCTTATTTTTCGATAAACATTTTCCATCTGTTTATGACATTCTTCACTCACACTGTCGACGTCAGAATATGCGAATGGGTCGATTGCCGGAAGAATTTCAATTATTACACGACCACCATAGTCAAATTTATAATCATCCTGAAATGCACTATAAAAATTTGCTCACAATTTTACGAATTACCAGAACTCATATGAGTGATAAAGTTATTAGAATAAGGTATTCTAGATAATTACACAGTATAACATTAGTCAAAAGTTTAAATAAAAAAGCTCACTTTTCGATAAAATGATTGGTATGATGAAATAACTATTGGAATAATCGGAACCTGCAAAAATATTATTGAAAAATGATGCAAGAAAATCAGTAATACTATTAATAACTTTTCAACACTCCTTAAAAATGAAGAAACTGTCTAACTAAGTAATGTTTTACCTAAGACATTTAAAAAAAGCTACCAATTTTATCAATTCAAAAAAGCAAAAAAACTATGAACGACATACGTTGGCTTCACGTGCTATAATGAAAGCACCTTTCTTAAACGGAAGCATTGTACCACTCGAGTTTCTTGTCCCTTCGGGAAATATCCATATCTTTCTCTAAAATTATACATGAAATGATTTTCAAAGAAAAAAAAAAAAAAAACCAAAAATAAAGGGCAATGTTCCACACTAGTGGAATTCGCTTCTCTCACGTTTCCTGCTTCCTTTGTATGCTAGCATTTCTTCAAAAGAAAAAAGGAGGAAAATGAAACCAATGATGTAAAATCTATAAATTAATCAACACTAAATTCAAACTGTATCTTCTTTCTTCTAGATCATGACATTTTCTGAGGTTCAGTAATAAAAGGATAAAACAGCTTTTTGCAATAATTCGAAGACTTACATAATTCCGTACCGCACTGATTGCTTTCTCAACTGATTTGTGTGCAGCAACTTTACTGAATCTGTTTATGAAAATAGCTTCACAAAGATATGCACAAACATTGAAACCCGGCATAAATTTCAAACTACTCTTCAATAAAACAACGCAGTTTTTCGGCCAAACGTACGTTAAAGCTGAAAAATATGTTACATATAGCATTCATAACTTCCAGATTTTAAATGACCAAAATTTACTTGTTACCTACTAAAAATTTAATAGATAACTTTTGGAAGCCTAGAATGCTAGTAATACTAAATGCAAGTCTGCCCTCTCAGATTTTCAAACAACATCAGCAACCTGAGGACTGACAAACAGCCTATGTCAAAGAAAGCAGCTGGTAGTAATAATTCTTGAATTTTCGAATATACCTGCAAAAACATGGCCTTTGAAATACAGCAGAACGATATGGTGAGGGTTTTTAATCCAACTAATGACTTTTTCCTCAATTAAAATTTCGCTTACTAAGAAGGACCTGAAATTCAATCCTGATTTCCTTAATTCGAAGTCCCAGTTTTGTTCTAAGCAATCTAATCCTTTGTTTCTCGAGCAATTTAATCTATGCTTACATTTTAAGAGATGAGAACAAGAAAGGAGTTATCAAGAATATATCATACTTAAAACATCCAGCAAAGTTTGATGATTTGCAACGACAATAAACGAGTTATCGACTTCGATGAAATTCCGGTTGCGTATTTCGTAAGATATACCACACCAAAATGTTAATAATTGAAAAGTACGAAACGTATGCCTAAAATGTGATTCATATAAAATGTAATGTCAACAGGATGTTAGTCGTCCACAATATACTTCTTAGTAAATCTTGAGAAAAGTTCTCAATTTAGCATTAAACTTCTGCGGCTGGGTGTTCAGTGTTATGTTTCATGGTATAAACAAGAAGCAGTGCTTTCCAGATTTTCATGAAACCTCAAAATCAAATGTCTCCATGTTGAAATGCATTTAAAAAAAGTCGTAGGGAATATAAATTTTAAATCAATCGCGCAAAATTTTTACAATAATATGCACTAAACATTAAAACTGTATAAATGATTCTTATAAATATATAAAAATTCTGTAAACTGAAATAATACTTACGAAGTACTATAAAAAAGAATGAAAAAAAAAATAAAAAAGTTACCGTCTTCAACAATTAAATTAAAAGACATTTTTTCTTTGATAAAAGCTTTTTTTTTCAATTCAAAAAGATTTTTACACAACGAATTATTATTAAATATTTCCTATCATTATTTTTGCTTGGTTCCTTTGTCTAATAATAAACTGAACTCTGATACATATATAGATAGATAGAAACACTAAAAATAAAACAGATACCAATGATTTTTTGGAGTTCTTCCATTTGGTAATGACAGGCATGCACCAACTGTTCCAGCCGTCACCAGACAAATCGTATAAAGGATTACTTTGAAGTAATACCTGAATTTCGGAGAAGTAATCCACAGGGGGCCAAATGCAATGCATATAAAAATCATGACATTCAGGATAATAAATTCGTTCCACATATTCTAAAGCAATGAAATAAAGTACAGAAAGATAAGCTATATATATAGCATAAAGAAATCACTGAATATACATGTTAAACAATATGAATAGAGAAATAATTCAGATATAAATTATCCTGAAAGGTTTTTTGACGACATGTATTACGTTACGATCAAGAATAGCGAGTTAATAAAATATTAATAAAACAAATTTACTAACATCAGTTTCCTTATCTTCCATTTTAACTTAATAATGTTTCGAAGAAATCAAAACTGAATGATGGTCTGAGCAATAAGTAATTAACTACTGGATGTCTTCACATCAGTTAAAGTTCTACGATTTAATATCATATCTTACTGAAGACGACTGGTGATAGCTTCTTTTTGTGCTAAATTGTTAAATTTTAAAACATGCTAAATTACAGAGCTTAAATCATGATTTCTTCTAACTAATCTAACTCTATTATTATACACTTGATACAAAAGAGAATGATCAAGGAAGACTGAGCAGAATATCAACATTTTATCATCTCTCCTTCATTCAATAACTCATCAGAGCGAAAAATTTCTTAATGCTATGCAGTAAATGCACATCATCCATTAATGATGTGATATACAATATCTAAAAGAGATATTTTGAAGAGGCAATAAGGACGTAAATGATCTATGATGATCTATGATCTGTTAATATCAATCCAACATCAAATTTATTAATTCGAAAGACAAATGAAATTCATCTGTCTTTTCTTTAACAAAAAAAAAAAAAATTGTGAAAAGACGTTTTTCTGAAATAAATTAAATATCGAAGTTTTGCGCCACAACGTTGCTCGCAGTCCGATTGCTATTAATAGCTTCCAAGCACCGGCCAACCATCAAGTACCCAATGCACTGATGGATGGAAGCAAGGAAAGAGAAGAGGGATTGACTGCAATAAAGTGACAGAGTAGTCTTTCGGGAAGTCCGGGTTCTCTCAGTTATCGGGGTTGGGGTGTGTGGATTAGCATTAAAACTGCATCTGTTCGTGCAGTCAATCTTCGTTTACTTACAAACAGCAGTAACTGATATTTCTGTTCTATCTCTACTTTTATCTCTGTACCATTTTTGGAAAATGATTAGATGGAAATAGTGCAACTAATGTTTCTGGTTTCTTCCCTAATTGCTGAAATACAAATGACAAAATTTCAGCGAGCTTGGATTTATTCAATTTTACGCTGATAATAAGATTATTTGCTTTTTAATATATATTTAAAAAGAGGTTTCAGTTACTATTACACTTTAATTTTGTCCGTTTTCTTTTTCTCTTTCATTTGTTTCTCCAAATGTTATAGATCGTTTTTTCATGTTCATTTTCACTTTTCCTTATTTAATTATTGAATTTATTATAATTGTAAAAATTTCGACTTTTTATTTTTACGTATTTTCACGTATATATATTTTCAGTAATATAGTATCACTTTTACGTATATATATTTTCAGTAATATAGTATCACTTTTACGTATATATATTTTCAGTAATATAGTATCACTTTTACGTATATATATTTTCAGTAATATAGTATCACTTTTACGTATATATATTTTCAGTAATATAGTATCACTTGAACTATTTTCAGTATTACATAATTTTACATGCTTCTTTTTCAGCCTAGCTAAACATTTTCAAGTTTCGCAACCATAGTATTGCTACTGAAATCCACACTCTTTTTCGAAGAATCATATTTATTATTCTTTTTTACAGAAAAAAAAAACTGAGGCAAAATTTTTGCCAAAAAATATGAACCTTTGTCTTCTTTTAAAAACTAGGTTGCATAGCATATTTTTTCAACTTTTATAAGTAATGTATTTTCTTCCATAAGCAAAACTACTGATTGAAACTATTTTTATTGTTTACAATTTAAAAAACAAACGAGAAAAAAAAAGCATATTCAAATATCATGTAAATTTGCAAGCGAAGTATCAGGCAGGATGCAAATATCTGCCACCTGTCAACTTCACGAATCATTGTAAATTATTCAAATTCAGAATAAGAGATTCAGTTTTGCTGATATTAAAAAATCAAAGTAAAATAAAAATATATATGTTTTCATTAGTTGCATAATAATTGTAATAAATTGTAGAAATAATAACATGAATTAAAAAATGCTGAATCCCCAATATCAGTTTCTTGAAAAAAATTTTAACAGAATTTTTCGAACCATTTAAATTTAAATTCTAAGCAGCATTGAAATTCAATGATTTAGTTTACGAAATGCTCGAAAATAGTATGAAAAGCAGCAATGACATGGAACCTCGCTGATAATCTGAACCACTGTGAAAAAAAATGGTCTTTTTTTTATTTGCATCTTGTCACTTTATACAAATTTCATATTAATTGCACAGATTTTTATTGTATAACATTATCATTTCGTTCAAAAATCAACAATTTCATATTTTTGTTGCTTTATTTCAAATGATAATTTATTAAGAAGCATTTAATTAGTAGTTGATATTGATTGAAAGCATTAGCAAATCTGAATTATTTGCTAATTGTTGATGCAAACCAATTCTTCTAATTCAGAATATTACTAATTTTGCACAATTATTAGTTATCATTTAAATTATTATTTGAAGGTAAAATGATGAAACATTCATTGATAGATGTAACGAGGAAGAAAGGTACATGATTTGATAAAGTTTGAACCTAAGTAATCTATTCATAAGCAAAGTTTCGAATTCATGGAACATTTTTTGTCATCTATAATCTCAAATCTTGTCAGATTTCTATTTCCAGGAGAGATGGTGCTACCACTTCTTGTATACCGCAAGATGATTCACAATGTCCTGCTGGTGGGCCCGGCTCACCTGGTAATCCAATTGATCCTGATGGTCCTGTTTCACCGCGCTTTCCTGGTGGACCAGAAGGTCCCTAAAACAAATTAATGATATAATGAGTCTTTTTACTAGAAAATTATGGAATTACATAGTTCAACACTTTGTTTGAATATGCTCTTTATATCTTAAAAAATGAAAAGGAAATGGCTTACTGTTTCACCGATAGGTCCTACAGGTCCCATATGATTTGATGGAATACCATTTGGTCCTGGAGGACCTTTAGGACCACGTGGTCCTTGTGGTCCAGGTGGCCCTTTGATACCTACTCCACCAATAGCGTCATCACCAGGTGGTCCTTTCATACCAGCATCGCCTTCCTCGCCTTGCTTACCTGATAGTCCTGGTGGTCCCACTCGACCCGGCATTCCTGGCTTACCAGGTAACCCAGGTGGACCAGTTTCTCCAGGAACACCCGGTCTACCTTGCTCTCCTTGTTGTCCACTACTGCCTGGTGGTCCTGCAGGACAAATCACGCTGTAATTTGCTTCAGGTAACATAAAAAAATTTTTGAATGAACTATTCAGATTTTTGCGAAGAAAAGACACATATTTTTCTCGAAATATACCCTTAACCTTTTCCATTTCTTCTTCTCTTCTAGTCCCTGTTTGCATTCAAAATACTGTTAACTTCAAAATGTTGTTTCAGGTAACATTAAACTAGATCAGCTTAACATTGCTGACAACTAACCAAGGGAAATTAGATTCAACATGACCCAATATATCAATCCCATCGATACCCGCTTTACCTGGTGTACCAGGAAGGCCATCTGCACCAGGTTCTCCATCAAGGCCTGGCGCTCCTCTAGGCCCAGGTGGACATTGCAAATTAACGCAAGATTCACACTGTTCATATTCACTCATTATGAGTTGTTGAGAATAAGCATCTGAAAACATATTTAACTAAAATTGCTATTGTAATTAAATGACATCATCACTTCTTATAAGCTGAAATTATTGATAAAGTTCACTTTTCCTAAAAGATTTTTAACTATAAATTTTTAACAGTGATCATTTTTCGAGTAAATTTAATATATAATAACAATTTAAAAAGAAAAAAAAAAAAACAAGTGAAGAAACTATAATTACATAAGATTGCACTAAATTTACCTCGTTTCATAGTTTGACCTTTTCGTAATGCAAGAGTGTCTCTCCAAATATTTCGTCTTGTTTCCTATAATTGTAATTAATCAATTGTTCATTTTCTTTTTGTGACAGAGCAAATAAAAGTTAATTATCAGTCTTTAACTATTTATTATAGCTGATTAATAGGAAATGAATCAACAAAATTAATCGTAGCAATCTAAAATTGATTTAGATATATTCAAACTTGTTAATTATTTTAAAATAATCACTGAATATGAATAAAAAATTTCTAAGTTTAAATTTACTAAAAAATGAAACTTATAATTTATACCTCTAATATTGTCATTCGTTTTTTCAAATGCTGTTTTGTACGCTCAATTCGTAGAAACAACGATATATGGGTGACACTCATTATTGCAAGCAAAAAAAGAGATATAAATATTATGATTCGAGCATTTTTATGATTATCCATTATGAAAAACTGAAATTGTTAAAGCAAAAATCGCTTTAAATCTTTAAATTAAATGTTTTTCTTGTTATTTCTTACTTCCTTGTTTACTTTCTATTAAAAATTTAAATGAAAAAACTTATAAAACTATTTTTAGGAAAAAGGACAAAATAGAATTTAACGATGGAAAACAATTTTTTATTAAAGTATTAATAATGGAGAAATGATGCGATGAAAGTAAATATTTAGATATTCAAATGAAGGAATTTTGACAGAAATTTTTGAAAAGTAGAATGTTAATTTAAGAAAAAAAAAAAAAGAAGATTAGTGAACTAGAATTCTGTTTAAAAAAAAATTAGCATTAGTTGGCATTATTAATTTATTCCAAAAGTTGAATAATAAATAAATTATTGTTTTTGCATGGGACAATTTCTTATTAATTAAAAAAAAAGTTCTCATGAATAAAAAGAATTTGCAGTGATTTAATTTAAGGTACTGAAATGGTAAGCGAACAATTTGAGATTGCCAAATATTAATTGAAATTCAGGTGTTACATTTTGAAATACTTCAACTATTGAAATGTGAATTATATGATCACTACATTTAGATTCATATTTTAAGGTCAAGGTTACAGTATAAGATCTATGATCTCATCCTCCAAATATCTCGTAATCAGTCTTCTTACTGATTTATCTCTGTCATATAATCAAAATTTTACAACTGAAAAAATGAAATTTAGTAACAAACAAAAAAAAAAAAAAACTATTATAAACGATCTATTAAAAATGTTGAACTGAATAATATAAAATAATTTGATAAATGAAAACGAAATAATTGAACTAATAAATGATTGTTTGTTTAAAGCACAATTAATTATCAAAATATTATTATTTCGCAAATTTATTCGTTGTCATTGATTGTAAAACTGTTCAAAATTGCTTGAATAACTTGAAAAATGCTATAATTTGATATAATTCTTCAATGAATAAACTTAATTTCATTTAGCTTTCAATTTGAATTGCTATTTCAGTACTTTACTTCAAGTAATACTTTTGTGGAAGTACTCAGTGAGCAGACACTATTATTTAACATTGATTTGCACAATAAATTAATTATCATCGATGTTTCATTCCATTATATTTAGACGAAACAATAACCAATTGTTGTTTTTTTTAGTAAATAGTCTAACTAAATGCTGAAATCTAAACTTTAGATATCATATTTCACTAATCTTTAAATTATATTCAATAGTTCTATAGCTAATGAATCGTTTCTGCTGCTATCATCATTATTATTAACTTTTAATCAAAAAAAAAAATGGCATTTCTGTTATCATAATGAATTTAAATGATTTAATGATCACAGTAAGGCCTTAATGACAATTTGACGACAGATTTCATCAAACTGCGACACAATGGACGAATTAATTGTTTGTTTCTCTCATTTTATATCACAAAAATAAATTTAACAATTTATCACTGGTAAAAGATAAAATTATATGAGTAATTTGAGTATTGAATAAGAAATGCATGAAGACTGAAATACTCGAAACTGTAGTATTAACAATAATAGTATGTAATAATGAAGTAAGCTTCATATATACTTTATATATAAAATTTATCTTACTTAATTTTAATATTATATTTAGTATTATAAACTGAATTGACTAATAAAAATGAAACAATTTTTTTTTTTTTGCAAAATCAATTAAAGAAGCCAACAAAAGAATAAGAAGTAATGCTGTAATTAAAAACCTATCATAAGGTTAATCGAAAATTTGTAATTAATATTTCAGGCAACCATCCAACAAAGATTAAGATGATATCACACTGGCGTTATTATTTATCCACTAGAATTGTTTATCAATGAATATAAACTAATATTTCGAAAATATTACGTTTAACTTATTTATTTGCATTATATTAAAATCTGAGTCTGTCGAATTGATTAATTAAAATTTTTTGATAAATTAGTGATCCAATGCAATGTAATTCAGTATTATATTGCTAAAAAATAATATTACCATTTAATAATTAAGATGACTTCAGTGATTTTAATGTTAGATTGTCTTTTTTTTCAGAATTTCACCAAGCGGTTATTCCTCAAAAAAAGAAGTTTTAATGTAATTTTCTTTTTCGAATCAATAATTTGCAGCATTTTATTTCAATTTTCTTCTATAAATTTTGTTCTTACCAAAAAAAAGTAGAAAATAGAAAACAAATGAAAAAAGTGAGAAATATTATGATCTGATAAGTAACGACTTTGCATAAGATGCATTCATTTCAAATTCAAATGGTTTGGATGCTCACAGTTGTTCATAGTTTATTTCATTTCTTTTTTTAATGTATCATTTAACTTTTTTCTTTTCTCTTTTATTTTACAATAAAAAAAAATCTCAACAGAAATATGGTACCACTGGAAAAGGCATGAATCGCTTATGTCTGTGACGACGATTCTGATCATTTATGTGGCGCTTGTCTCTTGACATCATATTCCATGGAAATTCCGTATGTGATGGATTTCGTACATCCCATGGAAAACTCTGCAATTATTGACTATTAGTATTAAATTAAAAAAAAAGTTATGATACAGAAATGAAAACACACAAAAAAAGATTTTTTTCAAATTGTATATTTTATTTATGCTAACATTTAGCACTCAACAAATGAATTACTTTATTCGTTTTATTACACTAAGTTTAATCTTTTACTTTCTATTATTCTGTTTACAAAATTATAAGATAAAAAATCGCCTTACTTAAAATAAGTCTTTTAAATAATAATTTTTATCTCTAAAGGTATTACCATACATTTAATCTTTGATTAATAATGCTATATTTATTCAGAAATGGTAATATTTTAGTCAAATTCATATTTCAAAATAGCCAATTTTCCTTTCTAAATTATCATTTAAATAGATTAAAACTTCATACAAGTCAAAAGATCAAAAGTCAAATGAGTTTATTATAACTCGAAAATGATTGCAATAAAATTAAGTTGGTTGAATAGTTTAACTGCAAGAAGTTAGCATTGTTGTTAATCAAAAATTATTTACAGAAATATTTCAATATTTCTGTAACAAAATTTAATGTAACAGAAAGTTATTATTAGCTCTGTAATAAGCTAATTTTTACTATTTTATTTTTTTCTACTTTAAAACTGAAATTTTTAAATTATAAAGCTCAAATGAAATTAAAAAATAAGAAACTAACACGCTGTATACTATCTTGAAGATCTACACTCCAGCGATTTACTTCTTGATTATAGATTTCCAATTTTCGATAATCCATTGGTGTCATATCACGTAAATACACGCCATTTTTGTAGATTTTTCCATTCTAGACATTGCTTTTCTTTTTTAATGTTTTTTTTTTTTTTTGTTTACAAACTATAAATAAATAAAATATTTTTCACCTAATTTAGTTATTTATATGCTAAAAATTTTTATATTAATATTTTAGAAAATTTCGAGTGCAAATTATTTTTAACAAAGAATTAAAAAAAGGAGAAAAAAAAAAATGAAGAAACTGAAAAAAAGAAAAGAGAAAAAAGCAGTCCCTTATTGTTTGTACTTTATTAATTAATGATTTCATAAAAATTTTTTTATTGTTTTGTCTGCTATCAGCAAAAATAGCAATCACTGAGCAAAATTGCTTAATTAAAAATGAAAGAATGAAGAGGAAAATTACAATAACATAGCATCCGTTACCACCAGAAACAAATAGGCCATTGGCATCATAGCAAACATTGTTGACACAGATGACATTATTGTTGAAACTATTGATAACTGTATGTTGTACTTGTGATTTAACCAATGTAACAAGTAGCAGCAGATAGAAACTGAAAATTTACGAAATTATAGGCATTTGAATATTGTTAAATAAAATTATTAATTAAACATCAAATAGTTATTAATGATGATACTTTTTTTTTTTCAAAATAACTGTCATTTTCATATACATTATTAATTTAAATTTCGGTTTTTTTTTTCCTCGCACTTTTTTTTTTGGCTTTTTTGTTTTTTTCATGTAAATAAATTCAATGGGCTATTGCTATTAGATGCAAAATCTAAAATCTAAAATTAAGAAAAGAAATTTAAAAAAAATTGAATTTGTTCAATTTGTTCAAATGTTCGACCTACTATTAATGAATAGCAAAAGGAACAAAAACACAGAGAAAAAAGAGAAGAAACTAACAGCATCTTCCTGCTGTGACATATAATAAGTCGAAATAATAATGAAACTCGAAGAGTTATTTAGTTGACTGAAAAAAAAAAAAAACGAATGAATTTTTTTTTTTAAAAAAAAAAAAAAAAAGAGAATTAAACAAATGAAATATGTATGAATTAGGGATGAAAGAAGAATTGAAAAGTGTAATAAAAATGTTGTATCAAAGTGAATAAAGTGCAAAAATTTCAAAATAATTATTTAGAGAATTGATTTTTACAAAGTTTTAAGGAAGCAAAAAAAAAACAGTCAATTTTGTCCTTAGCAAAATATTTCGCGGATGACAGAAATTGATGCTTCAATGAAAAGAAGAAAAAAACTTTGCCTTCTAAAAGTTCTATCTGTGCAGCGATAAAGTTGAATCGGTTTCAGAAATCAACCATTTCAATCAGATTTGATGGTAATATTTAAAAGCAGAAAAAAAACTTTTTTGTTTTTGTTTTTTTTTGATAAATTTAAAATTGACAAAAGAAATGAATAAATATTGATTTTTTGCAATTTTTTTGTTGCCATATAATGAAGTTGTCAGTTTTAAAAATGTAATTCAAATTGAGACCGTAGTTAAAAGTAAATTTATCAAAAAATATTTATATGACATCTCGAACATAAAGAAAATCAGCTTTTATATTCAGATTGTTATCATAAACGACATTTGTACAGAATATATTGTTGTATCAGTAATAAGACTGAAGAAAAGTTAAAATGACGTGGTCAGTCATTTATTGTAAACTATATTATTCATAATTTAGCTTTAAAAAATGAATATTGTCTTTAATTAAGTTTTCAAAATATAATTATGTAATTATTTTTTCATTACTGTGCTGTTATTTATATTTTGTTTTAAGAAGTACTTTTATCCTTCTGATTGATAACAAAATTTGAAATTCCATTGTTATTCTGATTTGTTATCTTTTCTTGCTTCATCTTCACAAACATTTCATGAAATAATATTTACAAAATATTAGCTGTAAATATCTATGCATTTAACAGAAAAAAAAAGAAAAGGATTCGAAGAAAAATGCAATCGCCAGATAATGACATAAATATATTTAATTACGAAATGAAATGCAACAATTATAATGCATTTATAAAATTTATTTTGTATCTCTTATCACTGCAAAACTGTTTAGAATTGTTTGCAAAAAAAAAAAAAAAGGAAGGATAGGTGTTTCATTGAAATGGTGACGAAACTAATAGGAACTTGTTTTCAGATTTTTTATGAAATCAGGAAAAAAATTAACAGTTAATTTTTTTCTTGCTTCATTTTTCTCTTCACAAACATTCCATGAAATATTTACAAATTATTGAATATGAATAACATCTATGCATATTTTTATACATTATATGAGCAATTAGTTTGAAACATTGCAAAAATGAAGCTACCAATTGTTCACAAATAAAATTAAATCTTTACATAATAAACGGTTAGTCTTATTTCCAGATAAAAAAAAAAAAACAAATTTTTATCCTTTCATTTTATTTTTTCTATTATTTGAGTTAAACTATCAAAGACTTTAAAAAATTTTTTAACTGAAGTAAAAGTAAGCTAATCAATAAAACATTACAATTGTTTAATTTTGTTACTTAAAAAGGTATAAAAAAGCAAAGAGTTAGAGTTGAAAAAGGGACAACAATCAATTTTATCAATACAACAACACTTAACGGTAATAGAAAATAATTGAAAATGTAGAATTACTATTATTTTCTATAAAGTGAATTAACACAAAATGAATAGCAAAAAATTTTATCATTCGATAAAAATATTTTATAAAAATAACAGTTACTATCATTTCTTTTTTTTTTTTTGTACAAATCATTGCGTTATTTACATGTTATTTTATTTCAAAGAATTCATATTTAAAAAAAAATTGTGTTTAGTGATAAAATTTATTATATCTTTGCTTATATCGCTATTATTATTTTCACCATAATTATCATCACTACCATTATTATGAATTAGAGATTTTAAAAATAACTGAAAGAAAAATTGTTTTTTATAAATTAATTTTAAAAAAAAAATTAAATTAATAATATGAAAAGTTTCCTAATATTAGAAAGAGAAAGAAGAACGAAATCAATGACATAGTAAATATATTGGAACATACTTTCTTATCTTATTACTTGAGAAATAAAAGAAAATACGGAATTGAATTTAAAAAACAGTTTCAATGATAATTGTATAATTTGTTGCCTTGCTAATTATTAATTTTCTTTTTTTTTTTTTTTATTTCAATAGAATATTTCAGTAAATTATACATCAGAAATATGTAAACTTTCGAAAGATTTCAAATTTAACAATTTAAAAAAATAGGAAGTTACTCTTTTTACAAACTTTTTCATTCAAAAAAAAGAAATGGAAAAAATTGAAGGAAAAATTAATATAATACATTGAACAAACATTAAAATCAAAATAATTATAACCAGTTATGTTAGAGTATCTTTTTCAGGACATTGATTTGTGGGAGTGAATTCGGTAACAAAAATTTCGCCAATCATTTTCTGTATTAACATAAAAATGAAAATTACTGATACAACACCAAAATAGCAACCATAAATAAAAAACTGAAACATTTTGTAGTCAAAAATCTCAAAATAAAAAAAATAATTTAAATTTTTGAAAATACCTGATAAGAAAATAATATACCGACTTTTTATCATTGCACAACAATACTGTTTTTTTTCTTTGAAAAGTTTAATTATTGCAAATTAATAAGTGAATAGAAATGCTTCAACAAATTTTATGTATCATATTGAAAATTTCGCAACAAAATTGAAATTAAAAATTTTGTACATAAGAATTTTTAATGTTTTGTTATTAATTTTTTTTTGCAGTTTTAAATAAATGATAATTTTTAAAATTAAAGTCTTTTTTCAAAAGAAAATTTTATAGAACTAATATATTTTGTCAAATAATTTTATAATTTCACATGATAAGCTAATAAACTTTTTAATTAAAACTTCCCACACTTTTTAATCAAAATTTATTCATTGAACATTTAATTGGAATAAAAATAAAAAAATGAAACAAAAGAAGAATGAAATGAAATACTGTATATCGGAAATTCAATTCACCGATAATTTTACATCATAAAATTAAAAAATGGAGACCTGTGTGCGTATATCAAGTGCTAGGCCATGTTTATCAACAACAATTAGAGTTAGTATTGTTTGAAGAAGAAGTGCAACAAAAGTACTGGAACCAAATACTAAGCCATAAGTTGCCGTTGTCAATTCTGTAGCAATTATCGTGCTGAAATGGAATTTATTTCATTCATACAATTTGTTTTGTTAGAATTAAATAATTTATTCACAATTTAATTTGTCCTTTTTACATTTCAAATATGAAGTTTAGAAAGAAAAACAAAAAGATATTTGAAAAAAAAAAATGAAGTTCTTTTCAAACAAGTTCTTAAGAAAATATTTGAAATTATTTGTTGTAACAAACGACAGCTTCAGAATATTGTATATATACGAAATTAGATTTTTTTAAATGAATTGAAACTTTTTGGGCTTATGATAAAAATACTGCTTTATCAGTTAACATTTGAATGTTCAGCAATAATTATTAAACGAAAAAATGAAAAAGTGCAGAACCATTTGTTCAAATTACTCTAATATTTACAAAGCGCATTTGTCTTACCTTGCTGCAGTCATAAGTAATTGATAAATGATAGCAAGAGCGATGTAAAAGATATAAGCAATGAAAGCACTGGTAGTTTGAGACATTACAATTAATAATATGGCGATAATCATTGAATTAATCCATATTACCAATTCACCACATTTTACCCAATCAATTTTCAAGTATTGAACGAAGAAACAAACAATTGCCCCTGTTTTTTAATTAAAATATTAATTGCTATTTCATTTAGTTAAGTTAAAATTTAAAAAATTCAGTTCAAATTATTTCATTATATTAGCTGAGAAAATTTATGCTGAAATAGAAAATTTATGCATAATATTGTACTAAAATTTAAATTAGAAATCTTAACACCACTACTGATAAGATGCAATATTATTGCTTAGAATTTAACATGTGCTTTTACAGTTTTTTATATTTTCCAATACATGGAGTAGATGATCAGTAAATGATCGTTAATTCTGTAATAATATTAGACATTTTAACATTTCTGTCATAAATCAAAAAAGTTTACTTTAAACTATTTTATTTCATATCTCATATGCTATATTTTCATTTTCTGAATCACTAAAAGTATAGGAAATTTATGATTGTATATGATTGAAATAATTGATAAAGCAAATCATTCATTCTATATACATACCAATCAAAGTAGCTGTACACTCCGTAATACCATTATATGCTTCATCATCTTGTTGTAATAAAGCCCATAAATTTTGCACATAATTTTGAACCTCAAAAAAATAAACATTTAGAAAAAAAATTTTTTTCTAATACAAACAAAAAATGCTAAACAAAATTTTAGATTAAACAATTCTAATCATGAACTTAAATTTTTAACTTTTTTCTTTCAATAAATTATCGAAATATTTATAAGAAATCATAAAAATGTTTTATAAGTTTATGAATTAAAAAAAAAAAAAAAAGAACTAATGCGAATAATTATTGCGAATGTTCTTCTTCTTATTATTATTACCATTGGTAGACAATTGATGTTGTCATCAATAATTTGTGATTGATTATTTCATATATTTATGGAATGATTGGTTAAACCGCTCATTCTTGACCTATTTAATATCAAAATCGAACATTAGCTTCAAAAGAAATTTATATGTCCAAGTTGTAATAATTTTTTTTTTTTTTTTTTTTAAAAAGTTATAAAGAAATACCATACTTGAAAGCTTCCACAACTACCCAATGACCACCAAATGCACCATTTTAATACTGTTCTTTTACTCTTGAAAATCATTAAATGTTTCCAAACATTTTGAAGATAAGTCTTCATTCCAGGGCCAACTGTTGATGGTATTGCATTTAGTGATACCCTGTGCTATATCCAAATTTACGTTGATAAAAAAATAATCGATGACTTAAAAATCACTAATTAATTAACTATTATGAAATAGAATATACTGAATTAAGGTGTATTAGTGGAGCAATCAAGAATAAACAATGGCACTGAAAAAAAAAAAAATGATACGTATTTTAAACTGTTAACCTTTCATCGTCATTTATTTCGACTGTTTGATCGCAATTTTCCACTTCTCTTAAATTTTTATTCTTGATCATATTGGATGATATTGATGGAAGTATGCATGCCATTAATAAGGTAATACAACCGAAACCAAATGAAATCTAATAAACCGAAATTGCTTTTAATAAATAAAAAGACGAAAACAAATTTGTTTAAAAAAAAGTAAAAATAACTTTTTTGGAAGTTGTGAAAAAAAAAGTTTGACAATTATTTTCGTCACTAAAAAAAAAAATGAGCCATTATGAGCTAATTGGTTGAAAGTTAATAATTATTTCAGGTAATATCTAAATAATAATTGATGCATTTCTAAATCAAACAATATTAAGTGCAATCGATTGAGTATTTTATGGAACATTCTAATTTACTTATTAATTTATATACAAATTTTACTCACTTTTATTGTTATAATTTTATTTTATTGTACGTTTGCTTAATCAAAAATAAATAAATAAATTATTTACTTAACAATCAACTGAATTTATTTCAAATCAATTTGTTTATTAAATCGATTTATTTTTTTAAATTTCATTTGTCAAATTAATATGATGAGAACTATTTTAGAAAATGAGTTTATTAAAATATTTACTTGCCTCATGTAGTTGTAAATATGATACAAGATGGGTTGAAATAAGCAGCTGACCGGATCCGTAAGCTAGAAATTTGCCAAACAGTGTAGCTGCTCTAACGTATGAAGTGATACGTTTGAAATGCTTTTGATCAATAACTGCATACATATAAGAAACATAAGCGATATCAGATGCTGTTGACAATCCTAATAATTAAATCCATTAAGTAATATGCATCAATCAATTTTAATCAATAATTTAACCTAATTTTTAACATTTTATTCTTTCATATGCTAATTCAATCGTTTTATTTCTTTTTTTTTTTAAAAATAATATTCAAAAAAAAATTTTTTTAGGACAGTTATTATATACAAACCGAAAGTTATTTCCATTAATTGCATTTGCCATACTTTATTGCCCCAAAGAATGATTGCATGAGAAGCGCAATATGACATCGCTTCAAGGACAACAATTGGCTTATGTCGCAATGCATCAGTAAGAAAAAATATGGGTATCTGAAAAGTAACATTAATTTAAAGTATGGGTTAATTAAAGGTTAACCTATTTTTTCCATTTAAAGCAATTATTTGAAAATAATTTTTAATAGCTAAGGTAAAAAAAAAAAAAAAAAAAAGGAGGAAAAAATGAATGAAAAGGAAGGATTTGATTGTGATATTATGTATGATTTTTGAAGGAATGATTATTTAAATAAGAACAGGTAAAAATAATTAAATATGAAATTATTTAAATCAGTGAAAATAAAGAAATAAATAAAAATTATTGTAGTATTATGGTTGTTTATCTAATTTATAAAATTCAGTCAATTTTTATTCTCCATATTTTTCATATATTGAAAAAAAGGAAAATATTTTATCACTGTTAGTTTTGAACAAATCACTTCTTTCTTTTAATCATTATTTAACAAAAATAATATTATAATAGAATTTACTTTTAAATTCAGTAATATAAGTAATATAATTTAAAAAAAAAAAAAAAAAACGAATCATTTCAATTATAATTATTGCTTTCCCACTTAATCTCACTTATATTTCTTGCATAATTTTGCTATTTCTAATTTTTACCACTCATTTTAAATTGATTTTAATTCTGTTCTATCTCAAACCAATTAATTAATTAATTAGTACTAACAAGAAGAAAACTAATATTTGTTACAATGAATTAATTATTGAAAAGAACTTACCAATGCAACCAAATATGAATAAGTCCATAACGGATATATTTGACTGTACAATTGAACATCGGTAAAATTTTTATAGGATGAAACGAGGAACGGTGTTAAAAATGGAGTTGCAGGACGAAATTTTTTGACCATTCCAAATAAACAAATAAAATATGCTAAATGTTTCCAATACATTTCCACTGATCATATATTATCTATAATTAACATTTTTTTTTTCCATTTTTAATTTCTTCTAATTTTTTCGTTAAAAATTTGACCAAATTTTATTTTTTACTTTTGTTATTTCTTTCATAAATACACGCACATACACCCATATATAAACAAATATAGACAAATACAATTTTAAAAAATTGAGCGCAAATGGTACAAAGTAAAAATGATCAGGGATTGGTAGAGAGGAACATGATGAGAACAGGAAAATATTAAATGGTGATGATGAGTGTTTTATTGGTTGTGTAAATGAAAAGGCGCAAAATGTTTTTTTTTTTGTTAAAATTCAAACGTTCGCTCATTTCCATCTTTCTATCCTATTCTAGCACACTTTTTACACTTTCAATAGTGACAGGTGTCTAAAATAAAAATTAAATAAATTACTTTTTCGTTTCTTTTCTTTTATTAAACAATGCTACTAATCGTTTCATTACATAATTTTACACAAATAATTGGTTCATTTCATGATATTTCTTTCTTTTTTAACGAGAAAAAAATTATTTTTTAATTCAGTTTTTTTTTTCTTATTTTTTTAGGTATTTAATCCTTTAATTATATATATATATATAAGATATTTATGAAGTGACAGGATAAATAAATCTTAGAAAAGTTTTGAAATGAGAAATTTAATTAAGTATTGGTTACAACATATAGAGAAGTGCAAAATGATACTAATATTAAGGAAAATTTTGAAATTAGAATAAATTGTTTTGTTAATTGCTTTATTAATTAACTTATTAACTTATATACATATGTAAAGTTAGTTCATGAAATGAACGGGAAAATTTAAATATCATTGGAATAAATGTATCAGTGAAATGAAATTGCAGTTGTCATTAAAAAAGGATAATGCTGACAAACGAGTTCTTTTCTTTTTCCTTTTTTTTTTTTTGCTAACAAATTTTAAACTGTCATCTTTTGGCGCACAATTTATCACTTTTTTTTTCATTTTTTAAACAGTAAAAAAAAGGATAATAAATTTAGTGATAAAATAGCAGCATAAAAATAGTGCAAAGTCCTACTTTAGCTAAATGTTTGATAATAAATTATAAATTGTTAGTTTTAAAATTAAAACAAAAAAAAAAAGGAAACATTTCATTTCACCAAAAATTAGATATTTCATATCAAATGAATTACCATTAGTTGTTCATAGATCTTTATAATATCAAAACATGCAATTGCAATAATAGCATTGCTTCTTTTAAATTAGTGAAAGTTTTCAGGGAAACATAAATGACAGAAAATTTTTATGAATTTTCATTTTTTTAAAATTTGTTGAGCTATCTGCTTTTGCATGCGTCTGCATTTGTGTACTGTACACAGCATCTCGATATGTAGTAACATTTGGGTGAACGAATGATATGAAAAATAAAAAATTCAGCTGAACTAAATCAAACTAAACCAAATATTACATCAAACGACTGCTCAAACTATTCAATTTATACATACTAAATATATATATCGTTTTGATTTTAATATAAAATAAAAATTTTTTATATCAAAAATTAATTGTATGCAAAATTTCATGCAACGTATTGGTATACATTAAAATTGTTTAGTATTTTCTATCAATGAAATAATATAATTTTTTTTTTTTCTGATAAGATTTATTCATCCTTTTTTTGATAAAGAAATTGATGAGAAAAAAGAGAAAAAAATTATAAGTTTTATATATTTGATATCACACAATAGAAATATCATAACAGTAATAATTATTATTAGTATCATTCCTTATGAAAAAAATTAGCCATAGTTATTTATATAGTAATTTATTAAAAGTTACTTTTTGTTTTCTATTGATTGAAGAATTTGTCCTATGAAATTTCTGTATCACTAAAGAGGTAACACAAAAATTAAAAAAAAAAAAAGTTTTTCCTCTTTCCAATTTTTTTCCAGTTTAATTTTTTTGTCTTATACTTTTTTCCTTCTTTTTTTTTAATATGATTGAATACATTTTCTTCGTTGTGGCATTATCATTTCAAAAATTTTGTTTCTCCCAAGTTTAATGTAAAAAAAAGAAGGAATGAGGAAAAAAGCATCAATAATATTTTTTAATCATTTATGTTTTTGCAAAACAAAAAATAACAAAAAACAAAAAAAAAAAAAAACAGGGAACAATATGTATTAAATTACAAATAAAATTAAATTTAGCAAATTTGAATTGTTTTGTAACTTTAAATTGAGAAAAACTTGCTTATCTTTTTCTGTTGTTTTCATTAACTCAGTTTTTTTTTTTTTTTGGAACAAAAATTTATTCAAATTTATTGCAAAGAATTCCTTAATTAATTTGTTCTTTTTTTTCTAATCTTATCAATTTATCTGTTTTAATTTCAAATAGTGTCTTTTGCAGCTTGCGAAATGAAAAGTATAATCTAAAACTTTAACGTGCAGTTGTGCTTCGCCGCTGCTGCTCAAATGATAATATATTTCGGGCATTTTTTCGGGCAAAAAAAAAAAAAAATGCGAAAAGAAGGAAATAAGGAACAATCATTTGCAAAGTTTCATTTTGCAAATAAATTACATTAATATATCGCATTTTAAAATTTGAAATATATACAATTCATATTATTTGACAACAAAATTAAATTTATACTATTTAAAAAAGAATGTTCCATCACATTTTATAACTGAATTGCAATTATAACTTAATTGTTTTTTCTTTTTTTTTCCTTGAATACAATGGCTAAAATAATTTGAGATAGCAATTTATTATTACTTTATTTCTGATATCGTAATAATCATATGTGACAAATTATTATATTAAAATTCAATTTGTTAAAAAAAAATGACAGTAATAAAAACAAAGAACAATAACAATGATAGAAATATTGATGTAATAAAATAATTAATAAAAGCAGCATGAAGTATTGAAAATAAAGTGAAGTAATTCCATAATAATGTTGTGACAGTATTTAATGATAAGTACTGTTATCACATGATGATATATTATTGTGCATAGTATTATCAGGTTGATTACGCCACCATCGTATAATATATTGCGAACAAATTATAATGACAAATATTAAAGCAATAATAGCAAAATAACCACCGTATACGAGGAACTAAAAGTAGTGAATGATTCATCGATCATATATTTGTGATATAGTTTGTATGGCTTGTTAATCAATCAATGATCGAGTAGCGAAATGATTTGATAAGAGATTGGAATAATTGGAAAGAAATGAAAGTTATAATATTAGAAATGAAAAAATTGTTAAACAATTAAATTATAAATGTGACAAGCAGTGATGTCAAATTCTTGAATAAATTTTAAGAACTGTAATGAAGATTACTTCGTTAGATGAAGTTCGCTAGTTTAAAAAACTATAATCGTCATGATTAAATAATGAAACAATGAAAACTATTAATTACTTATAGATTCGTTATTTAAATTATGCACACAGAATGTGATAGCTATTACATGCAGTTTAATTTTCAAATAATATTAGCGCTAAAAAAAAAAAATTAAAACTATTTTGTTTTGATTATTCATTTCTCGTACATTTTTAATTCATAGCAATGTAATATTTCACATTTTCAAATTAAGATTACACTTAACAAAATTTTAGCTCGAATTCAAGTATTAATTTTAGTAAAATATTAGGCTGATAACAAAACATTCATCGACTTCCAATTAACTTATTTAATAACAAATTTTAAATTATTGCAATTTCTATTAAACAAAATATTAAATAATTTAGATAGCTAATTTAACTTCTCAATTATTTAAATAATGTTAAAAGTAAAACCTGTTCTCGAATAGGTAATGCAAAGCCATGTTTATCAGCAAATGCAAACGTGATTGCTGTCTCTAGCAAAAGTGCCACAAATGTATTCAATCCAAAAACAAAACCATAACTTGCAGAGTTAAGCTCTGATGCAATTGTTGCACTGAAAAAAAAATCTTTAAAAATTTATCAATGGCTTTCATATTTTTTATCATAATTTTAGGTTGCACAAGTATATCAATGTGATATTGGTTGGTTTTTAATCTCAGGAAATACCCCAGCTGAATATGATAATAATTAATTTTCGATTAATTAAACATGCTAATTATAATAATAACTAATGCTAATTATGGAACCATTGTTTTATTTATCAATCATTTGTTAAATTATTTACCATCAGTATTTGATTAAAAATTACAATAATCAGTGGTCTATTGATTGCAGATGATATTTATCAATAAATGGCAAACATGCAATAGCAATTCATTTATCAAACTGTTAAAAACATTTTCCTAACTTTCATCATTTCAATTTGAAATGCAAGCAAGTCCAAAAAATCGAATGGAATATGAAAAGAGAAATGAAAATAAAAAATAGAAAACATTACTTTTCGCCATAAATTTCTGTAAGAAAAAAACGACTATAAAAGCTAAAATAACTAAATGAATTGACAATTAATGAAACAAAGATAATTTACAATAAAATGGCTTATGATGAAAAAATTATATAAAAGCAATGCTATGTCCTTAATTAATGAGCAAGCCTAATTAAATAAAATAGTCACTAAACAAGAGAAAAAAAAAAACAAAAAATAATAATAAGCTTAACAACTACTTTTTAAAAAAAAGAAAAATGCATATCATGAAGCATTTTAATGCTAGCATTTCATGTTTCTAATTACATATTAGTAATGGATTTAATAAAATATTTCTTTTGCTTATATCTTACCATGCGGCAGTCATTAGAAGTGTATAAATAGCGGTGATAATGACATAAAGAATATATGCAATGATAACTGATTTAATTTGCGACATAATAATTAATAAAACAGCAATTATAATTGATGTAATTGAAAGTATCAATTCATCATGTACTGTCCAATCTTTGTTAATATATTGCAATGAAAATGAAATCATTGCACCTGAAATTATGCTTATAACTTATTAAATATTTTAATACTATCATTTTTTTTAAATCTTTATGTTTAATTAATTTTTATTCATAAATGAAAAATTTCATTTATGTCTCGCAATTTCTTTTATTTCTCGCATTCCCCCATAATTTAATATACCAATGAGTGTATTGATGCATTCAGTAATTCCATTGAAATTATCTGAAATAATTTGCATTGTAGCCCATAGTGACTGTACATAATTTGTTATCTGAAAAATTAACAAAATAAATTAGATTAAAAAATGCAATCATAAATTTACTCTTCTAAATTTATGATATTTCAAAATTATCACCTTTAAAACATTTATTTTGCAGCAATAGCTTTACCATTTAATTCAATTCAATTTGATATAATTTTAATTAAATTATCAAACTTTAATTTTAACGGATATATCAAACTTTAATTCAAAAGCAAAGAAGATGAATTCGCTTTTTAAACTGTCAAACCTGATAAAAGCCACAACTGGTTAATGCCCACCATATGCTCCATTTTAAAACATTTTTATTCCGTTTGAATATTTTAAGTTCATGCAAAATGAAATGGGAATATTCTTCCATCCTGTAAATGATATTTTCTTTAAGATTCACATTGAAGCATTTATGAATATGCAATTTCTTATTTTTAAGCTTTTCTTTTATGTTCAAAAGTTCATCATTTCTGCTATTCCTCAAATTTAGCAGAAAATTATAATTATATTTAATAATAACTAATTGCCAACTTCTTTATTAATCTTTTATCTCCTTTTTCTTTATCAATGGGTAATTCATTATTTTAATTTTACTTTATCTTTCAAAAACGTGTTAAATTTAACAAAAAATTTTCGACTAGAACCTTTAAATGATATGAAAATTGTAATTAAAATAAGTAGTGAAACCTTTCTTTGATATCTCTAGTTTTTGCATCACCAGAATCCTTAGCTTTTGCTGTTTTATCAGATGAATCTTCCGAAGTTTCTTTTTGTCGCATGTCATCCACTGCTTTTTTACCTTGACTTTCAACTTTGCTATCAATAATTTCTTTTGTTATTGGTGGAAAAGCGATTGCAATTGGTATAATTACGCAAACTGCACCAAATGAAATCTGACGTAATTGTTTAAAAAACCAATTAATAATCAAAAATTACACGAAGAAATCAAGGATCAGAAAAGCAAAAAAAAAAAAAGAAAATGTGACATTTCTGCAAGAATTTTGCACATTTTAAATATTCAACAGCATTAAGGCCCTTCATATTTCTATTCCATAAGTTAATTTATTAAAATTAAAACAAAAATAACATCTTTTTTTAAAGTTAAATACATTGCTGAGTTATCAATATCATTATTGATAAGTGTCCCACCATCTATTACTAATTATTATCATTTTATTATTAAATATAATTAAATTTTAAACAACAGACATTTCCTGAAAATGCTACCTGATTTAAAAGTAAATAAGATCCATAATTAAATGAAATAAGAAATTGAGCTAAAGCATAGGCAAAAAATCGACCAGTTAGTGTTGCAGCGCGTGTATACGATGAAACTAATTTGTAATACTTTTTATCTACCATAAGAAACATATAAGATTCGTAGCCAAGTTCGCATGCTGATGCTACGCCTGCAATAAATTAATGTATTTATTAAGAAAACCTTTCATCTTTCTCTTATTTAATCTAATTTTGATTCCAAATTATCGCCAAATTACTAAGTTTCAAATTAAATTAAATCAAATCAAATAACTTTTCAATTTATCAAATTTTATCGTTAACTAAATAGTATTAGTTATGCTAAGCAATTGAAGTGCAACAAAATATAAATTATTCAGATTTCAGTGGAACTTAAAAAATTAGTAAAATGATAAGTGTTTACAGATAATTCAAAAAAGGTTCATTTTAATCTTTGATCACTTATTGTTTCGAACAAACTTATTAAGCCTTTAAATCTTAGTAATATTTGATCATACAGTTATAGTAGTATTTCAAAACAAATTTGTATTTAGGAAGGTTCAAATATATGATCTATTCCAAATATCGAATTGTGATTTTTAAAATATATGCTATAATTAACTATTTGATTCTTTTTTTTACTATAATTATTTGAAAAAAAATAAAATGATTTAATTCTTAAACTGATGCAATTTATTAATTTATTAGGATTATTAAATCAGTAACAATATTATAATAATATTAATAGTAATAATGATAACAATAATAAGTAATAATAATCCTTTAAAACAATTGCTCTACTAATGAAAGAAATACAGAAGATAAAGGCAAAACCGCCGTTAAATTCTAAAATGTCGTTTACAAATAGTTTTTTCTTTTCTTTTTTTCATCTTTTTGTCTTAATGACAAATACTTTTTTTCAATATAATTAATAGCAAATTCCATAAAATGTTCAATAATTCTTATAATTTGAAAGCTATTTGTGAAAATTCAAATAAATTTCTTTATTATGTTTTTTTTTTCAATTTCTTATTTAGGTAAAAATTTAATTTCAAACAATAATTAATAACATTTACCGAATGCAATTTGCATAATTTGCATTTGCCATATTGTTTTACCCCATATTAATAGAATCCACGTGAAACATAGCGCCACTGCTTCTGTTATAACAATTGGCTTATATCGTAGTATATCAGTTAAGAAAAACGATGGAACCTTTAAATAAATTTTTTCTCTATTTTTTTTTTTTTTTTGATTTTTTATGTAAATAATATTAATAACAATATCGTTGTAACGCTAAATCGGATAGAGTATGCTTTTACAGTATATTTGTTTGTTATTTAAGGTGAAACAAATAATTACTTACCAATGCAACTAGATAAGAATAAGTCCAAAATGGATAAATTTCACTGTAAAGTTGAACATTAGTGAAATTTTTAGGTGCACTGATAAGATAAGGAGTGAGAAACGGTGTTGCTGGACGGAACTCTTTGATTGCAGAAACAAGTACAATTTCCAATGCATTATGGTAATAAATTCTAAAAAATATCTTAAAAAAATATTGTGTTATATGCATTAAATCTTATTGTAATTCATTTTCTTTTTCATAAATTTTTTATCACATAGAAAAAATTATATTAACTAGTGTTTGTTTAATTAAATGCAAAAAAAATTTTCCCTAGTATTATACGAAATAAATTGTAATAAGTTGATCACAATTATTAAACAATTTGATGAGTAAAAACGATATCCAGTGATTGAATTATTTACAGAAATATGAAATACTTAATAAATAATATGAAAATGATAAAACAAATTGAAAACAACAAAAAAAAGGTTACCAATTTGTCAAACAGTTGCACTAAAGTGAACAAAAACAAAATGAATGAAAAGGAGCAAAATATTATCAAACAATCAGCTTTGAACTGCACATAGGTATAATTTGAATATTAATTTCCATAATTTTTTCATAAAATATAAATGTTGCAGATGGAAGTAATTATTTAAATTATTTACGAAAAAAAGTGAAAAAAAGAAGAAAAATTTAGCATTAAACTGCTAATTTTATCATTTCTTTTATTTGTGTTTTCACTAAAAAGCATTTTGAAACTATACTAAAGTTATGTTAATTCTGAATTTTCTATACCACTTTAATTTTTATACTAAAAATAATATTACACCATAAATTTCAGCATACATTTTTTTCTGATAAGAAAATTTTTAAAGAAACTAATTTTTTTAACAACAATGATAATGATAATTAATTATTGGTTTTGTTATTGCTATATGTTCAAATTCTGCTTAATGTTTTCGCTTTTTAAATTTCTTAAACAATATGCAAACAAATAAAGTTGGTAAGCAAATAGTAAATAAATAATTATGCAAAGATTCTTATCATGTTTTATGAAAATTTCATAAGAATGAATGAAATGATATAAATAGTAAGATAATTAAAAGATTGATCATTTTGTTCTTCACTATTAACACTCTTGCGGTAATTCATCGAAAGTTCTCACCCTAACTATTAAAAAAAGCTATTTAACTAACTGTTTGCAAAATATTTTAAAATCTCAGTGATAATGGAAATTAGAACGACTCGTGAAGGTGATGATAACTCGTATAACGCAGAAATCGAACTTCATTTGCAACTTCTTTTGCCGTATAATTCACTACCTGCTCAGGTATCAATCATATTTTCTTTTTCTACAATTAATTACATCAACCAACTCTGCTTAAATAAAGCTACAGTAATTTCTTAAAATGAATAATCAAAAGCGAAAAAAGGAAAAAAAGATTAAGTGAAAAATTTGAGCATAAAGCTCATATCAAAGTACATCCATTACTATTATTATAAATATAACTGAATTAATTACAACAAGTTTTAATTTATTTTAGACTTAAATATATAAATGTTTGAGTACAGATGAAACAATTCAGTTCAATAAGCATAAACACGTGAATTGAAAATTATTTGATTTCACTAATCTTTTTAAGTCATAGCTTCGGTAGTGTTATCGATGAGACATCAAAACTGTCATCTTATTTAGATCTTTTATCCAGTGAAAATTTTGGCCGAGGTCATTCACTACCAGTAAATTTGTTCTTTCTCAGTAATGGCGCTTAGGTTAATGAAAGAAAAAAACAAACAAACAAACGAACGAACGAACGAACGAACGAACGAATGAATGAATGAATGAATGAATGAATGGAATGAATGAATGAATGAATGGAATGAATGAATGAATGAATGAATGAATGAATGAATGAATGAATGAGAATGAATGAATGAATGAATGAATGAATGAATGAATGAATGAATGAATGGAATGAATGAATGAGAATGAATGAATGAATGAATGAATGAATGAATGAATGAATGAATGGAATGAATGAATGAATGAATGAATGAATGAATGAATGAATGGAATGAATGAATGAATGAATGAATGAATGAATGAATGAATGAATGAATGAATGAATGAATGAATGAATGAAATGAATGAATGAATGAATGAATGAATGAATGAATGAATGAATGAATGAATGAATGAATGAATGAATGAATGAATGAATGAATGAATGAATGAATGAATGAATGAATGAATGAATGAATGAATGAATGAATGAATGAATGAATGAATGAATGAATGAATGAATGAATGAATGAATGGGCGAATGAATGAATGAATGAAAATGAATGAATGAATAACGAATGGGCGAATGAATGAATGAATGAGTGAATGAATGAATGAATGAATGAATGAATGAATGAATGAATGAATGAATGAATGAATGAATGAAATGAATGAATGAATGAATGAAATGAATGAATGAAATGAATGAATGAATGAATGAATGAATGAATGAATGAATGAATGAATGAATGAATGAATGAATGAATGAATGAATGAATGAATGAATGAATGAATGAATGAATGAAATGAATGAATGAATGAATGAATGAATGAATGAATGAATGAATGAATGAAAGAAAATGAATGAATGAATGAATGAATGAATGAATGAATGAATGAATGAATGAATGAATGAATGAATGAATGAATGAATGAATAAAATGAATGAATGAATGAATGAATGAATGAATGAATGAAACGAATGAATGAATGAATGAATGAATGAATGAATGAATGAATGAATGAAACGAATGAATGAATGAATGAATGAATGAATGAATGAATGAATGAATGAATGAATGAATGAATGAAACGAATGAATGAATGAATGAATGAATGAATGAATGAATGAATGAATGAATGAATGAATGAATGAATGAAATGAATGAATGAATGAATGAATGAATGAATGAATGAATGAATGAATGAAGAATGAATGAATGAATGAATGAATGAATGAATGAATAGAATGAATGAATGAATGAATGAATGAATGAATGAATGAATGAATGAATGAATGAAATGAATGAATGAATGAATGAATGAATGAATGAATGAATGAATGAATGAATGAATGAATGAATGAAAATGAATGAATGAATGAATGAATGAATGAATGAATGAAATGAATGAATGAATGAATGAAATGAATGAATGAATGAATGAATGAATGAATGAATGAATGAATGAATGAATGAATGAATGAATGAATGAATGAATGAAATGAATGAATGAATGAATGAAATGAATGAATGAATGAATGAAATGAATGAATGAATGAATGAATGAATGAATGAATGAATGAATGAATGAATGAATGAATGAATGAATGAATGAATGAATGAATGAATGAATGAATGAATGAATGAATGGCGAATGAATGAATGAATGAATGAATAATGAATGAATGAATGAATGAATGAATGAATGAATGAATGAATGAATGAATGAATGAATGAATGAATGAATGAATGAATGAATGAATGAATGAATGAATGAATGAATGAATGAATGAATGAATGAATGAATGAATGAATGAATGAATGAATGAATGAATGAATGAATGAATGAATGAATGAATGAATGAATGAATGAATGAATGAATGAATGAATGAATGAATGAATGAATGAATGAATGAATGAATGAATCTACTTATTTGCTTGCCCTTTTTATACTATTTTCCTCGTTTCTACTGATTAAATCTTTTCTTTGTCACCTCTGTCACATTTAACCTCACCACTTTTTCTACTCAACCCGCCTTCATGACTTCCATTCTAATTGCCTAGTTGACCTTTCATTGCGTAAAAAAATATATTTCACTATATTCATATATCAATACGTTGGAAAAATATTCATTCAAAATTTAATTATTACTTAACAAATATCTTTTTCTTTGTTCATTTCCATTCTTTTATTACTTTTAATATGCTCTATATTTGTACTTGTTAAATTTCATTTAGACTAAATATTTTTTTATGGAAAAATATCATATTGAAAGAATTCAGGCATCTGGTGTTGAATATTTCCGGCGTTTACTAATTCGTAATCATATCCCACCAACACCTTTTGCAGATGCACTCGTTGGTTTTTAATTCATTTCTTTCATGTATTTGTTAGTTTCAATTTTTGATTGATATTGCATACCATTTAATGCATCGATCTGATCTAATTAATAAATGATTTATAGTAAGGAAACAGCTATTAGAGCTAAAATTGAATTTTCTTTCTTTTTTTTGGATTTATCAACATTTGAAGCTGTTCTAGTTAATCTAAAAAAATTTTGCTATTGTTAACTGGAAATGCAGTTTAAATGGTTTTCCAGATTAAAAGTCTCATTCGTTGTTTGCGAGTGAATTTTGCTAATATTCAAAGAGATGCTGCTTGGGCACTTACTAATTGCGCCTGTTCACCGCATGAAATGTGCTATAAAATAATTCAATACGTAAGTTTATATATGAATATATCTTCTATAATGTATATTTCATTATCAATAATCAAAAATTTATTTTTTTTTAAGTTATTTAATAATATTTCTTAGTGAGATAAATTATTTGTAAGGGTGGTCTAGAAGCATTGGTCGAATGTGCCGCAGAAACAGATGGTGAAACTCGAGATCAGGTTTTCTGGGCTCTTGGTAATATTGCGTTGGATTGTCCTACATGTCAAGAATTGGTAATACTTCAGTAGCAACAGTGACAACAAATAATAGCAACGATATGATAACTTGCGAATTCATACAACATTTATTTACTTATTACTATATTTATAACTTTTATTTTTATTCACACCTATTAGTTACAATAATTAGTAACGATACAGGTACAAAACAGTGCTGCATTACCACTTATGATCAATGTTCTTGTCAGTCCAATGTTTATCCGTTCAAAATGGATACGAAATCTTGTCTGGGCTTTATCACAAATAATTCGTGGTGGTATTCGAACACTTCATATTGCGGTTAGTTTAATTATATTTATAAGTCATCAAATAAAATGTATGTTTCATTCCTTACCTTTCCCTATTCTGGTTTTTAAAATGAAATTTTTATCATAATAAAATAGATAACAAATAAATAATTGAATATTTTATTTTTAGTTTGTTCGAGCAGCATTAACTGGTCTTCGTCCAATGCTGTATTTGGAAAAGTCTAAAATAAAAATGGACGCAATTTGGACGATAGCATATATCGCTGATGATAATGTTGGTGGTGGGCAGGTACGGCTTGAAATTACTTAATCAATTTTTTAGGTATGAGATGAAGTAACCGTGTTATTTATGAAGAATGATCAATTTAATGATTATTTTTTCTTTTTTTTTTTTTTGTAGTCAAATGATTTGTTAGAATGTTTGCTTATTGACAACGATATCAGATTGATGCAGTATTGCAAACGCCAGCTTTGTTGGAAAGACTGATCGAACTGCTAGCTGAAAAGCGTACAATGCGTGCAGCACTGAGAGCACTCGGGAATTTGGTGGTGGGAAATGATGCACAAACTCAAGCAGTTCTCAATGCTGGTTTATTACCGCGCATGGTACCTCATCAGTTTACATTTCAATTCATTGCATCAGTTTCAAGCAACTCATTATTGATCAACGATCTTAGTTAATCTCATTTGATTTTCAAATGATCTCTTATCTTAAACAATTTTCATGTCATATCTGTTATGATAATTTAATTAAGGTTTACATGAATTAAATTACCTATTTCATTAGTTTAACTACTCCCACACCTGTCTTAATTAATAATGGATTAAGCTTAGCAACTATTATCAGTGCCAATTGAAAGGGAAGTCATTAGTAGATTTCTGACAGCTAATCGATGAGTTTAGTCTACTTCATTTTAATGATAAGCAAATGAGATATCAATGCATCATTTGACGAGTACTTTTGCACGTAAAAATCATATCTTAACAATACAAATATAAATTTGCTTGTCATATTAAGTAATGTAATTATTTTGTAGATGGAATTATTTGGACCTATGATGCCAATTAATCAAAAACATGAAATAATGTGGATTCTCAGTAATATAGCGGCTGGTTCACAGCGACAAATTGATTTACTGTTTGAAACGAATGATATCGTTGAAATACTTACTGACACATTCTTTTACGATGATTATCACACTCGCAAGGTTTTAAATCGTAATTTTATTTTTAAATCGTTTCAAATTGTAATTTCATAAAAGTTCACTACTAATTTGTAGCATATTTTAGGAAATAGGTTGGACAGTTATAAATGCGTTAACTGGTGCCAGTGAAAATCGATCACGTTGGCTATGTGCAAGCAACGTGCTTAGTATAGTACCACACGTGCTCAATATGCATGCTGAGCATGACTTGATAGAACGGACACTTAATGCTATTGAATTGTTAATCGAAAAGCAAATCAATTATTTTTTTATACTTGAAAATTATCAGATTATGGAAGCGTTACGTCAAATTGCTCAAAGTCAAAATAATTGCTATGATATGCATGTTAAGGTTGGTTATATTGGCTATCATTAATTTGGAATAGTTAGTGTTAGAAAACGATTAATTAATTAACAGATTAATAATTATATTACATACAATATGGATGCAAGATGTTAATAAATCGAAGAATTTCAGGCACGAGCAAGGCAAATGTTAAATAAAGAAAGCGATTATAAAACACAACAAATTCCAGCGAACACATATATATTGATTCGTTGAATATTTTTATAGAGAGAATATCAAAAAAAGAAAGATTGATAATAAAAACATTTATTAATTATTTGACATTTATACTTTATCAGTGTAATTTCGGTTAGCACTCTGACGCAATTAATTTATTCTCATTAATTTTCTTCGAAGTTTTAATAAATACTTCCCTGATATTTTCACTGTAATTAAAGAAACGAACAATTACTTATTGATGCGATAATAAGAATGGTCAATGATTAGAATTAACACAAAAAACATTTTGAAAGAGAACAAATTTTTGGCAAAAATTTTGGACTTATAATTATTAAGGCGAATAATTGGATTTGTTTAACCTGATTTAGAAATCAAAGAATCTTCTAATTTCGTTTTTTTTTTTTTTTTTTTTTTTTTTTTTTTGTTCAAACTAAAATCAAATTTTGTTGTATTTATTTACAAGATGTCATTCGAATTAATAACTATATCTTTTTAAATTTATAATTAACAGAAAAAACATAGTCTTTTAAATGAATTAATTAATTACCCTTATGAATTGATCTAAATTTTGTAATTTAATTTTATTCTACTAATGGCATCCAAATATCTATCTAATAAATTAAAATACTAATTACGAATATATATATATATATATATATATATATATATATATATATATATATATACCGGAAGATACGGATCTCTGAAATAGTAGCATATGGAACGTTGCCTGTGATTAATTGTAACAGTTAGAAAGATGTTCATCATTTGAAATGCTAACATTTGTGAGCATTACTTCTTCCATCTGTCTCAAGCACTTTTCTTGAACAATTTTTAAAACCGGTGCTTCCACATTTTATCAGTCTTGCTCTTCAAATGTCACTTTCAGTCAATACTATTATCATCGCCTTATCTCTTTTAATCACTTTATACACTGGTTAGTTCACTAACAGAATAAAATTACATTATTTTTGCAATTATATACTGAGCAAACTACTTAATTACAATATATATATATATATATATATATATATATATATATATATATAGTCATAATGGAGTTTCAAAAATTATGTTATGATTAAGCATAGTTAATAAAATAATTGACAGTAATATTTTTCTTGTAATTGATGAAAATATGCCAATAAGTAAAATAATTATAAAATTTAGTTTAACTATGTAAGTTTAGTATATATTTTAATTCAAGACTAGTTTTAATTTTAGAATTAATTGGAAAAAATTAATTGAAAATTGAAAAAATGACAGTGCTTATAAGTGAACACAAACACACGTGTATATAAAGCATACTAAACAAAGTATTTATAAATGATACTGTTTTAATATTTAAAGAATTAACAGCACTTTAAATATTTTTAAATTATAGTAGTACCTATTTAATGTGTAATTTACTTTATGAAATAACCAATTCTGGTATGTTTTATTTGCCAGTTAATCAATTGCATATCAATTATAGTGTGGTATTCAAATATTAATCAAATATTTCCTTCCTATTATGGGTACAGAAGAATTAATGTTTTTGTATCACATAATAATTATGAAATGAATTTGAAAAATTTATTTAAGCAATACATGCAACAACACTCCATACAAGTTTAAAATTTTGAAATTTGTTTTAATTCATAAAAGCATCTTTTCTTGTAAGTAACTAATAGTATTGGTTAAATAATTTTTATTTTGCTGCAAAAAATGTTTTAATCAAAATATTATTTTGTAATAATGAAAAAAAAAAAAAAGTAATAAGTAAAAAAAAAATAATAAATTATGCTTACTATATGCATGGTAAGAAGAAATAATTTTAGTAACAAAAATTATAGAAGCCGACGAAAAATACCAGTGGAAAAAAGTGTCAAAAAATCCTTCATTGAAACGCTCGAAAAATTTCTTGGTGAAATTTATAAAACAACCGGTAAATTAATTTAACGAATTAAGATTAATATGCATATTATTCATTATTATGTTTCGTAAAACTTTTGTGCTGAAACTTAATTCGTTTTAAAAATTTTTTTTTAGATAAAAAACTTTTCAAGCCATCTTTATAACTTTTAGACAGAATGCTAGAACTATTTCAACTCTAAGAGAAATACATCTTCTGGCTTTTCTTGCAGTTGAAGTTGCTACTGCATGACAGGAGGATATTTATATTGGTTCTTTGATTTCATCACTTATTTTAATCTATCGTTGTTTGAATTAATAGTAATATCCGAATGAAAAACAAATGAACCTTTCAGATTGAAACATTATGTATTCGATCTCATAACAATACAGTTTATCTTGGTACTAAACCAATCACTTCCATAACGGTTAGCACCATTGATCAATGTCATGACACTTGTCTCGAACTGTATCCGTATTGTGTAGCCGGTAAGTTTGTCAGTTTTTCAACAAATCCAGTTTTAGATACTGTTGATACTTGATATTTAAATTCGTCATTAAATTTTTAGTAACACTTTTTAATCGATAAATTTTTACCATAAGCAATTGCCCTTTTTACTGTAATACTTGTACTAAACACAAATAAAAATTTCAGTGATATTCTATAAAATAATCACTCTGAATAGTCCATTATGTTATCTGTTCAACAAAAGCAGCATTTATAGAGATGTTAGTTGTAATTATACCTTTTTTTTTCTTTTTTTCATCTTTTTTCACCAAACATTATGAATCAATTAATATTTCTATTAAATAAAGATTGTTTTGTTTATTTAGGTTGTATTATATCCTGAAAAACCATTAGCTGAGCATGATGTCATTAATACTATTGAAATTGTTGCTAACTGTCATGAATTTAATGCTGTACCACCACTTGCGGATACTTTTACGGCATCATCGGATAAAGTTTCTCGAATTAGACGAGGTTTGTTTAGGATAAGTAAATAAAGATATGAATAATCCATTAAAAATTGTCTCTTTTCATTTTTTTCTTTCAACTAATTTTTTAAAATAACAATAATATGAACAAATTTTAGCAACAAACTTTGGTAATCGTATCAAACGCATGGGATTGTGGGCCCAATGGACAAAATGTCGCAATGGTATAAATGAAACATTTTTGCCATTAATTTGTTACAGCTTTACAAATTTGTAATATATTGTGTATTTATTTGTATATAAATTATTAAAAAAATCAATAAATAAATTTACAAAATAGGAAAAAATTCATATAATAAGTTTGGATTTTTCTTACGAAATTATCAGACATTTCATTCTTTTTTATTTTTTAATTTTTAAAAGACAATGTTATTACTATTGGCTTTTCCAGTGATATTCTTCAAATATTTTCAGGATATCAAATCCGTTCACAACCATGTGAATATGGTCGACTGATTCAGAAACGCCAATGTTCCAATAAATCATCCACTGAAATACCATTTTTCGTACATCCATCATCATTTTTACCGTATCCACCACAACCATATGAACATCCTAATAATAAATCGTTAGAGCTTTAGCTATTTTCATTTAAAACTAAGAAAAGACCGTTTGGATATTGTCTTTGAAATTTTTCAGTATAAGTAATTATTCTTATCACTTAATTTTATTAATAAGACAATGACATTCAAAACTCTTAATTATTAAATTTCTTCTTATCAGTCATATTTTAAGACCGGAATATGAGCGTCGAATATCCGAACATATGAAACAACTACACCGATTGCGACAGAACTGTTGTAAACGGCAAGAATGGTATCGTAAACACGTACGTGTATGTTATGTTTAATGTATCCTTAGTATTTTATATCAAATAAATAAATCTATATTAGATGGATAAATTACGATATAAAACTGTAGCTCAATGTAAATTATTATAGCCCAATCAAATATAATTACTTTGTTGAAATAATTTTTTCAGGTTGGCAAAGATTATATAGACTTCTGTGGTCATTCCTGCCCACCACCCAGTTTACTGGATGTTGAACAAGATACGGAACAACTACTACATAACGAAAAGCAGCAACAAAGTGTCTTTTCAGAAGAGCCCATAAGTCGGATTCAAGAGTACAGAAAAGGACAGTCTGATGAAATTGTGATGTTATCCGCTCCGGTCTCATTATTACCTGATTATGAAAGTGAATGGAAAAATGAACAACAACAATCGTCTATAAAAATGCATCTACCGAATCTGAATGGTGAAGTCAGCTCAGATTTACCTCGAGAAGTTCAAACAGCAACCGGAAATCATGAAGGAACTGAAACAATGAATCATATCAGAACATATGAAGAATATTTTCATAACTTGCAACCCCAACTGGGTCAGACTACCGATGAAACCAGAAAACCTACTTTACCTAATGATAAGAAAGAACAGGCACACCAGCTAAGTAACTCTCAGGAATACCACGGACATGAAGATCATGATGATCACTACCAACAATACTCTCAACAAGATGAATTCATGAACGATCGTGACGGCATTATTCAAGAAGATTATTATCCAGAGCACAACAAAAATAAACAACCGATTAATCCCGAAAATGATAATACAAAAGAAGGCGAATTTGATGGAACTGACTACGGGTATGACTATGACAGTCAAGAAAGAACAGTAGTCACTACTTACGAGGAACAAGGCTCTCCTTCAGAAATAACCAATAAACAGTTCTCGCATCAAAATTACCCTTACGATAGCCGCACTGAGACGTTTTCATCAACATTAGTACCACATGTGCATTTTAATCAACAACCGAATCTAATCCAAAGCATGAACGAGCGACATAACTTTACTGACCCCCCACTACAAGAACGACTGCAACATTTAGGTGCACCATCTGAAAACTTTTATCACCAAAAACAACAGTTTCCCGAATCCCTACCTGAGGATTTCAATCACGAGCAACAAATTTACTCACAGTCCCCCGGATCCGAACTAGATAAATACTATCGCCAACAGCAACTTCAATCCACAATTTCTCCTGAAGAATATGCTCGTGAACATCCACAGCCTTCCGGATCTGAACTAGATGAATACTATCGTCGACAGCAACTTGAATCCACAATTTCTCCTGAAGAGTATCATCGTCAACAACAAGCACATCCACAGTCTTCCGGATCCGAACTAGATGAATACTATCGTCGACAGCAACTTGAATCCACAATTTCTCCTGAAGAGTATCATCGTCAACAACAAGCACATCCACAGCCTTCCGGATCCGAACTAGATGAATACTATCGTCGACAGCAACTTGAATCCACAATTTCTCCTGAAGAGTATCATCGTCAACAACAAGCACATCCACAGCCTTCCGGATCCGAACTAGATGAATACTATCGTCGACAGCAACTTGAATCCACAATTTCTCCTGAAGAGTATCATCGTCAACAACAAGCACATCCACAGCCTTCCGGATCCGAACTAGATGAATACTATCGTCGACAGCAACTTGAATCCACAATTTCTCCTGAAGAGTATCATCGTCAACAACAAGCACATCCACAGCCTTCCGGATCCGAACTAGATGAATACTATCGTCGACAGCAACTTGAATCCACAATTTCTCCTGAAGAGTATCATCGTCAACAACAAGCACATCCACAGCCTTCCGGATCCGAACTAGATGAATACTATCGTCGACAGCAACTTGAATCCACAATTTCTCCTGAAGAGTATCATCGTCAACAACAAGCACATCCACAGCCTTCCGGATCCGAACTAGATGAATACTATCGCCGACAGCAACTTCAATCCACAATTTCTCCTGAAGAGTATCATCGTCAACAACAAGCACATCCACAGCCTTCCGGATCCGAACTAGATGAATACTATCGTCGACAGCAACTTGAATCCACAATTTCTCCTGAAGAGTATCATCGTCAACAACAAGCACATCCACAGCCTTCCGGATCCGAACTAGATGAATACTATCGTCGACAGCAACTTGAATCCACAATTTCTCCTGAAGAGTATCATCGTCAACAACAAGCACATCCACAGCCTTCCGGATCCGAACTAGATGAATACTATCGCCGACAGCAACTTCAATCCACAATTTCTCCTGAAGAATACCGTCGTGAGCAACCACAGCTTTCCGGATCTGAACTCGATGAATACTACCGTTCGCAGCAGCACTACAGTGGAAAAGGCCGTCAGGATAGTTTGGAAACGCGACATTACCCCGATAGTAGCAGGGATCTAACCCATGAGCAACAACAATCTTCATATGTTCAAGGTAATTTTGTTTATTTCATTGGTAATGTTAATATAGTCTTTCCCTAAATCTTAAAAATTCATAAGTTAAATTTTAACTAATTTTAACTTTCCTTTCTTCTGGTGTAATAAAATGTTTTGCTAATTTTTGACAAATTATTTCAATGTAGGATGGAATTTATGGACAACTTGGTCGATCTGTCCTGTTACGTGCGGTGATAGCGTACAAATAAGACGTCGAACATGTTTAAGTCGAACCGGAATTAATTGTCTTGGTGAAATAACTCAACAACGACCATGTTATTTTAGACCATGCGATATGTGGACAGACTGGAATGATAATTGCGGCAGTTGTGCAAATCATTAAAAAATCTGACAAATAATTTTGTTCAATTTTTTTACTTGTTTTTCTGAATCGTAATAGTTTTTATCTGCTTGTTTTTATTTCATTTCATTGCAGCAATTTTTTGTTTTATTCCTAATTGAGTTAAAAAAAGATTTAAAATTTTCATCTACTTTTTTACTTTGACAAATATGTATCACCTTCACTGCCACGTTCTTTGCATTTGCACTGCATTTTTCCTTTATTCTTCGATTGTTGTTATTAATTTGCTTCACCTAATTGTTTCTTTTTTCTCGTATCTGACCTTTGTTTAAGCATACATGCATTTACAGCATTATTTTAATCTTGCAAAAAAGAAACGATGAATAAAATTGATTTGAAGCTGATTTAAACTTAGCTATTGCCTAGCTAGTTATCATATCAGACTTCTCATAATTTTGAATTATAGAAATAAGCATTTTAGTAGAAATAGTAGTAAATGAAAAGTGAAACAAAGTTCAGCCATGCTAAAAGAGTTTTGTTTCTTCTGAAATTGCAGAATTTGATGTAATGAATGCAATGGAAAAGTTTTGAAAGATTGAGTGAAATACTTTTTTATATTAGTCATTAAATTTATCTATCGCATTAGGTTGAGAATGTTTAGCTTTTTTTTTTGTTTTTTATGCCACATAGCACTTTGATACACAGAGTTGCTTATAAAACTAATTTTGATGGATTCTAATTACTCATACATAAATTATTTGATTAAAACACATTTCGGGTACAATGTTCGCAGACAAAATATTGAAAACGAAAGTAGAATTATATAAATGCACTGACTAAGACTCGATGTCATTAAATCTGTTCTACGATGATCATCGTAATATCTGTTCCATAAACAGATATGAAATTTGCAGTAGAACTCGTACGAAATTACTGTTACAAAATATTTGTGTTAAAATTCTAATTTGATTTTTATAAAGTTGATTGCAAAGATATCATTTACAAATGGATGTATGAAAAACAATTAGATCAAATGTTTTTAAAGCTCTCAAATTTTTGCCAAATTTATAATATCAATTAGATGCTAAATAATTTTTCTATAAATTTAATTTAAAATCTCAGTACAAAACTATATTAGAGTTGTAAAACAAATCAAAATAGACACAAATTATAAGTTTCTGATTGGAGCTAATTAGTCAGGTTGGATGATATGTGACGCAATTTGAGTCGTGGAATGTATTGACTGCCAGATATTTTATTTTGCCTCAAGCCTGGGTAATTAACCCAACAAATCGACATTGTAACGACGCGTAACGAAAAGTATTATATAATTACAGAACACTAAAATAATATCAATGGTTTATATACAGAACTGAACTGACCAGATATCTGGCAGAGGGTATTTAACTGATGTGAAACAAAGATTGCTAATAAAGGGTTTTGCTAAAAAGGGGTTTGCTAACGAAGGGTTTTTGCTAACAAAGGGTTTTTTATTGTGTGAGAAAAAGGGATTAGCATAATGGCTTAAATGATCTAGACATAGATTAGTTACAAATGCGAAATAATTTGGACAATGACTTATCAGACATCTGTCAAAAGTATCAGAATTTGAAAGCAATTTAAATGTATCGTTTTTTACAACTTGCAATAAAGAAATAAAAAACTATTTGGTAAGTAATTCTTATCCAGTTAATACTTCCTATTTGTAAAAAGTATAATACAGAGCAGAATTATATATCGGTGATTGCATTGGTATTTTTTTCTTCAGCTAAAAATTTTCATCCCATTCATATCAATCAATTAGTTTTTATGGAACGAATGTAATCAGTGTAACAAAAAATAGTGAGGATAGTTGGCGTAACAGCAAATAAACTAAGAAAATATTTCTATGAATAAATGAATCAGTAGAAATCAAAATATGGACCATACCTGGATGAGAAATCGAGCTTTCCAGAACTTCAAATTAATATGTTTGATAACAAATTAAACGTTATTAATTTAATTCTGATAATAATAGTGCTAGTAAGATAAAAGTAAGAAAAATATTCCGACAATTCAAGATCAGGTATTGAATAATTTGAATACAAGAACTGATCTAAATGTTTAATAACTTATGCATATAATCATTTTTTTTTCCTCTTACATATCAACTACCTATTTTGATGATCCATATTGCTAGAGATTAATTTGAAACTTTTTCACCATTAAAAGCATAATTTGTAATAAAAAAAAAAAAAAAAAACGAGGAAATTCAACGAATCTTTTTTTGTACATCAATTTTTTGATTTTTTGTATGCTATTCATTCAATTCGAAATAAATGAATGCTTCTTTTTTTCATTCCTAGAAGAATTTACTACTTGTGATAAAAATATTTAAGTGATGGAATTCAGAAAAGAAGTGTAAGTGCCTCTGGATCTTTCATCTGGTCACAATGTCATCGTGCATTACTGTCATTTATGGTCATAAAATTGAGAAACGAAAGTGTTTATATTGATTTTTTATGTTAATTTGATATTTATTATTGATTATCCAAGAGTTAACGAAATAAACATACCGCTGGTTTACTTGCAACTATAAGCAAAGCTCCCTTAACTATTACTAATTGAAGTATAATAACATTATTATACGATTTTGGTTTTAATTTCGTCTGCAGATAATCTGTTCGTTAGCAAATATTAGACTTTTAAATGATTTGGATTTAAATCCCAAAAAATCAACTCATAATAATTCTTATCTTTTTATCTCTATATATTCGATATGAATATTAGTATTAAATATCTGCATTCACATATTCATTTGATATCAGTTATACGAACATTTTTATATTCATAATGTTTATAAAATTCTATTTATAGTTTCCATTAATAAAATGTTTTATACTATAAAAGAATTAGTGACAATGTCACTGATAAAAGTATGAAATAGAAAAGATATATAAGAATTTTGTTCGAAATGGTAAATACAATGCAGTTTATTATATTTAGTCATGTTTACCACCTAAATATACTTTTAAATATTTTAAAAAACTTTTCGAGAATTATTATGGCATAGAATAATATTAATTACACATAGATTTAGCATTATTCAGAGTGTTTTCGATTAGAAAAAATACTTTTGGATACTTTTTGGACAATTAATTGAGTAATGCAAAAACAGTTTATGTTTTTTAAATATTAAATTTCATCAATTACTGCATATTTAAAGGAAAATGAGAGATATATGGATAAAGTAATAAATGCAAAGAAAAGTTTGAAAATGATAATTTGTAATGTACTGAATCGGACCAATATTTCATTATCTTAAATTAACTCACCACTTTCCCTCACCACTTTACAGCTTGAAATTTCATTATTAAATTATTTTATATAAAACTTTCATTTAGTTTAGTTTAGTTTCAAATGATTAATCACCTTAATTCATTCATTGTTTTACATATCTTTTGTTAGATTTTTATGACGATAATTGTAACTGTAACAAACGAGTTAAAAAGTTGAACTGTTCTAAAAAATTGAAAATTCACTTGTTGGAAATGTTTAAATTTGTTTGAATTTTCAATATTTATCAATTTTACTTTGAATCATATTCATTTTTATTTCGAAAAAATATAATTGTATTATTGTTGGAATACGATTTGATTTTATTTGAATAGAATAATTTCTTGTATCTCAGAAAGCAATGATTTGAATGAAGCACATTCGTGATTTTCTTACTACAAGTATGACGTCATATCTCAAAAACAAACATTTCGATAAGTTAGTTATTGATGAAAAACAAGTATTTATTATCGTTTGTTTGCCAATCGTATGTTTATTTGTCTTTCATTCCTATGTTTATTTGTTTGTTATTCGTATGTTTACTCTAACTTTTAAACTGTTTGTATTGTTTACTGTTTTGTTTATTGGAACAGAACATTAGATATTTTCCGATTGTGTGTTGACAAAATGATGACAGTTATTTCGTCTATTTTTGCATCATCAATTATGACATCAATTATGTGTTAAAACAATGTATACGTTAAAGTAATATACTTTTGTTTTTAGGTATATTTTCTATTAATAAACATTTCATTGCCAAGTACGAAATTTAAATTTGTTAAATTTCTATTTGATAAAAGATCAAAATTATCTAATCCATTTAAGTCATTGTAATGAAATTTTAATAATTATTTTATCACGTTATTCATCTTATAATATTATTATTTACAAATCCTTCATACAACAAAAATCAGCTGAAGTTATCGCCTTCTTAAATTATTCATACTATACCACAATTTTGTGTTCTGCTTTCTTCCAAATCTTTTTCATTCACTTTTCTCATGCATGCTACTTTGTAAGTAAGCAATTTCTTATAATAAAAAAAAAAAATTAAAAATTAAAAATTCAGGCATTTTCTTTTAATTATTTTGTTCAACTAAGGCTGATTGAAGTATTTATCAAACATAAAAAAAAGATGTAAAAAAAGAGAAGAGAAAAAAATATACCCACTGAGTTATTATGCAATATATCATTACAATGATATTATAATCATTTTGATAACAGTGAAAATAACGATTGATAAATTTAAAATATTACTGTTATTCAGTCCTTTAAAAAATTTTTTATTATATTGTAAAAGTAGCACGAAATATTCCTATTTTTATTACTGAATTTTTATTACGTTATAAAAGTAGCACGGAATAAAATTCATCAAAAATCAAGAGATTTAAAAAAACTGTTGTTCCTACCTAATTATTTTGAAGTTTATCGAAATTTTAAAATAGAAATATTAACGGTAGTACCCGTACTTAAGCAAAAAAGCGTCATTTCTATTTAAATGTTTTAGAGCTTAGTAAGACATTAAAGCTGAAAAGAGAAAAAGAAAGAAAAAATAGCAGGTAAATTTACTTCAATAATCGAACTGATATTTGATTCATGAAATTTACATATTTTACATATATCATTCATTTTTATAAATTCAAATAAGCAAAATGGGTAAAGTTTGAATGTGTCATCCTTATTGATTACCTTATTAACAAATTCCTGAATTGAGAAGTTCTCGCAAAGAATTTTGTTGATTTCCATCCATCCAGAAATGATCCTCATCATCGTGCTCACAGTATGCTCCTTTAGCATGAAAACCAGTTGGGCATTGATGAACTGAAATGAATTAATTTATTTATATTTCATAATAATAATAATTATTATCATTATTATTACCTAATAAACGAATCAATTTATTACTTGATAATTAGAATTGTTGTCAGCACTATTTTATTTCAATAACTTTCGCAACAAACTTTTTTATAGTTTTTATTCTCAAAATAAATTTTGTATTATTAAAGCTCACGACATCGTCCATAAAGTAGGAATTTGCCATTAGAACAAAGGCATTGTGATATTCCTTTATCACTATTTGATGAGCAATAGGTATTGCTACATCGTGAAGAACATTCTTCATCACTGGTACAAGCATATTCACCTGGCCATAATTTTCTAAATATTGAAATCTCTTAATGTCAAGAATAGATAAAAGGAATGAGGAGACAAGGTAAGATTTTAGAATAAATTGAAAAGTAGAAATATAAATGACAATACATGCGACATTCCCCTCGTATGCATTTCTCATTGGGAAGACAAGTGCTATCCGGATCAAAATTAGCAATTGATGCATTCCATAAGCAATGTCGTGATGTCACTACTGCATACCATACTGTAATGTTGTTAACATTATCGATTTATATAGACTATGGATAGATATTAATTTATCTTTCAATTCTTAAGTATTTTAGCGATTAATTTGATAAATGTAAAACTTACATGGTTGTTCAGTGATATTACCAAATGGAGCAAATAAAGGTTTTCTTCGAGCGGTGCTAAATGCAAATTTGCAAGGTGAACCATATTGGTCACAACCTGATCGAGCCTATTGATAAGAATTTGGATTAGATCTTGTTTATTTTGCTTTATTGTTTTTTAAAATCTTATTTTAAAAAGATCTGATATTAAAGGGTAAAGTTGAAGAATGTTTGCAAATTGTTCTATAGTTAACATTAACTAACAAATGGCTTTTCCTGAAGGTATAGGAAATCTGCAACATAAATGTTTATGATTCTTGTATTAATGTGAATGCCAAAGTGAAAACTACTATTACCTGTAGCAAAACAGCGGGATTGAATTGATGGCAAGTTGCACCGTTTGATGCAGCACCATTGATACATGCGCAAACTGAATGCACACATTGCGCACCACCACTGTTAAAGCCGTTGCACTGTGATGATGCTTGACAAGAACTTCCTGGGACATGATCATACACCTTCACCGATGCTAAATTAAGTGATGATAAATGAATAATTCCCAGAAATGAATTGGGAATTGGTATCCGGAAAAAGATATTATCAAAAATGATACGTAGGAGTTAACAAAAGTCGAGAAGAATATACATTAAAACTGTTATTCTGTAATACAAATGAAAAAACATTTGATAATTAACAAAAAAAAACACCTGAAGTGCAACATGTACCCATGGTACATGAAGTTTGTGGTGGACAATTATCAGGTGGAGCACACTGACAAATGGCATTCTGATTTGAAGGACATACTGGTTCCAGCGACAATAGACAACATACTCCCACTGCTGTACAACCGAATCCGGTTGGACAGTCAATACCACGATTGCATCGCTGATATGCATGAACACCATTCGGACAAAGTGGTAACGGTTCCAAGCAGCAACCTCGTCCTAATATTATATGTGAATGTAGGTTGCAGTAGAATTACTTGGTTAATTTTGGTTATCACAGGACAAGTTATCTAATTCGAGCGAAATACAGCAGTGTATGTGATGATAAAATGTATTTCCCATCTTAATTTCTTATGTGAAAATATTGAGAGCATGCTGATCACCAAAAAAATCTAATGAAATTACTACTGCGGTAGAAGGAGAAACGATTAAGTTAATCGGAAAAATGAATATTGATAACCTTCACAAATATAACCAATCGGGCAACTGTTACCATAAGCGCATAACTGAACAGCAAGTTGTCCGTTAGAGCACACAGGTAATGGACAGCATACTCCATTCTCACATACCTGAAATAATCGTTTGTACCATATTCGCAGAATTTCTTAAACAATCTTATCAACATAGGAAAAAAGTCAATTAACCCGATGATTGTAATATTAAAAATTATGGTAAGGTTAATACTATTTAAAGCATATATACTGCATTTATCTTCTCCTCCATGAATAAAATAATTAGCTATGACAGATGAAATAATTTAATTTATTCTTATACTTTCCATTATTCTTTTAGTTGTGTAAAAAATACCTGCCCAACGGGACAAGAATTTCCATGACATCGTCCAGATGATTGAGCACCAGATGGACATACTGGTAACGGACAGCAACCGCCATTGCTACATTCCATACCTTGTGGACAAACATTTCCAGCTTCACACAGAGTCGCCGACAGGATCCCGTTTGAACAAGCTGGCAATGGACAGCATACACCACTAATGCACTGCTGACCGGTTGGACAGCAGCACCCACCGGTTGCACATCTGAACAATATATAATGCAGCAGCTCAAAGCAACATTGCAGCTATTAATATACCTGAAGGCATTCGCTTTTTGAGAAATTCAACACATTATTAACTAAAGGTGTGCTATAAAAGGAATAAACCAAAAAGTTACCGTTGTGAACCGATTTGATTATTGGGACAAAGTGGAAGTGGACAACAACCACCATTAGCGCATTCAAAACCATTTCCGCATTCATCATTGGATACGCAAATCCGTAGGGCGATGACACCTGTAGAACAGCGCGGTGCAGGACAACATAAACCATTTGCACAGATTGATGCACTTTGACAACCCATACCTGACGGACAGCGGCCTATTGCCTGAATTATTATATTAAAACTTAGGCTTCTTAAAGGCTAAAAAGAAGACATTGAGATGAAACCATCTCATCCGCATCCCAAGAAAAAAAGATTAAATAGAACACTTCATGGTTTATAATAATATAGATTAAAAGTTAAAATTCAACTTTTTCTAATCATCAGATCAAAAACATGCCTGTATTCCGGTAGGACAAAACGGTATTGGACAACAGCCACCACTAGAACATTCCATTCCTGGACCACATTCCTAAAGGCAATTCTCAACATTAACACTAGGAATATTTCAGAAACAATTATTTAAAAATGTAAAACAAAAATCAAGAAAAAAAATAGTTAATTCCGTTACTAATAAGAAGTACAAGTTAAACAAAAAAAAAGCGACACCTGATCAACAGCACATCTTGAAGCAGCCGTAACACCACTCCGACAAATTGGCATACGAATTGGTTCATGCTGTTGACAGCAACACCCTGATATGCAACTAGCCTGAAAAAGATAAAAGGAAGCCAAGGAAATTTATACATATATATATATTAGGTATGAAATGTTTTTTACCTGTTGTGAGCACGACATTGTCATTGAAACTGTTTGACCACAAAATCCTGTGGCATCTTGACCACTGGGACAAGTTAATGGACAGCATACACCACGATAGCAACCACTATTTGCTGGACATTGTTCCATGAAACCACAAGGTTGTATTCCAGGAAAACCATCTTAAATTTGAATAAATTAATGATAAAATTTATGATTAATATTGATTTCGTTAATTATGTAAAATTACTGGGACACATAATGACGATTTGTTGTTGTTGCTGAACAATTTGGAAAGAATTTTGTTGTACGACTGGTATTGGTGTTTGTGGTTGTAATGGTTGAACAACTGGAATAGGTAAGGATTGCATTGATTCTGCGATGATACTACAACAGAAACCACTAATCGTATAACATATCGTTCCAGGTGGACATGACTGGATTGGTGAACAAGCTGCTACAGGTGATCCTGTATTTGGAGGACATACTTCTGAAGCATTTATATTATTTCTAGTATTTTGAAATTAACAAATCCATTTTCTTTTTTTTTTTTTTTTTGGACGTAAATGAAAAACAAAATAATTCCTTCAAATTAAAAATTTTAACTAAGATTTTATAATTTACAAAATAAGGGAGAAAATAAGTTGGATCGAATTATTTTGTTGAAAATAAAAGACAAAAAATGAAAATGTTCTGAAAATTATTATCATTTAAATTTATATAAACCTTGCAATTATTATAGTTATTTGTTATTATCATTATTTATTATTATTGTTATTATTATTATTATTATTAATTAGAATATTATTAGCATTTTCTTTTTCACTACTTATATTTTGGAGCTTTTAACAACTTAATATTAATCTTGATTTCAATAATTTAGAAAAAAAGACGTCTTCTCACTTTTCCTTTTCTTTAGTTTTATTCATATTTATTAAGATATTCCTCTTATATGCTATAAGAATTGAAAAAACTTATGGAAAGCGTACAATTCTTTAATGGCTTATTTATTCTTGTGCTTTTTTTCTTAAGCTCTTATTCAATTAAGCTTTCAGATTTTAGAAAACATTAATTTGTGTGCATATAATTATCTTTACAAGATCATTGCTTAGAAGTACGTTTTCTTCCCTTTTCATTACTTTTAAATGACCATTACAAATTAAAATTAAAAAATATAACAAGAAAGTATTATACCTGTTATCAAAAGTTTTGCTAATTTAATTGTAGTATTTGTATTTTAATGACTTTTGATTAAATGTATTAGTAAATTTAAACCTTGCAAAATTGTCCAACTTAGCTATTCACACACTTTAATTAAATTTTCATTTACTGTTATTCACATTGATTATTTAATTTTCCATTAAAATTTATATTATATGGAAGATCTAACGAGGTAAAAGATTATTCATAACAGGTACTGATATTGGTAATGATGGTTCATAATTAGTTGGTAGATTTGACATTGACTGACAGCAAACTTGATATTCCTAAATTATTTTACAAAATTAGCCTGATAAGAAAGAAAAAAATTTAACTAGAAAATGTATAAATAAAACTAGAAAAAAGTAATAAAGCTAAAGCACTGTTATTAATTTTTCGAGAAAAAAAAATGTAAATTTACAAAACCTCTGTGCATTGCGAGTTTCCAGGACATACATTCGTAAATGATTGTTGAGCACATCGACTAACCGGTAATGAACCTACCGGACAACCAAGTAAACGATTAAGCGTGCAAATTTGCAATCTTGCATCAAATGTTGTCCCTGCACCGCATCTTCTTGATGTCCATATTCCGCATGATCTATGCAACTTTTTCATATTCTCATAATTTAATATATTTTATCTAGTTAATGAGCAAAATTCATTCTTTGATAATTTTAAAATAAAAAAAATTTTTCCATAAATTTTTGAAAATTTTATAACTAATTTGAATATATTTTGGTATGGTATATTAATATGATTACTATTATTATATATTTAATATACAATTTAATATATTTAATATACAATTGCTCTTTTTTAAGCTGATTATTGAAAAGATGTTCCTTTCCAAAATTTCCACTATTTAATCTATTGATTTCTCGCGATATATTGATCGAATGACATCTAACAAGATGACCCCTTCCTTTCTCTTCCATCTGTTGCAGATGCATTTGATATCTACCTGGTTTGCTGTGGTATACACTGTAGGAAAGCAGCATTGTTAGTGGAATCGAGTTGTAAAGTTGATGATAACCAATCACAAGGCTCCATTTGCATTGGCGTTATATTTCTTACTAAATCTCATAAATCTTCAAGACTTAAAAAAAATGGAACGAATTAACGAATTTAAAAACATAACTTAATATCTATAATGAAAAATATAAATAATTTTAACTTTCCCATTGTTATTTTTAATCAGTTTTTGTCCCTAAATTCTCAGACAGCAAATAAATGATCTTTTTTGGGATTATCAGTAAACTAAAGGACAAATCATCTATTCAGAATTTTATAATTTAGATTCCTGTGAACAGCTTTTCTATGTCTAAAATAATGCTTTAAATTTTATTAAAAAATCGGATGCGACATAGGATTTATTTAATTTTGTTGATGAGTTTAGTTGAACAAATAGAAATATTAATAGCAATAACCTTGGCAAGTTTTTTCACATCCGTTAACAGTCGGATTTTGTTGACAGTTCGGTTGTTGTCTACGTAACTTATATTTTTCACTACAACCTTGCTTCATATAGTCAAAATGATGTTCTCCTGGGCAAGTTTGCTTTTTCCATATTCCAATTTTATTATCAACCAGAAAATAACGTTCGATCTACAATACTCATATTATGTAATAATAATAATAATAAAGTCTTTATAAAAGTGTAAATAGTATCAATTGGAGATCGATTTATATTGCTATAAATTTACAGATATCTTTTTTTTCCACATTAGAATTCCATCGAAGATTTCGAATTGTTTTAACATAAATAATTATGCAAACTTCTTGATCACTAAGCGGAATGCACTGGTAAAATGATTGTGGATTAGTAGCAGCACGAATGTGCTCAATAGTCATACATAAAGTATTTTCCATTGGTATATTTTCATTACCTGCAAAATTATTTATTTTTTGAGAGCAAAAAAAGAAGCATTAACAATACGAATTTAGAAGGTTTTTGTAGTTTATGTAAGTCAATACTGTTTAGAATTTTTTGTTCTCATGTTTTATCGTTTTTTTTTTTTTAATTCGCGGATTTTACTAAAATTTAATGAAAAACTTTAAAACTGGAATACGATAGATGTTATGCTTATTAATTGCTTTGTACTAAAATAGATAACTTACCGCCTACATAATGTAGTAGGAGAAAAAATATTTGGTAACTCATAAACATTGAAGAGAGTTAGTACTAGCAAAACAACAAAAAAAAAAAGAAATTAGTAATAGTAGTAATATTAGTACTGATAGTAATAATATTAGTGGTAATAGCTAATAATGCTGTCAATAGCAGTTTTGATAATTGAGTCGTACAGCACGAGAGCAGTAACGGTCAAATTTCTTACGAATGATTCTAATAAGATCGAAATCATAGTTAAGAGCAACTCACTTATCTTAAAATGTTTGCTTGAAAAGTATACCATTAACCATCAAACTAGTTCTCACATTATGGTCAAAAGTTGATTCTACTTATGTTATCCTAAAATCTAGTTTATTGTAGCTATCTAAATAATGTCCCGGTCCTGCTATACCACTTTTTTCGTTTTGTCACTTGAGTATCTCTTCAATAATATAAATGTCAATGCATACACCATAACTGCACACCGTTCCATTGCCCTCTCAGAATTATTTGCATGACTACGTCAGCATTTCAGTTATTTTAATAACTTTACTGTTTATTATATACAGTTTCAAGATAAAGCTCAATTGGTGGTCAAAGCATGGGAAATAAAAAAGCACAAAGTGTACAGAAACATCATTACACCAATACCCTAACAAACTAATACACTAACAAAACAAGAAATATGAAATATTGACTTTAGTACATAATGCTGCAGTCATAGTACATGTTACAATCATCATTGTTACCAATGTTTAGTATGTCATCCCAATATATATTTCGATATTTTTTATACAAAGGAAACTTATTTCGTACAGGTCTTTGATGACCCGCCGCCAGAATTTCTTGAATTGGTTGTAATACATTACGGCACGATATATTTTATCTATTCGTTCTTTCTCTACAGATAAAAAACATACAGTAGTAAGGGCAAATAGCAATTCAAAATATTGGAATGAAAAACAAAATTATTCACAAAATACCTTCGCTGTAAAGGGCAGCAGTAAGCGTACCCCACTGGCTCTTGTACCTTAGACAGCAACAAAAGATTAAAGTTTGGAAATCATTTCTGCGAAGATAAAATCAATTGCGCACCTAATAACTAAAAGTAACTTAAGAAAACTGCTAAGTTGCAATACTGAAAGACTCGCCAATATCACTTTTGTTTCTAAATCAAAATAATTGCAAACTTATAGAGGTATATTTACTAGTTTTTCATCCTGCATCTTTATACTCTTCGATCTTTATGGCAATAGATATCGCATTTATACTTTATGCATTAGTGACGTCAACGTAACTTATTCATACAAATATACAAGTAGATTTTTTCGAATTATCGCAGGAAAAACAAACCAAAAAAAAAAAAAATGACCAGTAGGAAGTAATGCTGAATATAATCAAAATGATGGATGATTTTGAATTAGTTGTTCAAGTCGGCTATTGAAAAGTTCATTGCTTAATTGCGCATTACTTTCAATTAGCACATTTTTTATCACTCCATCGACATATGCCTTAATTTGCACATTCATGATTTAACTTTACATCCATATTTTCATTCTTTTTGAACCAGTCAACGACAAAGTACTTTTTTACTCGTAATTTCAGTAAAAGAATAACAAAAAGCTGCATGCAAAAGAGTACTACTTCCGATTAGTTAAGTGGAGTGATTAATTAAATGAAAAGTACAAATATACATGCCGTCCATTACCTGATAAATACTACGCATAAGCTCAGGAATCCCGGCTGCATTTGGATCCGTGTTGAGAACCATTTTCAATCCAGTGGGTGTTTCCAGATAGTTTAACTTATATTGACTAGTTTCAAAACTATTCACTTGTTGAATTCTAAAACAGCAATCATCATTTTGGAGAGATAAAAAGAAATCAGAAAGAAGTGTAATTCCGAAATGTGAATAACATATCCATACATGCAAACAATTGAATTGAAAATTTTTTTCAGAACTAACCCAGCTGCTGTCGAAAGTTTCAAAGCGAATGAGCGTAATGATAATAGCATGCCATACATTAATTTCAATTCCTATAACTTTTTTTCATGATTATAAACTACACGTCATACATATTTCGGTACGATTTAATTGAATTTATGAGAAAATACCAAGAATAAGCACCTGTTCCATTGACATTACCGCTTTTTTTTCCCGTCTCCATTCCCTGTATAGAACACATGCGCCATCTCGATTAAACAAGTAAAAATTGAATATTGTCATTTCATCCTCAATTACTTTCGGATGATGATTATCTTAACTGAAAACAAAAAATGAGATACGATGATTAAAGTGACATCAATGATCACCTACTATGTTTTCGTAAGACGGCAAATTTACCAATTGCTTATTTACTTAAAGTTACACGTCACAGTACTCCCTCTTCCTAATCATATTGCTCTCATATTAAATACTATTCCATCTTCCTGCATCATACACCCATTATGTGAGTAACTTTTTTTCCTTTTCTTTACAATGTGAGCCAACGTGTTACTGAAGATATGGGAATAACATACATAAATGTTGATGCAATATAGAATGCATTTTGTCATTTCATTTCCCACACCATATGAAATTTTCCTATTTTTTCAGGTATGGGCAAAATTATTCTTCTAAAATAAATGAACAACTAATAATAGGAAGACATCGATTATGTTACCACCTACCCACTTTGCTGACTCTGCTTTCAATTTCTATTTCTCTCTAACTAACCAGCCTACTCTCTCGTCAACTTTGCTCTACCAAAAGTAAGGGTACTTATCACCGTCCCTGCTACTACCCTTCCCACAGCTTTACCCGAATAAAAAAGCACCTCAACAAAAGAAAGAAGTTGGGAGTTGACCATGAGTGAACCAGGAAATACCGAACGGGCCATGAAAGAACAGCTGAAACAACACGACATTCCGGAATTGTTCACGTTGACCATTTTCGGGAATCAAATCTGCATGTTCGTTGATAGTTAAGTAATTAGAGTACAATAATGTTACCCGGATAGCTGTTTAGCATTCTGGTATTAATCCATTTCATTGTTTTGTTGACCTGGAATTGACTGAATGACCTTGCGTTTTAGTTGACCAAATTTATAAAATTCTTTGCTTCAAATAAAATCATTCAAATGACTCCTACCTTCAATGATATTTATTAGTTAAATTAACATCTTGCTTCAATAATTTTCTTCGATCATATCTACTTTGATCGTATGTTACACTGAAAAATGGAATCAGAGAACGATGTTTAATTCACGACGCAAAAATTCAATTTCAAATTCGTTGAAATATTATCAAAAAAATTGTCCTCAGTTCTAAATCATTAATTGGATGTATTCGTCCATACGTTATCATATCATATGCGTTTTGTAATTAGCGACATTTAATTTCATAGTCTCATCAGACACTAATTTCGAAATGGCAATAAAAAAAATCTGTCGATAGATGGTCAGGTAGCCCCCTGTTTTCTGCAGTGAGTGAAGTTAAATATGTTATGATCTCATCATCATTCTAATTCTACTCAATGTCACCATTTTGCATGTAAGTGACCCAATGCTATTACTATTCACCATGTGGAAAATAACTATTAATAACAATCAGTGATAACAACGATCGAAATAATATAAACGCAGTTAGAGATAAAATGATAATATTAATAATAAATAATAATAATAGACTAAATAATAATAAAATGATAATATTAATAATAAATAATAATAATAAAAGGATAAATATTCACTACTGTCTAAAATTTTTTATACATTCACAGTTATTCTGTTTGTTTAACAGGTCACTTTTTGCTAAGTTTTTTTTCGTACGAAAGTCGAACTGTTATAAAACTTCGCCATTCAGGAAACGAATTGTTAGGTGAGGATTTCAAGGCCAACCAGTAAGCTTTTCTTTAAAGTATACAAAAGTTGAATCATTATAAATTTCTTCAGCGTCCAAATAAATGGACAGTTAGATGAGAATATGAAACAATATGATTATTTTTGTAGCAGAATCAGAAATAACGAGGTATGCAATGTTTTTTCTTTCTCATCTTTTTTACCATCTTTCTCCTTCTAGTAAGTAAATATCATACATCCTTATCATGATACGATATATGATAAATCATCATTATACTTTATTTCTCTTTCTCTTTCGAATATCATCGATTGATTGTAATGCATAAGTTTGGGTTAGATATATACATATTAGTGTGACCTGTGATGTGGCCATCCTTTTGGACATAAAAATTAAAAATACACAGGACAAGGTCAAGCACATCGATAACTTAAATGGTCTTTCCACTGAAGTTTTTTTTTTTCGTAGATATGCTCCCCTTCATTATACTTGTTGTGCATACCTCATATATATATTATCTCTCCCCATTTCATCTTTTTTACTTTTTCCTCCTAATAAATACACTATATCCCTTTCACGTCGTAAATGCTATTTCTTGCTGATGGACATAAAGGTCATTCATTGATTTAGTCCAAAATGAGAAAAGGGTCAGCAGTGAGAAAATGATGACCCTCCCCCTTTCCCCCCTTTTTCCTCATCTTCCGTCAATTTGACCCCTCCAATAATCAAAGCCATCTTGATGCATTAGTAACCTTCGTCTCTTTCCAAGATGTTTTCTTTTCTACATTTTGGTTAGTTTGCTTTGTATAAATTGTCAGACTTTCAACATTTCCTCCCAGTGTAACTCATTAAGAAGTCACGTATGTGTGGTCAGATATTGCTACTCCAACTCAGATGTTTTATCCCTTCGTTTTCTTCTGTTTTCCGATGATATTGTTTCGTACAAAATTTAGAATTTCTTATGGCTGATATGTCGACATCTCTAGAGAATATTGGTATAATTAAAGGACTATTAGTTACATTTGCATAACGTAACAATCTTGCTAATTGAATCTTACGTACCTGAAATGATAGGAATCAGTGAATCAATCGATCAATCAATCAATCGATCAGTGTATCCTCGTATTTTATAGTTCTCTGTTATGACTACTACTGGATTCTTCGTGCTTAATTCCATTCTTAATTTATAATATGCTAATATTCTGCACTTCTCTCGTAAAATGTTATTAATATTATTGCTGTTGTTATTGTTGTTCCTCTTCCTCTTCTGCTTATCTCTTCCTGCATATTCTCACATCTATTTATGTGTTTGTGTCAAGTCTTTTCCGCTAATGTCTGTAAATCTCATTATTTTCAATGATTTCTTATGGTTTTCTTTCCTTTCTTTGTTACACTATCCTCGAATGTATTATTTTTGTGTCGTACTATTCCTATCTCTCGTTCAGGTGCCGTTGTGTTTCGTTCTTTCCACATTCTTCTTTGCTCCCTCCAATTCACATTCCTTCTCTGATCTTTTTTGCCATGACATGCGTTGCGGTTGTGATGTGTCTAGTGTGCGCGCTTCTGTTGCATTCTATGGGATATTGTGAGATAGGGGGGGATTGTTGTGTGAGTGAGTTTTGGAGTGTTCGTGGATTAGTTGCCTCGCACATACCGTGGGATGGCGGGCCTTTGGAGATTTTATGATGATCTAAAGTAAGAATAAGTCAAGTACCAGTGTTGGGATACTGATGATGGGGAAGGATGATCATGTCACGAATATTCGGGCTAGGATTTGATGGACATGTAAACTAATAAAAGTGGTTTTCACGAATTGCAATATGGATGCTTGTTCACTCCATGTGTTTATGTCCAGGTGGAAACATATTATGATGATTTAGCAGTTAATTATTATGAGATTTCGTTGGATAATCAAATGTACACTGTTTGAGTGTGCAACTAGCGGGACCATTAGCTTCATAAACATATTATCTATATTTTATAAGTATGGTGCCTACAATGCCTGTTTTTCTTAGAGTATCTAAATCAGGCATTTGAAACTTTTTAAATGGGGAAGTATTGTTGGTTAATTGGATGAAGTTTCATTTCATTGTTCCACTTTATTTAGCTAATTTTTTGTACTTTTTAGGGGCTTATGCAGACACGTGATGTGCAGCATAACCGCGTGAGCCATCTTTATGCAATTATTGTGAATGATATCACTGCATTATCAATTTCATCGTTCTTTCACATTTGATCTCTGGAGCGTTATTAAAAGCAGTAAGGTAGGGATTATTTTTGTCCCGAGACTGTTGGTTCGAATGCATCCTATTTTTTTTTTTGACGTTCTTTAATCAAACGAAAGTGTTTATCAACTTTTTTTTTTGCTCATTGCAGCCTCAGATATGCCGGATGGAGTATCTATTGCATTATGAAATATTCGTTTTTTTATTGTACTTTCGCAGTTATTCAGTGAGGAATGTGTAGGTAGCTATATACAGCGATGGATTAGATAGGTCATCTGGCAAATCTAGCTTCTCACATCCACTTTTAATCATACATTTATAAATTTTATAAACTCAGTCCTCTAATTTGCTATGTTTGTTCGGTTGCTCGTATTTTCTGCCGGTCACCTCACTGTATGTTTGCGGTACTTCATATGGATTGTTTCAGTCTTATCGGTAATAATCCAACTGTTTAAACATATTATAACTGGAAGCAAAAAATGGCAGCAATCGATCAGCAACAACAACAAGTTCTGAGTTTGTTGGGTCAGTTTACTTGTTTCTGTGAATAAGATTCTGTGGATTTTTTTTCTTTCTATGATTTGAGAAATTCATAGTAACTTTTCTATCCGGGACTTGCACGAATCTGTATTTAAAATGATTATTAGAAGCTTAACTTATTTTTATGTAGTAACGCTTCTAATTTTTACAGAAGCATTCAATTTTGGCGATCGGCAAGGTGCATCAGCCTCGGGTATGGCACCATATCAACCCTTTCTGCAGCAAGTACCAAATCTTTTGGGGAATCCTCAGTTTCCTCAAGCCGGGAGCACCCAGTACCATATCCCACAACAACAGCAACAACAAACAGCTTTGCAGACATCACTTCAGGTTTCCTTATTCTGATTTCAGTAGGTATATAAATAACATAACTTTTATTGATGCCATCGTTAGGTTGTTACCGTTTGATCAGCGTAACACGAATATTGGCTATATTATTCATTATTTGTTACACATAGTTATGCTTTTCAGGACGCTTACCAGTTAGCTCCAATCAATCCCGCTCCGGTGCAAATGATGCTTGGTGGTAGTGGTGGAGCACCGTCGTTCGACAGTCGTCCTGCTGGATCTTTGGCACCCGGTGGGCCAGTAGGGAGTGGCGATGGCTCGGAAGCACCTCTTCCTCCTCCAGCTAATGTACCGCTGCAACGTCCGACTGGACAATCATCTGGTAGGAGATTGTGTTCCGTAGTCTTTTGAGTGGCTTAGTTGTTTCAGTAATATAGTCTTTGTTAGAACTTTTTGTAAGGTAAAGGTAATCCTCTTCTAGGATATAATTCATCTTGTATATTTCATGTTCATCAATATAAGGAAGTCTATGATTGTTATTTATTTTTTTTAGGACCGATACAATTCCAATGCCCTCGCAGACCTAATCATGGCATAGAAGGGCGTGCAATTGTTCTACGCGCAAATCATTTCGCTGTTCGTATACCGGGAGGTAATATTCAGCATTATTCTATTGATGTGCAGCCGGACAAGTGCCCGCGTCGAGTTAACAGGTTCATTAGCCTTTTTTTTTTTTTTAACATTTGACTTTTTTTACTTTTATTATAGGTTGTATTTAACTGTACAATTTTAGAGAAATTGTGAATACCATGATTCGTGCCTATCAAAAAGTGTTCAGTAACATCCGTCCAGTATATGACGGAAAACGTAATATGTATACTCGAGATCCATTGCCAATTGGGCGCGAAAGGCTGGAATTGGAAGTCACACTACCAGGCGACTCTGCTGTTGATCGACAGTTTACTGTTGCTATTAAATGGGTTTCCACGGTAACTTATCTTTAGTTTTCCGCTTCAGATGTTGCGAAATGCTATTCTTGAAAAAGCTTTTTTTTCCTCAGGTTTCATTATCGGCTCTGGAAGATGCAATGGAGGGACGAGTCCGTCAAGTGCCTTTCGAATCTGTGCAAGCAATGGATGTGATTTTGCGGCATTTACCAAGTTTAAAGTATGCATCATAGATTTCCCTCTGAACTTTATAGAAATGAAAGGACTTTTTATATATGTTGCGTTTTTGTGTTCTGGAGTATACACCTAGAAATTTACTCAATTGATTTTTAGGTACACCCCTGTTGGACGTTCATTCTTCTCGCCGCCATTAGGCTCAGCTCATGGCCCATCACATTCAGCACAACAGTACCATACGGAAAGTAAGCTCGGTGGTGGTCGAGAAGTTTGGTTCGGTTTCCATCAAAGTGTACGACCAAGCCAGTGGAAAATGATGCTCAATATTGATGGTTAGTTTTCGTAACTTTTATAACTTTTTCATTAATAATTTGGCTTTAATTCATTAACTGAATCGGGTCTGTCTTACTGTTTAACGTTTCTTTACGGAAAAAGAAGAAGCTGTATTCTCTGTCTGATTTTGAGATAAATATTGCATGATTTGCATTTGTAGAATACATGCTAGCTGTGTTATGGAAATTGGGCATACTAAGGAAATATTTATACAGTGAAAAGACTGTTATCTTGTATGGTTTAAATGCACTAGGAAGAATGAAGGTTTTTGCAGTAGTGGATGATTTATTAGCTACTGATCATATCACCAGAATATTAAATTTTTACCAGCTCCCATCATATGCTTCAGTTTCGGCAACCGCATTTTATCGCTCAATGCCGGTGATCGAATTTATTGCGGAGGTGTTGGAGGTACCGGTACAAGCGTTATCCGATCGCCGTTCCCTCTCAGATGCTCAGCGTGTGAAATTCACCAAGGAAATACGTGGTTTGAAAATTGAGATAACTCACTGTGGTTCGATGCGACGTAAATACCGAGTGTGTAATGTTACTCGAAGAGCAGCACAAGTACAAACGTTAGTTTAGTATTGCATTTCCATAGTATGAAAGCAGTTTCTGACAAATAATGTTTATCTGTGTTTTTTGTTCAAATCGCTATCCTTAACAAATGTTTTCGTTTGCTTTGGTAATAGGTTATATTAAATTTTATGACAACTGAATGTGCGACAAATTATTCCGATGACATGGTACAGGTATACATGTTTTTATCTCGCTGGAGGTTTCATTTCATTATCTACTGCACAAGTCATATTGCTTATATCTATGTATAAGAAGTTTCCGAGAAAGAAATACTGTTTCATCGGTCGTTCACTTTTTGCAGATTTCCGTTGCAACTGGATTCAGGGCAAACCATTGATTGTACAGTTACCAAATACTTTTACGATAAATATCATATGCAGCTGAAGTATCCGCATTTGCCATGCCTCCAAGTAGGTCAAGAGCAGAAGCATACGTACTTGCCGCCGGAAGTTTGTAATATCGTTCCTGGTCAGCGGTGCATCAAGAAACTTACGGATACGCAAACGAGTACAATGATCAAGGTTGAAATTAATAAAACCCTAGTAACTCTGTTCACTAATTTTTGAATAAATTGTAAAAAATGACCAATAAGCATATTGTAGGCAACAGCAAGGTCTGCGCCGGAACGTGAACGTGAGATATCAAATTTGGTTCGAAAAGCGGAGTTCAATGCTGATCCATTTGCTCATGAATTCGGTATCGCAATAAATCCGGCGATGACTGAAGTAAGTTGCAGTTATGATTTATTAGCATTGGTTTAAACTTTAGTAGCACAACCGGTTTTGTGAGAAGGATGAATTTGTAAGATTATTAAGGCAGAGTTTTTTACCAGATTGAGTTTCGATTACTTATGTTTTTTAACACTTTAAGGTGAAAGGTCGTGTACTGAACGCACCGAAGTTACTGTATGGCGGTCGCACGAAAGCGACAGCATTACCCAACCAGGGCGTTTGGGATATGCGTGGAAAACAATTCCATACTGGTGTGGAAGTGAAAGTTTGGGCAATCGCGTGCTTTGCGCAACAGCAACATGTTAAAGAAAATGATCTCCGGTTGGCAAACGTTTTTGTTATCATAAGCTTAATTGTCTTATAAGTGAATAAATCAAGGCTGGAGTTCTCAATGTTGTTATTTTAGCAATTTCACTACACAACTGCAGCGAATCTCTAATGATGCGGGTATGCCGATCATGGGGCAGCCATGCTTTTGCAAATATGCAGTTGGTGTTGATCAAGTAGAACCAATGTTCAAATACCTCAAGACATCATTCGTAAATATTCAGCTTGTTTGCGTTGTCCTGCCCGGAAAAACACCAGTATATGGTAATTTATTATTTAAAGTTTGTTTTTTCGCAGTTCTTAATCTTGAAGCAGATATTGTTCGATATGTAACAAAATCAGTGCTCTGCACTATTTCTTCATTAGTATGTTGTAGCTCATTAACATCTGCTAGTGTTATTAATCCATGTCTTGATAAATTATATTCTTTGGTCGCTTGTGATTTAAAGAAATTTTCTAGCTGAAGTCAAACGAGTTGGTGATACAGTATTAGGCATTGCTACACAATGTGTACAAGCCAAAAATGTAATCAAGACGACACCTCAGACACTGTCTAATTTGTGTTTGAAAATGAACGTTAAGTTAGGTGGTGTGAATTCGATTCTTCTACCTGCTGTTCGGCCCAGAATCTTCACTGAACCAGGTATGGAACATACTTGGTTTCATTCGCTTTCCTTTAGGAGTTAATTACTTTTCTTTTTAAAGAATGGGTCACCTGGGTGTTTTGCACTATCTTTTTTCGATAATATTGCTATATGTGAGGGTGTGGCATTTTAGTGATATTCCTTGGTTGTGACATAACCCATCCTCCTGCTGGTGATTCGCGCAAACCGTCCATTGCTGCTGTTGTTGGAAGTATGGATGCTCATCCGTCGCGCTATGCAGCTACTGTCCGTGTGCAAGCCCATCGACAAGTAATATGATTACGTTTTAAATATAAAATGAAGACGCTTCTATATTTTTAACATAGTGTCATTTTTTTTCTCATTTTTCATGTGACGCAGACATTTTTCTTTTTCAGGAAATAATCAGTGACCTTACGTATATGGCGCGCGAACTTCTTATTCAGTTTTATCGTTCGACTCGTTTTAAACCAACTCGAATTATTATTTACCGTGATGGAGTATCAGAGGGACAGTTCTTCAACGTGAGTATTTCCTAATCATGAATGATGACATGACGTGGAGTTTGCAGTAGAAGATCAATTTTCAGTTGGTTTGCAGGTTTTACAATATGAATTACGAGCACTGCGCGAGTGTTGTATGTTATTGGAGGAAGACTATCAGCCAGGAATAACATTTATTGCCGTGCAGAAAAGGCATCATACTCGTTTGTTTGCTGTTGATAAAAAAGATCAGGTAATATACATTTACATTTGGTAAATAGTTTTACTACACTTCTGATCGATTTGGTAGAAATTTTGAAAATTATTAAATGACCGATATTACTCAAAACAGTCACTTTTATACTGTTTTGTATGCTGTAACAATGCTCTCACCACACAAGATTATTTTTTTAAGGTTGGGAAAGCTTTTAATATTCCACCTGGAACAACAGTTGATGTTGGTATAACACACCCTACTGAATTTGACTTCTATCTTTGTTCTCATGCAGGAATTCAGGTTTTTCTTTTCTTAAGTGTGATTTCCGTTGGCTACTAGCTTTTTCTTAAAAGTCTAAATCAGGGCTGCATTGGGAGATTTCTGAGGAGAAAATTGGAAGGTGGAACTTTATCAAATGCAAATTTGAAATTTAAAGTTAGACCTTCAATTTATTATATATCGAAGTTGATGTTATTTGATGTGAACTTCTGAACTGTTTAGCAATGTATGAATAATCATATGTACCATACATATATGTTCATTGTACAAGATAAAATAAATATATTTATATATTTATTTATAACGTATGGTTCAGGGAACATCCCGTCCATCTCATTATCATGTACTTTGGGATGATAATCAGTTGAGTGCTGATGAGCTGCAACAATTGACATATCAGATGTGCCATACATATGTCCGTTGTACAAGATCTGTTTCGATTCCTGCGCCCGCATATTATGCGCATTTGGTGGCGTTCAGAGCACGTTATCATTTGGTTGATCGCGAGCATGACAGGTATATAAGACCGATCATCCACATTACATATATTATATTTCACTGAAATAGGAAAATTTGTTAATTTATAATACTTCTTGCAGTTGATACTGGATTTTAAAATAAATTTATTGTAATGGAAAGTAAAGTTGTCTTGTAATAACATTCTTTAACAATGAATACACTTTTTTATAGTGGTGAAGGTTCTCAACCTTCTGGAACAAGTGAAGACACGACTTTGAGCAACATGGCACGTGCAGTTCAGGTCCATCCAGATGCAAACAATGTCATGTATTTCGCTTGAAAACGAGTCTTTTTATTATTAACCAAAGTTTTCTTACAGAAAATTATTCAAAATTATCTCCATGCAGTTTATTCACTATTCGCTTTCTTCTGAAGTGTTTTTTTCTTCAGTGCACATGTTATTTGTCTTGAATAGAGTGATTTCTGCACATAAATTCATGCTCATGAGCATATCTGCTTTCTGAACTCTTTTTATTTCTTCCTTAATACCATTAATATGAGTATGCATATGCCGTCAAAAATCCATTTTTTATTTTTATATGTTTTGAATTTTCTTTTGAAACCATTCATTTATCTTTTTGTCTTTCAGTTGCAGACCTTCATCTTCATCTTATATAAAATTCCCACAGTTTGAAGTTTGAAACGGAATATACGACCTCTTTCAGCCTTAAGCTTTACATGACTTCATTATCAGATGGATTGCCTGTCTAACTGTGTCTTGTTCTTTTTAACGGCAAGCAGTCGATTGTTCCCGAGTAGGAGGAAGCGGAAGCTTTCACAATAATCTATAGATCTTCGTTATTGTAATTTTGTTATATATTAGACAGTCCTACTTTTTAGTGTATGTGAAATCCACAAACGTAATATTTTCTGTCACATAGAAGCTTTTTTCTAATATTAATGCTTTTCTAAATCTTTCTAGCAAATAAGTAGTAAAGACGTTTTCATTCTTGCTGATGATTATGGAGTAATAGTTTAAATAGATTATATTTTTTCAAGTAGTGAGTGAAAACATTTAATGTATCCATTGTTATTTGCATGCACCCACATATTGCTTTAAATGTTCCAGGAAGGAAGGGGAAAAGAGAATTGCGGAGTTTGAGTGTTATCAGACACTGTATTTGAGCATCATTTTGTGTTTGCTTTTGAATAGTTTGTTATGGAAGGGACATCGAACTAGTGATACAGATGGTGCGTGAAGCGTACCGTGACGATATACAAGTGTGGTCGACCGCCATCCATTTTAAACGGCGGCCCAGACCGGGAAAATTGTGTCACGGGCACGATTCCGTCACTTATTTGTATTGCATTCATCAAGAAATAAGTCCATACAGATATGATTTAAAAGACCCGGTATAAAGTAATAGGACGCTTCACTTTGATTTTCGGTTCTGTAGCATGCAAATTATGATCATTATTGTCGTGCAGTATGATCCGGTATGTGTTAAAATAACTAGCAGTTGTCTTTCGTTATCGATGCTACTGCCATCTCTCTATTCCTTCATTTCTTGCTTATCTCTAGCAGTGTGTTATCAAGTGAAGTGTCGGTTATATTGGAGATGTTTTAAGATCCACATGCCTTTCAGTTTTCTGCCCCGGTTCACTTCCAGTGAAGCTACTTTTGAATTGATTATCACATTTCAGTCTTATTTGAAGGAATATTTGTAACTGGAGAGCTTTAAATCAGTTTGTTGAGAAAAGTTTTTTCGAATCTAAATTCATCGTTGTTATACCTAGGATACGCAGTCTCTTGTTTTCCTAGGAACCCGGTTATAAAATGACTCTCCCGATGCTACTCATTTCCTTTTTGTGTGATTTTATGAACTGATTCATTTTTCTTTCGTTCTGTAAGCAGTTCTATTGAATCTTCCTCTTCCTACTGATAGTGATCTATTCTCCTTCCTTCTTACTGTTATCGATACTCCTAAAATTCCACTCTCCAGAGTTACTTTTCTGTTTCTCTCCTTGAAGTTTTTATTTTTTATGAAATCACATATACGTCTTCGTTGTTGCAATAAATCACTTGGTTCTGTGGCTTTCTCATAGCGTGTTTTACTGCTTTCTGTAACAGAACATTGTTTGGATATGGTTGTGCTTCAGGATTGAACTGTAAAACCATGCAAGAGAATATTGGTGCACATTTAAATATATAAAGAAGTGAAAAAGTAAGAAGGATATGATTCTGTCAGTTTTATCGAAATGCAGAGACTGAGGGTCCTCTATTGATTTATGCATAGAAACAGAATTCGTAGGGATGTTGGTTACGGTCATTTCATTTTTTTTACTCCTACTAAGTTGTTTGGTCGTATAAGGGCGTGTGTGTGTGTGTGATAGACTTAATTTGGTTTCTCTTACATAGGGTAGAAGATGACAGCCAGCATTATTTTTGTTAATGAGCTTTTCATATGTAATTTATTCATAACCATATTGATAATTAAGGAAAAACGGTCTAGCATTCTATTAAGGTCGAACGATTTAGCAAGAATATTTAAATAATTGTAACACACTGGTTTCAGGGAAAGCCGTCTTTTTAGAAATTTGTAATTTTATGTGTAAAAGAGGACTCAATAATTATAATACAATGCAATTTAAATGTTGTCATGTTGATATTAGCAGATGTTTGAGTGTTTCAGTAAATGAGTCGAACTTCAAAGAAGGACGAGAATTCTGAATGGCAATAGCTGAAACAAGATCGTGTATGTGAAATGAATAAATTTCACATATTTATGATTATCAGAAAATTGACCGTTTACATTCCATTATTTTCTACACGATTATTATTCACTTAACTTGTGACTAATTTTTCCGATGTAAAATAATATTTCAAAATTATATATGACTGTAATTTAAATTTAAAAGAAGATACACAAAGTATCACATTTTCTTTCATATCGCAAATATTTCTTTTATTTTTTTTATTATTATTTTTACTTTTTTTTTTTTCTAGCCTTTTCTTCGCTTTCTTCCATTACTGCAAATACTTTGCCAATTTATGTAACAATTGAACCGAAACAATTGACTTTTCACGATCATACTAAAACGAGCAGTGTTTTATTGCGCATAATGTTTGTTAACTTCCATATTTTCATCTGAAATTTAAAATTGACAGTAATTCAAGAAAAAAAAAAAGAAGAGTAAATTGAATATAAGAAATATAAGCTTAATTTATTCACCGATAAGATTTATCATTAAAATTATTCAGAAATGTTAGCCGTTTGCGCATTGCATTTCGAATTCGTACCAATGCGCCAACACAATATATTGTTATGCCAGCTACCGGTTTCTTATCTGCTAATGGAAGCATTAATGTAGGTGATGTGAAGATAGGTCTGTCATTCTTCAATGCATTTAATCTTTCCTTATATTAATATTTAATCAGTCAATCAATTATTCAATGATGAAATATTAAGATATTAATAACAAATTTAAATATGAGAAAATATCGTCGACGACATCGATTCATAATTCAAGCTATGAAAGCAAAAGAAAATGACACAGATCGTAGAAAGATATGGAATGATGCAAATATGGAAAATTTGGATTTAGTTCAGTGTATACGAGTCTTTACATTGTTAGTGCAATTAATTATTTCATAAATTTTTTATAATTAGATACTTTGCATAGAAATTAGAAATATTTATGTAGTACAATGGAATGATATAATGAAAGAAAAAATTTATAAATTTATGATCTTTTTTTTTTAGCATACAAACATTTATTATTTAAATGTGTTTATCCAATACGATGAACAAGCAAAATTTCAATAACATTTATTTTCTTATCTATAGGAAAGCAAACAGACAACGGTCGGACAAATCAATAAGTAAGGAAGAATTTGATGAACTAGCAATACCATCTAGTTCTGAAAAGGGTGAATCTGAAACAACTTCATTGCAAGTGCAATTAATGACTGATGAAGAAAAGTCAACGAAAATTAACGAATTAAATAAACAAATTAATAATAAATTAGGTTCGTTTTTTTTTCGCCCTATTTTTTATTTTAAGAGAAAAAAGTAAAATTAAATGGCATTCTGTTTATGCCATTCTGTTAGAATACATATTGTAATGAGTACAAGTTTCAATCAAATTTCCACATATAGACGAAAAGAGAAAAGAATGCGAGAATTTGCTGGAAGCAGTAAATGAAGTAAAAAAATTAGAGACTGATTTGGATCGAGCAACAATCCAGTGTAATGATCTTAATAAGAAGATTATTCTCAATGAAGATCAGCAAAAAGTAACAAATAAATTTAAGCTAACTTTTTTTTTTTATTTTCCTACAATATTAAAGAAAAAAAAAAGAAAAAAAAGAAAAACATTTGATTAAACGACTAACAACAACAAAAAAAAAAAAACAAAATTATTTGTGGAAAAATTGGAAATTATTTTCAGATTATTAAAGAAAAACTAGCAAAAATGGATGCAATTTTGGACACAATGAAAATAAAATGATGCATTTATCAATTTAAATTCTTTCATAGCGATTTAAAATATGAAATCTTCTTAATGAGTCAATAAATATATATTTTGCTATGGATTTTTTGTCATTTCCAACTTTTTTTTTTTGCACGTCTTTTCCAGATGTTAAATGAAATGCAATGAAAAAGTTAGAAAAACCAAATTTGGATGAAATTAAATTAGTTAAATCATTGAAAAGCATAAATTAAATGGACAAATTTTAATGATTGGAAGCACTTTTCCAGTCAAAAAAAATAGAAATATATAAATTTTATTAAATCGTCTACACGTTTCACACATACATATATATATATATATATATATATATATATATATATATATATATATATATATATATATATCAATTCCTGGCATTTATCTTTTAAATAAAAAACATTTCAAGTCAGTTTCTGATTTTAAATATTTAAAATTATTGATTAATTGAATTTGTTTGTAATTAAAGAGTTAGATAATTAAAATTTATTAAATTCTTATTCAGAAATTTTGTCTGAAATCAATTTTAAAATAATGAGTGAATGACACTTTGTAGCATATAAAAAGTGAAATTCTACTGTTAATAACTTATGAACATGTATGTATAATACAATCAATTGTTGTCAAAATTTGTACATTTAATCTATAGTCTTTTTCTACTTTTTTCTTTCATTTAATTTAAAAGCAATTCTTTTGCACATATAATTAACATTATTTATGTTATTTTTCTACTACATCAAATTCTTTCAATACATTATTAATGACTAATTAAAAAAAAACAAATTATGAAATATTTTAGATACAAAAAAATGCGGGAAAATATACAAAAGTATTTATTGTTTATCATTTTCTATTCAATAAGTTAAATTTTCACTTGATTTCATTTGATTGTAAATGATAATAAAGTACTGAATCGTATATAAGATTTAATAAACATATTACTATAATAATTTAAAATATCATGATTTCATTTTTCTTCACATCTATCTCCAATTAAATTATTACTCACCTTTAACCACAGTAGAACGCCACTCCATATGCTTCCTTTGATGTCAGACTTTTATTGGTGTCGGTATTGCAGATATTTTATCAATAATTATGTGTTTGCTGAATAGTCAACAAAATTAAAGCAAATTCCCAAAATTATTTCGATTCTCCTATCTGATCTCACAGATCTCACAATGGATTTAAGACAGTTATACCTGAAAGAGATGGCACATCATGCTACCAGTCTTCATTTCTTACCTGACACCGTACTAACATTTACTGACATTGATTTTATTTGACTTATTTCCTGATCGTCTATCAGATAAATTGACAAAACAGTACAACATTCCAAATATTTATTTCCATCCAATATTTATTTTCATCCCATAAAACTAGGTAGAAGACCCGTTTTGATTCTTAATGTATCCTCGATACCGTTTGTAGCAAACGTTTGTTTTTTTTCAAATGTTCCTTTTGTTCATTTTCCTCTGCTGTCTTCCGCTCCATAAATTTCTCTCGATCCCATAACTCATTTTTGAACAAGGATAACTGTATAAATGGATATGCTCAACAAAAAAGTCACTTTTACTTAAATATGCCCGTAAGACTACGATGAGTAATCACATGAGGACAACAGTATAAAATAAGTTTGTTATTGTCATGGCATTGTCACAATTTATATTTTTTGTGTAGCTTTCTGAGAAGACATTGCTTCTTAAGTATTGCTGGAAAGTACACTTGAACGTGCCTTCAAACAAATGAACAAATGAAGAAGCTTTTGAAGAAAGAGCATTAGCTGAAGATGAGAAAGATTATTTTATCTAAACTTTTTTTATTTTATCTAAACTTCACTGAAGTTGTACTTAGTAAGATAAAGGTCAACGCAGTAACGATCTTTAGATTGATATATTTATCTCGAGCATGACAAAATGTTTCAACCATAGTTCATAGTAGAAACATTTAATATCACAATTAAATTTCAAATTTGTTCCTGAAGCAATAACAAAATAATGGAATATTATGATAAGTAACAAATGCACGAACTGTTTTATCATTATTGCTAAAATCCGGGTGAATCATTCCAGTTTGAATGCTATTTATGCTTTTCGGAATGGGTTGTCATTGTTTTGTTGGTATCTGCAAAATTTAATTTGTATACTTACGAAATAGTTTAAGTGCAAAAGATATAAGAGTCAAATTGCTATACCATGCAGCATATATAGCGAAGAATTAATTTATCCTAATAAATAAAGTATCTGTTATTGTAGGGTTAAATATCAGATAAGATTAACCGATTAACCTGAATTTTTCGTTTCGGTACTTTTCAATGATGATTTCAAATTTGATTCCGTTACTGGATATATCTGAAATTGATGTTTCTCATTTCTTTTGCCATTTAATTTTGTTATGAAGTTATCCATTGTAAATCCACTTAGAAAATGAGTAAAGTTATCAATGAAGAATAAGAAATGTAAGAAAACAAGGTTGCCTTTTTTGCTTTAACACACTTTGAATCTGATTTATTCGATAGCGATAAATTGAATTTAATTTTTTTATTAGGTAGTGGATTTGAATCGAAGTTCGATTTTGCATTCCTGTCAAAGAAGTTTGCAAATATTTTTATGATATATCGTAACAAACAATCTAATCATTCACTAAGGAGACAAATAATTCTTAACAAGTGAATAAGATTAATACAATTAGATAATTTGGCGGTCTGTTCATTTATTAAATCTAATCAACTTTACATTAAATAAATGACTTTTGCAAAACGGCCCATATTTACCAAATGCGGAATGTTCGATTTAATTTATGCTTCGTTTTATTGCTTTTTTTATTAACAAAATATGGATCATCTGTTGAATGTGTTTTAATCAGTATTTCGGGAATTTCGCTATCAGATTCGTTTATCTGCAATAATATACGATGTCAGATCTTTTTCTGAACTGCAAAGAAAAACATATAATCTGTGTGAAACGGAGAAATGAATTTGCATGAATGAATTCATAAGTATCTATTTGAAAGTTTCACCTGAATAAACAAATTACACATTAGCATTATTAAGATGAATAATTAAATCATATAAATTAGAACATAAATATGATAAATCCATCATTCGTAATCTTTCTGCTTACACTTTAAAAGTATGTAACACGCTAAATAGCCTATATCTTAAATTAAGCAGAAAAAATAAATGTCATAACAATTAATGTCACCTCTCGTTTTTGCTGATATTGATATCGTATTTGATAGAATAATTTGCATGTTTTCACAATCGTAAAAAAAATCATTACAAGAGTAAGCAATATAAGAGAAGCACGTAACATTGAATTTCCATTAGCTAATTGTAACAAATTACTGTGCAAAAGTTTTTTCTTCTCATTTAATAATTGTTGTGAGAGTATTTGATTATCTGATTGCATACTAATAAGTTTAGTATCATCTAATGTCTTCATTTCTTCAATTAAACTCATATCTAAAAAAAGGGAAATATTTCAGCAGAAGGTTTTTGATAACAAATAGATTTGAAATTATTTCTGATAATGGATAAATTAAAAAACATTTTTGAACAATTTCATTGTTAATTACATTTTCGCAGCTCATAAGAATCTGTAGGAAAAAAGCAATCTTCTAGAATCTATAAAAAGAAAAATTTTTTCAACTTCAAATAAAAGTATCGAAAAAAAGCACTTCAAATGCAACCGGCAGCAAATATTCAGAATTTGTGAAAGAATCTTATTTAATTTTTGTCTCTTTTTCACCAATATTAACTGTAAATATTTATGCAAATTTGTTTTTTTTTTTTTTTTTTTTGTATAATTTTAAAATATTCAGTTAGTGATGTATTACACACTTTTAATTTATTACACTAATAAATGTTATAAAAATTCTCTAGAATTATTTCTCAATTTTTTCACTCGAAATTTCGAAATTTTCGTTTTTCAAAAGTAGAGTTTTGAATAAAATTTTTTGAAAATTACTACTTTATTTAATTCTAGCTTAATTTTTCACAGCTTTTCTTATATCTTCACTAAATAAAAGGTAATAGGCCTAGCTCTATAAAATCGAACTCTTCTGAGAATTAATTTAGGAAGAAATTCTAAACATGATCATATGCGCCATTTTTCAATGTGATTATAAAATTAATTTTTGTTTCTTAACTTTTTGGATGATAAAATGAATCCACTGATGACGAATATGGTATTTTTTACTGCGTATCGTAAAAATATATGTGTGATTTTATTAATTTGTATTTACTAGTTTAAAAATTTCTTATTTTATGAATCACTTCGGATAAAATTATTGAGTAGGTGTACTGTAGTCATGACAATAATTATTTTTTAGATAAATATTGCAGCAAAGACTACTGTAAGCAAACAACGGTGTATGACTTTCATATGTGTGACAAACAAATGATCAATATATTTCAACTCGTTCAGTAAGTGAATCAATTAATTAATTAATTAACTGATTACTTTTAAAATAATACTGCTTGTTTGAAACAAAATCCTTTCACAGCTCATATGTTTGTGTGCATAATATTGAATAACTTCATTTTCATCACCACTATTACCATATCGTAAGCTTGAACAGCTTGAAAGGACAACAAAGAAATATCAATGTTCATTGAAGCATGATTTGAGAGTTTGAAATGAAATGAGAACAGATTATTTCAGAAGCTTACATCTGTCAGCCCATATTTTCACCGATAACTGACTAATGCAATTAGAATTGATTAGTATGAAAATGGACACAGAATAAAGTTAAGATTAAAAAGTTAAGCTTACATTAACCGTAAAATTATGTAAAATAATACTAACCAATTTTGCAGAGAAAAATGAATTATTTATTGGAAATAAAAGAACAAGAAAGCATATATTCATTTCTTCAATATTGAAAAGAATTGGAACGATGAATTGAAACTAAACAATTCGGACCAACCAATAATTTTTCTATTGTACAAACATTCTAATATTCGGTTAAATAAACATAAAGATGGAAAGAATTTAATTATTAATTGCTTCCATCACTAATTAATGCTATTCAAGTTGCTATGTATATGCTGATAATTTTGCATACATTTTTTAATTAAATTTCATATTTGCTTCAAATATATTCTGCAGAAAAAACTATTTTTTTCGAAAAAATAAGTAAAACAAAAAGTAATGAAGTGATGTGCAATGTAAGGAAATAAAATGATCATACGTACACGTTCACACACGTATAACTATTCCTACAACAATGTGTCACCTAAATCTTAATGATAAAACACGTTACGTTATGTTGTGATAAATTAATTGGATGAATAACATTTTTGCGAAACGTATTAAGCTTATATAAAACTCTAAATAGGTTACTGATTCATCAAATTTTTTGACATCTGAGCGGAAACAACTCCCTCACTTTCAAGTCATCGTGTAATTAAAGGAAATTATTACTAAGCAATTAGATAAATTAATATTTACATTGCTGATAAAATTTGTTGAATGATATGCTATCGAATCAATAATCTATTTGACGACATTATGTATTTGTAAGCGAAATTTTCATGGGAAATGATAACGCGGCAAGCGAATTCGTTTTCGTATTTTATTTGACATTGTTATTGGCCGTGGTCGATTGTTTTTGCGATAATATAAATTACATGCACTGAAAAGATTTTTAAGTAATTTTTATATTTATTATTATTATTTTCATTATCATTATCATTAACACTATCACTGTTATTATTATTTTCTACTATTCCTGATGAATTACTTATATAAAACGAAAGATTGGTATCACATAGCTACTGAAGCATTGTAAGTTGAAAGGTCAACAGGGATAAGGCCACTGATCTCATACTATATCAGTAAAATAAATTAGACAAATAAACAAACTTGCATTCTACAGCTCCCATATTGCTACGACGCCATAATGTCGTCTCCTTGGTACCACAATTTGAGCATACCGAATTAATATGAGTACTAACTGGCTATAATAATTATTATTTATTTAAAATATCGTAGAACATTTCAAATTATATGCAACATTTAACAAATAACTATGCAAACATTCAAATATTATAATTTGATAATTTCAAAGGTCAAGTATACATTATCATATACAATTATTATTAATAATCCAATCCTTTATAGTATTTATAAACAGTGAACTCTTCTAATACTCAATAGAATTAGTGAAATAATTTTCTTAACAATAAGTTTTCACTAACCTTTTTTTTGAAATTAATAGCAATATTTAATTGAGAATCATTGTTAGTTACAAATAATCCTCTAAGTAATTCCGGTGATACTACTGATGAAGCATTTCTGTTTACAGTCTCAACAGCTTGTTGTTGTTGTTGCTGTTCGTGCGGTATGCATGTCACCTGAAATTCTCTTCTCATTAATGCAAATTTTCCTTAATTAATTTTTTCATTTAAATAGCTAATTATTGATGAAATATATTTGCTATCATATTACTTCACTGAGAAAATCATTCACTGGGATGTGTTAAAGATTTAGATTAATTTCAATAGAAGTGCTATCGTGTAAAATTGATTACAATTTTCAGGAAACTTTTGAAATTGAATTTCTTAAAGGATAAATAAATTAACAATGATATGGGACCTGCTCTGGATATGTTTGATTTTTTGAAGGCATCCATTGTTGGCATAAAACACCTTGACAAATACATTCCATTGAACTAAAAATCAAAGAGTAAATAAGGAATTATTCTACTACTTTGAATAAATAATATGAGAAAAACAGAAATGGTGGTACAACTAGAAGAAATATTTAGATTTATTTTAGTAAACTATGCACATTACAAATTAAAATTATTATCAAACATGCCGTTGATAGTATGATAGTGGATGATGATGATGATAATGATGATAATGAATTTGTGATGACTCATCAAAATATTGTACCACTGGTATTCGAGTGGAAGGGCGGCGGATGAATTCAGGATAGGAGTGAGTGTGTAAAGAAGTTGGTTCCATCTGATGTAAAACACGTATCGTTGGTATCAATCTATTAGAAGTTTCAGGTCTAATTTCATCTAAAATTAGCAACAATTAATTTAAGTTTAAATGAAAGAAATCATTTCAGAAAAAAAAAATGTTAGTTTAAATTTAATATTTTTTGATTTATTTTAAATGAGATTTCATTCTTGTTTAATTAAATATAATAAATTTACCATATTATTTCAGCAAATATTTACTAATAAAGCAAACAAATTCAAAAGTATTTATGAAGAACTGCTTTAAAAAGTTCAACAAATTTACATAGAATAGTTGTAATGAAATATTTTACAGTAGTTCATAAGTACTGTTAGGTATTTATATTGTAAAATACTTCATTATAATTACTTCAACACTTTTTATAACTGATTAATGTTATAAAGACATTTTAATTGATTGGAATTGCCATAAAAGATTGCTTTCATCTATTTAATTAGTTATTTAGATATTTAAGTAAAAGGATTTTTTTGAATACTTGTGGGAGAATTATGATGATATCTTGAGGAATGATTATTATTGGTAGTTTCACAATTACTCATATGCTTTTCTTCAGTAATAATTCCATTTGCAAATACATTTGTGTAACAATCTAAAAAAAATTTGTAATTAAAATAAAAAAAAAATTCAATAAACAATTAAAAATCACTGAAAAAAAGTTTCTTTTGTTTTAAAGCCCTTTTTTTTTGCTTTTGTGTATTTATTAAATAATACAAACTTAAAAATAAAGGAAAATTTTGTTTTTCAGTTGGTTCAATTTGACAAGTGAATTTGAGCATTCTTAAAGTATGATTTCAGTAACCTATTACATGCTTTATGGAAGATTTCTGAATTTAGGTGCAAGAATCTTAGCCTAAATCTAAAATTTAGTCAAATGTGTATGTAATAAACAAAACTTGAAGGAATAATTAAACAATAATAGATGAATGAAATAAGTTTAATCATCAAAAATTGATGTTTTTCATGTTTTTTTGTGTTTTATCATTTTTTTTTTACATTCTAAGATTATGAAAAGCTTTATATTTAAATCATAAAATGAAAAGCAAGCAAGTTTTTTTTCCAAATTTTCAAACACTTTTATTACTCATACTAAGTAAGTTCCGTTACAGCAATTAATTCGCTACATTATCAATGTAATTAAAGAAACTAGCCATTATCATCATGATAATGACCTGTAGTGTCCCAATAATCGGCTGTTTGATCGCCAAGTTTTGTTGGTGTATGTAATGACATCTGAAAATTAATTCAACGAACAGGAAAAAAAAATCTTAAATAATAAATAAGAATGTGAATATCCCAAAATGTACAACATTGAACTCATTAATTATATAATATTTTCAGAAAACCATACAACACTTTTCGAAACAAAAAAAGTGCTCTAATTTTTTTATAAAGTGAATTTAGTTAATTATTCCTTTAGGCTCAAAATTTTTCTTTCTTATAATATTAAATAATAATTCTCAAAGAGTTAATATTGAAAAAAATCAATCCAGAAGTTGAAATTAATTTCCACATATTACATAATATTTGAGCTGCCAGTAGTTTCATAATTCCTATACTATCTAATTCAGGCAGAATAAAGCTAATTCTTCTCTTGAAAAACTTTTGGAAATAAATAAATATTAAGCTAGAGAAATATCATATCAAAATGATTAGGATTACCACTGTGCAACAGGAAAAATTTATAGGTAGCTTAGCTATCGTTTACCTTCTTATCTTATCAACTTCATAAATCAGGTCATCTCTCATAACAACTTTTTTACCGTATCTCTTGATATAGTAAAATGTATTTGTTGACTAACTACTAATTACTTAATTTCTCTTCTTTTTTCTTTAAATCTCATTAATAATAATCTTCTGTTCTACACACAATTATTTATTAGATTCATATAATCAAGCACAAATTATTGATAACAAATTTGAATTAATTTTAAAAAAAACTAATAGAAAAAGCTTTAATTAAATTCAAAAACTACTTCATTGAAAATTGTCACTACTATTTTCCTTTTTTCCTTTTTTGCTCAAAGTGTACAAAAGTCTGTGTTAACCTCAAAATAAATTTTCTTAATTAATATCAAAATTCTACGACAAACAAATTATTTATAACGTTACATTAAGTTAGAAAAAAAGAAAAGAATTTCATTTCCTTTTATTAAATTGGATAAATAATGAGTAGTTCAAAAAAAAAGAAAAAAAAAGGAAGAAGGAATGATGCATAGCAAATTATACCGGTCGTTATCTGACATTTCAGTATGCGGAATTGAAAAGTATAAGTAATAAGCAATCAGAAGTATTCAGAAATCTTTAGGTTATCTTTGTTCATTTCAAATTTGTTGTTTGGTACTTGAAATCATTTTCTGCTGACTGTTCATTCTTCTAGCATATCGGCATATCTTTTTGATCATTCATTTGAGTAGCCGAATGATACAACATATTTTGATGACAAATGTGTCACTTCAAATTATATATGTCTCATCCATATCTGAATGATTGGTTTTCTATAACTTTTAGAATATTTGCTGTTAACTGAAGTTGCTTTCAACTTATTCAATCGATTATATTATTTCATTTCACGAATAATACCTATCAGTTTATAAAGAAGTGAGAAATGAGAATGACAACAGAAGGACAAATATTGTTTACCATAATATTCAGTTATTAAACTTTATTTACTAAATGTAAATATATTAAATGTACAGACTTTCAGATGAAATAGAATGAAAAATGTTATTTTATTATTATTTGCTTTTTTTTATATCAAATAGTTTTTTCACTTTAGCATAACAATAATCTATTATATTATATTTTGATTACTTTACATAATTTTTTCCTTTTTCCTCAACAAAATAATTTGCAATTACTATTTCTTAGATACTGCACTTTCAATATAATCTGAACAAAGAAAAAATAAATATAATAATAACAATAAGTTATAATAACTTATTACTTCTAAATGTCCAATTAAAATGTAATATCATATATATATATAATGTTAATTTTTAGTTTCTATGCAGAATAAATTTATGTATTATAGGTAATATTGAGTACTGAGTGTACTACCTGTTAATATTAACGTTTCAAAATGATTGTACAGCATTTGGTTGTGAAATTTATTGATTTTATAAGTGATGACGATGAATCAGTGGAGTCATTCTTTCTATCAACTCAATTTCTCATTTTAAAAGCAAATTTATCGCATCCCATCCCGCTTCTCTCTCAACTCTCTATGCTGTCACCAATTTCAGCATAAATGGCATAGCAACATTGCGTGACAAGTAATCATAGCTAATATTCGAACTATTGCTAAATTATTCTGTGTTGGTCATTTTTGCTTTGCTAGCATTTCATTCATTCATTTATCCATTTTTCTTTCTATTAAAAAATTGAAATTTTTTATCGTTTTTGTTTTTGTTTTTGTTTTTTTTTAAATTGCATTTTCAAAAGGATATCATTAGTCATTGGAATATTCATTACTGATTCATCTAAGAAATGTATTATCGCATACAACGATGAAAGATCGATCGAGTGAATTTAGGGTAAGTTTATGATAGATTTGATTTAATGATTATTATTCATTATAAGTGTTATTCATCAATTTCAATGAAATATGTTTATTGTTTAATTTATTTTTTAATTCATTTTTATCAATCTTTCATTCAAATAAAAACAAAATTAAACTTTACTGGTTTAAAATCATTAATAGATTCGTTATATTCCTTCGTTTTTCCTTATTTCGAAAGAAATTACGCTTATCTTTTGATTATTTTCAAACTTCTTTTATATCTTGTTCACTTAAAGGCATCATACTTTGAGTGATTTATTTTGTTAATTAATTTATTAAAAATTTTAGGAACTCAAGAGGGAAATTTTATAAATCAACAAATAATTGATTAATTAAAAATGCTTAGATTTATTACTATAAATAGTTTATTTGTTATTGAAATCGTACTGAAATGAGCAACAATAATAGCTGAAATAGTAATGATTTTTTGGGAATTTAAATAAAAGATTCTGTTACCATATCGATTCTGATTTTTCACAAATTTGTATAGCACAATTTCTGTGAATTTTTGATTAATATAATATAATCGAAGTAAATCAAATTTGAAATATCAAACAGCTGATGATACTCCCGACATTATTAATCAATCTTATTTGAATAAACCACTTTTACTTTAATATTCCTCCATAGTTTCAATGTAAGTTTTTCGTTTGTATGAGATTTCTTTTATCCAATTAAAATTAAAAATTTGTGACTCAAAAATATTTCATTGAAATAAAAAATTAATCTATCATAATTTCAAACTGAAACTATTTTAGGTAATAATATTTTAGCAAATTCTTCTTTTAAGTGTTTGGTAGTTTTACATTTGTAAATTTTTCGAAACTTACAAAAAATAATTTTTTCCTTTTTCTTTGCAGCAAAAAGCTGAGCAATTTTTAACAGATGATAACACATTCATTTCGATTGATGTTGAATCAAATGTCAGTTTTGCGCATGATAGTTCCTTTTTTGCTGAAATTGACGAAATTCGAAATGTAATGGCCAAATTATCAGACGATGTTGCCAGCATGAAATTGCAGCTGCGTTCAACCTTAGCTCAAACTATCGTTGATGATAACCAGAAGGTAACAAATGTTCAATTCATTATTATGAAAGTAATTACAAGTTGGAGTGATAAGATATAAATTATTATCAGTAAATATCAACAAAGTTAGCCAAGAAATTCTTGTTTTCTACAAAATAACTTTAATGATTTAAGAAATAATAGTTAATCAGCGAAAGCAGTTCAATATATTTAGCCTTAAAAGGGTTCGTTTTCTTACGTATGAAACAATATGCTTGATAAGAGCTGTTTCTAGTAAAGAGTTGGCCAATAGAAGTTAGAAACATTGCTTATCATATTTTCAAATTTGATCGTTTCGACGGAATGTTAAAAAGCTATGACATTTGTAACTGATTGAACCGGTGATCTCTATTATGATTTTTTTTTTCTTTTTTTTTTTGGTAAACTCAGCTTCAAAAGAGCTTCATTTTTGTTAAGCATTAAAATGCTTGTCATCCATTGTCACGTATACAAATCGTTTTTCGTCAATATGTCACGATCGATCAAGTCGATACTTCCAAACTCTAATTTTCTCATTGATCGTTCTGAGACAACGATTTGAGTAGCTTTTTCATCTCGCCGATTTACTTCAGATGTCGTGAAATAATATAAAGTGAATTTCTTCAGCAACTCTCATCTATCCGTGAGATGATTTCTTCCAATTAACCATTTAGTCTTCTTTTATCATTCGGAATTAGCTTCATTCGATATATGTTATCAAGCTAAAATACATTTTTGATATTACACACTACATAATAATAATAATAATAATAATAATAATAATAATAATAATAATAACGCAATTTGAATTTAATTAGTGAAAGGAACAAAAAAATGAAGAAATAAGTATTATAGAATGATTGTATTTGTTTAATAATGTATTTAAATATAAGAGAACAGATTTCAACAGTTACTTTTATACTAACTTATTACTTTATTATCATTCTTTTCTCATCATGATTTTCATTGCTTAAATTTTTAATTTAAATAAAATTGCAATTAAAGGAAAAGCTGGATGAATGCATGGCTGGTATAAAGCATCGCTCAGGTTTATTGCGAAAACATTTGTTAGCAATGAAAGAGAATGTTAAAAAAACAGAAAATGGAAAAATCATTGGAATTAGCAAACGCATCCATCAATATCATATTGAAGCATTGTTAAAAAAGCTTTCAAATTTACTGGAAATATTTAATACTGCTCAATTAGATTACAGAGTGGAAGTTGCAAGTTAGTCTTATTTTACTGAAATTATGATTATTAACATAGCATAATTTTCATTGAAATTTATTGAGATGAAAACGGAGAAGAAAAGTGAAAAAGAGCATAGAAAAAAGTGTTTAATTAGTTTAGAGTTATGAATAAACTATAACAATGATAGTAGTAAATGAAAAAAGAAAGAAAAAAGGGTAATCTTATAAATTTAATCCTGATTTTAACGATAAATTTAGTGATTAAATTAATTTTCAAACACAAATTTCAGTCACTTTGAAAATTGTAACATAGAGTGTGATTAAATTTCTATTCATTTTTTCAAACGATCCTTATCATTTAATTATTAGAAAAAAGGATATAAAGAGGTAAAATGGACTTAGTGAGCAATTTAAATTGATTATCACTGCAGCAATTTATTATCATAATTCCATGTCAATTAAGAACGAATCAAACGACAATTAGATATTGCTGGTGAGTATATGACAGAGGATGAAATTAATACAATGATTGATTCCAAATCATCGGAAATATTCAATAGGTTATTTTATATAAAGTATTGTTAGCAAGATTTATCATATAATTAGTAATATGCAATAAGTATCAAACTGTTGATAATAATAATAAGAGTTGCAACAAAAGATAAGAAAAAAGCAAATTTTTGGAAATTGTAAAGAATGAATTAATTTTAATAATTTTAATGAATATAATTTTCAGACATATACGTTCATCAGAATTAAAATCAGCTTTTGATGATGCTAGCTTAAGGCATAATGAAATATTTAATTTAGAAGCAAATATCAAAGAACTTAGTGATTTATACAACGATATGAATTTTCTCATACATGCACAGGTAAAACTTACTCATATTTCAATGATCAGTTAACATATAATTTCGACATGTATTAGACTAGAATAAAATAGTTATGGTTAAGAAAGAAAGAAAGTTTGATTTGATAACGATGATATATAGTGATAATAATTATTGTTACTAATATGTCATTAAATGACGTTGATTGATTATTATAGGGTGAAAGGGTGGATCGAATTGATAGAAATGTGAATGATGCGTTTAATTATGTGACAGCAGGTAGTCAGCAAGCACAGGTAACTGTACAATGTCGACAAGCGATGATAAATAAAAAGTTGTATTGTAGTGTTGGATGTATTATAATTATTGGCTTAATTTTAATTGTTTTTATTATTTATTTTTTGATTAAATGATTATTTCATTACCATTTGTTCGTTATTTTTTTTTTTTTTAATTCAAAGAAAAAAGGAATATTTTCATGAATTTTTAACCAACGTGCTTATTGATATTGCATATACTGCTAACTTTATAAGCTGCCATTCATTTTCGTACATATGCGAATATTTATAAATTGATAACTTGTGATACCAATTAGTTATTAAATTATCATTTTCTTTTTTATCACCAGAAATTGATCAGTTTGATAATTTTCGTTAATTGAAAATTAATTAATTTCTTAACAATATAAACGATTACATTGATACATTAATTTCAATAATCGTATGGTTGTTTAGAAATAATTTTTGATTGTTTGCCAGTTAAATTAAGACTGTTAAATGTATAATAATTAAAAAAAGAGTCAGTGATAAGAATTACACAGTAAAATTATTAATAATATAATACATTTTATTTCCATGTAAATCTTTCATTTTTTTTACTATAATTAATGTTTTTTTTTTTTTTTTTTTATTCCTAAAATAGGTAAGAAAACGATAGAAAAATCTATTAATTAAAATTTAAATTTCCCTTTTTCCATTATTTTCACTTTACTATATCATATCATTCTAAATTGGATTGATTTTAAAATTTATTTCATAAAATTTAAACAAAATGATGCGAACACTGTTGTTTGTTTATTTAGTCATTGTGATTGTTTATTCTTATATTATGATAATCATTCTCTACTCTGTATACATATGGCTATTGATTTTGCATTTAATAAATTCAATCTTTTTCATCAATACCTTCATGCATATTAGTATTTATTTGCACAATGGTTTTTGAAATTAGCATTGATAATCACTCCCACATCTTCTACATTTATCAACATTATCATTTAATCACTAACATTACCCACTATCCTAATACTTTTACATGGTTATAAAGTTGAATTTGAGAAGAATTTGCTGAAGTTTAGTGTTTAATGCATTGATGTAAAATGTAATGTTTCACATTGTCGACAGCTCATTAATGAGCAATTAATTTTAATCAAATATTGATAAGGAAAGTGAAAAGTTTTCAAGGATGCCATTTGTTCTTTCACTCTCTTTCTTTCTCCTTCTAGTTATTTCTGATATTAACAACAAGTTATCTATAATTTTCATCGTCTTGTTGAACTATCACTTCGTTTAGTTCACAAAATTTTGATATTAAGCTATAGGCAGAGCAAATATATCTAGTAAAATGTAACAATTTCAGCAAAAATTCATACATCTGATTTATTCGATTGGTTCTATCAGTTAGGTTATTGTAAGATCAATGAATGCTTCTTCTTGCTGATAGTTTTAACTCACAAATATTTCTGACCTGAAAATTATTATCTGCTAAAAAATGTCATCTCTAGTCCGAAACTAATATCATCAAGTATAATTTATAACTATGAAACAATACAGTATAAAAGTTTTATGCTTATATTATTAATATGATAAAATGAAACGGCAAATTAAAATAATCCATTTTCAAGTAATTATTAAAATATTGATAAGGAAAAAGTAGTAAAATTTTTGAATATTATTTATTATACCTCAAATATTTGATTAGAAATATTTGCAGGGAATAGCAATTCGTTTACAGTTTAGATTACGATTTGCGTTCATTTTTTTAATATCATCGGTTTATAAGGAAAAAAAAAAAAAAACAGAAACAAAAATTAGTTGCAGCATTACTGATAATTTCATTTAATTTCAGATAAGTAAAATATTTTGAATAATAAAAATTTGCTGGCAACTCTTTTTTCCACTTTCCTTGTTAATATAATCGAAATTTTATTGGTTTTTCTTTTTCACTTTTTTTTATTTTAGAAATATTTTGAATAATAAAATATTCTTAACTGAGTGACTAATGAATCGTTCAGTATTCTTCTTTCTAAATGTCTAAGGGATATTTTTCTAAAGAATCTTATAGAGAAACATGTATAAACTTTCCAAACTTATCAGTTTGAAAATTTAGTATTATTAGAGTTATTTGATGTTAATACATAGTTTTCTTATTCTAATAGCATTATAATTATTACTTGAGAAGAATTATTAGTCTGAGTAAATGTATTCATCCAGCAAGGTTAATTCAAAATGATCTAATTTATGGTTGTATGTGCCATATCCAATATGGCAGTTTAAAAGAAGCTAATAATATTTTTAAATTCAATAACATTTAAATTAATATGATCTATCAAATCCTTTTATCAAACATCCTTTTCATCTTAACAATTACAATAAACTTACTGTTGTAATAAAGTTTCATATTCCAAGTTTATTTTGTATATTTATTTTTTAATTCATTCCAATCACATATTGGTTGATTACTTATAAACCCAAAATGAAAATATTTTTTTTTTTTTTAGTAGTTCATTATTATAAGCAAAAGATATGATAACTCATGTTTATCATATCTTTTGCTTATTTCCTTGAAAACTTTTTTTCACTTTCTATATTTTAAAATTATTATATAATTAAATTAAAAAATGTAAAAAAAAGAGAAAAGAAAGGAAAAAAGCAAAGAATTTTTCATATTTAAAATAGAAGCATAGTGAATAAAGAAGGGAATAATTAAAATAACAATCAATTAATTACATTCTCCTCATTAACTATCATTTACTGATTACATTCTCTTCATTAACTATTATTCACTATTATTGAATCTTTCACCCACTTTATAAACTAGAAAAAATTTTTCTAACTGGTATTCGCTTGTAGCAATTACTAATATTGTTAATGCAAAAGAAAAAAGAAATAAAAAAGTGGAAAATACATTTCATTGAAACAAAAAAAAAGAAATTGCAATTCGGTAGGCTTAATTTTCTAGACTAATTCTCTTTTTTTTTTTACATTTCTCTTTGTAACATCATGCTCCCTAAAACAAATCAAAATGTAATCTTTTACAAATCGCAAGTTTTAATCAAACGTTTACATAGTTGCATAGCATAGTAAAATTTATATAAGAAATTGAGCAATATATTTCATGCATAGGTGAAATTTAAAATTGAAGATTAATAGACAAATTCATGCTAGTTATTGGAAAATTAAATCATAAGAGAAAAAACATAATCACAAAAAATATTGAAGATAGATAATGAACAATTTAGACTTTACCAAGAACAGTCTTTTATCACATTTAATCAGGCTTGTAATCTTGAAAATGATAACAAAAAGATTAGAATAATCTTTCTATATTTGAATGATATGAAGGATAATTGAAATTCCCATTGCTGTGAATTCTCTGATATATTTCAAGAACATATCACTTGCCTTCATCATTTCTATCTCACAATTTTGTAATTGTCAATTGGTGTAAATTTTGTTTCTTTATAAGTTTCAAATAATTTTTTTGTTTTAATTTTTTTCTATGATTTAATAAAATGAATTCCTATTACTAAAAAATATACGTTTCAAGGACAATTTTGCATAGTTTCCCATCAATTTATATCCTTAAAATCTTTTCAGAACATGCAAATATGAATAGTTTATACTAATTTCTAGATTTTCAACATACGCTTGCTCATTTCGAATTTTTTGACTACAAAGAAGTGACAAATGTTGGAATTCACTATAGTCATACATCAATCCCAAACCAACACATATCTCCTTTTCACAACTTATAACGAAGATAAATAATAGCAAACTGCATACAATGCAAATAGTTTAGTAAATTTCTAGGCTAAAGATTATATCATCATTAAGCAGTTAGGATTTTGCACTCCTTGTTGCAAGCGATCCTTGTTGTCAACAGTTATTATTAAAGTCTAATAGAAATTGCAAACAAATGTTTTTCTTGACTGTATTTATGGCAAAAAGCAATCGCTATTTTCTTTCAGTATTATGTTGATATCTCAAAGCATTATTGGTTTTTGTTTTTTCTTTAACTTTTTATTATACTGCTGGAGATGCTTTTGGTAGTATTCAATATGTAAAATTTGAGGTTGATTGAGGTTGGCTTATTTGTATTATGCATTCTAATGGTGCTTCTATGTTTTTTTTTTTTTTTTTTTTTTCACATTTTTAAAGGTTTAATTTATGGTATGTATCATCGTTAGAGTTTGGGTAAATGTTGTTTTAATAGGTATTGCTTTCAGTTGGTAAGATTACCTAAGATAAAATTTAGTTTAAACCAAATTTAAATACAGCCAATATGCCTTTATTTATTTTTTTTTTTTTTTTTTTTGGTATGAAATTAATTCAGTTCCCAAGTGATCATGATAAGCTTTTGTTCTGAAATCTGTTCATGATCAATCGTTAAATTATTGCCAAACTATATCATGTCAACTACCATCTGGAAAACATTTCCATTCTTCTCAATTACTTCCTCCTTATTTAAAAAAAAAAAAAAAAAAAAAACACCAATGACCGCTAGACCATATTATGGATGATTGCTGGAAAAATACTAGTATAAATATTTGTATTAAAGTATTCCTGATGCAGAACACGTCAACATACTCCTCGATAGAATATAAAGAAGAACCAATAACTGCTCCTATCATTTTCAGAATATCGTAAATGACCTAAATTTCAAATTTATTTTGTCTTTTTTTTTGTTTGGAGTAAGAATGGAAATTAAAAGTTTATCTGATGCGAATGGAATGAATTAAATGTAATTTATCACTAAAACCACCATATAAGAGTCGTACATAACAATAAGTGGTTAAACATATTATTGATTTAATCAGTACAATGCTAGAATGCTACTTGATTATGCAATAAAATTAGTCGCTAATCAAATCGATAATATCTATTTCACATTAACATTCCCTAAAGTTTTATTACCTCATCTGTAGAGCTTCCAATGTTTGAAATATGAGCTGGCAGAGTTATCATGAAATCCTCTCCTATCTCTTTCAGTTGTGGTATTTGACACTGCTAATATTACGTTTTTTTCTCTTTTGGGAATTTCAAAACCATAAAATGGTTTAATAAAGAGACTGCAAAAGTGAGGCAAAGATGGAATATGCCATTGTTCTGTGTTTTTGTCCACTGTATTTTTGAAATTATTCTGTAACTGTTACCAGAATGATGAAAAAAAAGGAAAATCTGCAGAGTGTTGGGTCGTTTTTCTGTTATCGCCAAAAAAACTTTATTGACAGAAATTAGTTAGCTAAGAAATTCAAGATATTCCATTTGTTTTTATTAGATGGATTTGAAAGACACTGGAATACAAAAGTTTGCAAAATGATCAACTGTTTGAGACATTCTCATTTGACTGAAAATTGTCTTGCTTTGTTTGGAAGATTTTAGAGAAAGAAAGGGGAGAAGGGGAGAGAATGAAAGCAGCAAATTTCTAGAAAATTGTGAATTCGATTAAAACTGGAAATATCTCTGTCCACAGTTTGGTATTCTAAGCTTTTGAAGACAAAATTATGATCGACTTCTGAGTTGTCATGCTTATTAATAATAGAAAAAATTAGCCTTAACTTTCATGAAGGTTACAAGCTGTAAAAAATCAACTGTTTATCCAATTAGAACTTAATTTAGTCAAAAATTTTCGAAAATTTTCAGTTTTTCTAGATAGGGAATTCATGTCACTTTATCATATTATCAATTTGTAGAAAAGCTTAAGGAATCAACGAAATCGACTTAATAAGTTCTCAGTTAACAAATCAATAATTTGTTACTTTCAAGCATATAAACTCAAAGCTGAATTTTCTGCGTCATTTGTTTTAAATTTTGAAAATTTTTTACGATTTGATCCAACCTTCACACTTTTTTCCTTTTCCTTTTCTTCACTCTTTTTTTGGCAACAAAGAGAAAGAGAAAATTTCGAGAAGAGGTGATGAAAATTGAAAGTAGGGCAATTTATGGGCAAGAAGCAGGCGTCTAATGGCAAGCAATGGTTAACTGATGGGTAAAAATGACCAAACACCAATACAAACACAAACCCCGAGGAAGAAGCCCTGAACGCCAGTACGTTTTGGCCACGAGAAAAGGACAGAAGGACGATAGCAGTAGCAGCAATATAATCGTGACAAGAAACGTTTTCGTAACGATTCCCTTTCTACTGTACTAATTTCAATAATTTCTCGTAAAATACTGATCGCCACGTCATTTGCGTGTACTGCCTGCGTGTATTGTTGTACGTATATACCTATGTACATTTTCCTTTATTGTATCGTTTGTTTTAGTCGAAGAGTCTTCTCCTATCTATATGAACACTTTCCACTAATTTACAATATTTAAAAAACGATTTTTGCCCGCGCTGGCATAGTAGCTTTTCGTTTGACAGTTGCGCATTTTGTTCAATCATTGTTTTCTATTTTTTAACCATATCTTTAGTTATTTAAAGTTCCTTCATCCTGGTTTAGCAAATAAATTGGAAATTTTTGAATAGCTAATGCTGATGTGACACTCATGTAATGATCACTATATAGATCAAATGTAAATACATCAAAAATTATAGTGGCTTATTACTGATATTTTATCATTACCTGGATGTTATCACTTGTTTTATTGAGTAAAACGTAAGATTTTATGAGTTTTCAACGTTAAAAGAGGTAGAAAATCTTGCAAAGTGTATATGATTTGTATTTTTGTGGGAGAATTTGAACAGAGGTTATATGAAGTATCTAATTGTTGAATTCTTGCTTTAAACTGGAACGTGTATTGTTTACGTGATATGATTACTAATTAATATATTCCTACTTTACGAAAAATGATTGTTTATCAGTTTGCTATTCGTTTGATTTTTCTAATTCCTGTTTTTTTTTTTTTTTTTTTTTATTTAGAGTTTTTGTATTTCTTTATATTATTGCTTTTCGGAGGATCCTGTTTTTTATAAATATTATTCATCATTTGTTGTTGCTAGTGTTGTGTGACTGTGATTTCTAGTATGTCCCATTTTTCTCTAATTAATAAGCTGCACCTCATCCATAATATTTGTTGTCTAGAACACTCTTGGAAGAGAAGAAAGCAAATAATTTCAAGTACAATTGCATCAAATATTTAACAGAGAATGGCGGAAATCACAGAACTGTGGCGAGAATGTGTACGGTGGATGGTTGAATGTGGAATTCTGGATTCCAAACATCGGGTAGCGGAAGCAGATGCTGAAATCGGTGAATTCGCGACTATCTTACGAGATGGTGTATTGCTTTGTTTACTTTGTAATCGACTATGCGAAAATTGTATTGACATCAAAGATTTACAACAACGGCCACAAATGGCTCAGGTATAGGCCTTAAATATTCAAATATGGTACGGTTTGACCACATTACATCTTTCTCTGTATCAGTCTTTCTCACTTAAACTTTTAATCGTAAGATTTTTTAGCAAGATGAATTGTGGTAGCAAAATCAGTTTTGACAATTTCTGGAGTACTGTTGGGCCTATGAAATAAACATTATTTTTAAGTATTTTCGAAGCTTTACAACTTTAGCATTTCAGTTTCTTTGCTGCAAAAATATATGCGAGTTTCTAAAAGCATGTAAAAATACATTTGAAATGAACTCGGAAGATTTATTTGATCCATGGGATCTCTATCGCCTTGATGATTTTGGCAAAGTGCTGAGAACGCTTTCTAAATTATCCGCGTCTCCTGTAGCAAAGCTTAGTGGTATCAGGTTCACTTTTCAGTTGTTTATTAGTACGAAAAATGAGCAAAATTTTTTGTGTAATGCGTACTTCAATAACAGTTTGTTGTGTTTGTTTTTTGGATGAAATTAGAAATAATTTACTACTTGTCTTTGATTTCATTAGACATTCAGAGCGTATATTACCATAACACAGTTGCATAGGTTTGAAATTTCTAACATTCTTCTCAGTATGTATGAATATGAAATTGAAAGATATAACAGACTCGATTGGACATGAACTTTTTTCTTTCATACATCACATTAGGCATATATTATGCACATTTCAGGGGATTTCCATTACGTATATCTTCATTAAATTCGGTGGAGTATTATAACGACAAGGTTATTTATAAAAATCTTCGCCAAGGAGCAGAGGTAAATGAACCTGTACTCGAAAATGCATATGATATGGGTATCGCGGAGGAGGAGAAAACCAGTGGCCGAATTTACGATTCTATTGTGTGTCAACGATCTAACAGTCAACGCGAATTGAAAGCTATCGAATATGACGTTAGTTTTTCTTAACAGTAACTGTTCAGTTTTGCTGCTGAGACAATATCAGAAATCTTCAAGGATGACTGAAAATGTGGTCGAGCTACAAACTAAGTACTTCAGTGATCGCACTGAAGTACTTGATTTGTCTACTTTGATCTATCAAGTTTTATACAAAAATATGTGTGATTGTTTAGTCGTTATTGAAAGGATTTCTTTTTTAATTGTTAAAGATGGCGCACTTTATTTGGATTACATTAGTCTGATGAGTTATTTTTATAATGTAGATAATATGAAAGAAGACATAAAATGCTTTTTGTTAAGAAACTATGTACAATTAACTAATATGTACTTACTCTTCATAAGCTAATTGTTTATGATCAACTTTTTCTGGTAGTAGTTTTTGCTTTTCTATATAAAATTTCTATATAAAAATGCTTTTCTATATCTACAGCGTGGGCTTTAAAATTTGAGATAAAACCTCGTAGTATTTAGCAACCTGTAGCAGTCTTGGCTGGCGATAGTCGATGTTGTTGACAAAATCATTTTTTTAGAAGTGGTTAAACTTCAAACCAGATTCTCGACGTGAACATTGCATCAAGGAATTATATGATACGGAATCAAACTATGTCGAGAAAGCGCTTGATATGATCATAAATAATTTTTACACACCACTGGAGGAAGTGCTATCGAAGGATGATCATAAAATGATCTTTATGAATATTTTGGTTTGTTATTTGTTCACATAGTTCTCAAAGATTTTGTCTCCGTTTAAGAATTAATTGATTGATTTTTGCAGGAATTAGCATGTATTCATCGCTCATTTCGTGATCATTTACGGCAAGCTGTCTTCTATACTGTTGGGTTGGAGGAGCCTTCGAACGATGAAAAGCCAGTAACAATTGGGGACGTATTCATTACGTAATTAATATTCTAATTTTTCTACATAAAATGATTTTATTTTGAAAATAAACAAAAGAAATTCGTACATTTTTAAACTATGAAGTAGAATTTCAGGTGGAAAGAGAAATTCGTGGCTTATGGAGAATATTGTTCGAAATTACCAAATTCACGTTCACGCATTTGTTACTTGGAAAAGACGGATCCGATCGTGCGACAAAAGATTATTGTATTTGTTTTCGTGTTTTTTTTTTTTTTTTTTTTAACGTTTGAATGCTCTGCTTTGTTAATTATGGCCATTTTCTTGAAAATTTTGATTTTGGCTCTGCTAATTGCTTACTGTTTCAGGATTGCGGTATAGCTGCTAATCGCAATCAGTTCCATTTGCAGGACCTTCTCAGTATACCTATGCAGAGGGTTTTAAAATACCATGTTCTTCTATCGGTAGTTTGTTTTCTTTCCAAATATTCAAAGAGTTAAATGGATAATCTTTAGTATGAAATTTATTTAAAAAAGCATGAAAGTATTCTTGATTGTTATAGGAGATGATAAAGCTTACCTCAGTGGATTCGTCGGATCGCTTACCTTTAGAAGAAGCCAAAGAAGCGATGCAGGATATCAATTCCTATGTCAATGAAATGAAACGTGATTATGAGATGCAGCAACTGGTTATGGATATTGAAACCAGTATAACCGATCTGGAGCTGGTACTCTATTTTGATGTGAAGTCTGACATAAGAGAGTTTGAAAAAGCGATGGCATCATCCTACATAGTTGGAAACTGATTTCAGCCCATAGGCATGCATTTAATTAACTATGGTCGATTGGTTAAAGATGGTGAAATCAAAATTGCGGATCAAAGTAAAGATGGCAATCGACTTAAAACGCGCTATGTATTTGTTTTTGATAAAGTGATGATTATTTGTAAAAGCCTCAGAGTAAGTTTAGTTTTAAATTAAACTGTAGTCTTTAAACTGATTATATATTAGAACATAATACAAAAGACTTATATCCATAATTACTACGTCAGGTCATGTATAATCTGCTAACTTTATTTTAGATATTATAAAGGGATAGACAGCGATATATTTGTATGAACAATATTTTAATAGGAATTAGTGAGTGCTGTAGATTACTGTTATTGTCTTGTTTTCACAATTAATTTAGGGAAATCAATATTCATATCGAAGTGCGCACATACTAAATGATTACCGCATCGGTGTTGATGCTGATAATAACAACAAAATTGGTACAATAACTCGTAAGCTGACAGCTAATGGTGGTTATTATTTCTCTTTAGTGCAAGAATTAGATGACGGTATTACCAACGTCCTCAGTGTTTGCTGCAAGACTATGCTTCAGCGAGATAGTTGGGTGCAAAACATTATAGCGGCACAGTAAGCGTACTTGTTTATAATCATTCGAATATTAAATTACAAAAAATTACGAAACTAATATTTGAAGTCGCATTAAAAATTATTGGAGATTCTTTATAGAAGCAATGTAAGGCCTAAAGATTCGGAAACATCAGGTCACTGTTTGCAGTATCATAGCTACGATAAAGCTACTGTCTGTTTTCACTGTGAAAAGCTTCTTGCTGGTCTCTTCTATCAGGGATACCATTGTTCCGGTTAGTAAATTAACTGATTGGGATGACATTTAGTTAGAAAATTTTGTTCATAACGTGTCAGGATTTCAGTATTGGCATTATTGCGAATTAGTCCGTTTTATCATTCTGCAGATTGCAAGCGAAATTTGCATCGTGCGTGCTTGTCGATGAGTAAATGTCCAGGAGTTGGTCCTATAACAAGAACTCAAGTTTCAAATAGGCGGAAACATGCTGCTTCCTGTCAGTATTATTTACTTTTGGAATTTGTTTATTACTCGGTTGGATTAACCATGATAAACCTCACTTTTTATCATTTCGTTAATCTTTTCTGCTTACCACTAAATATAATCATTTTGTGGAATAGATTCCTACATTGTGTTTAGTGCAACCTCATGAATGTGTTCGCGCAGTACAGTCATTTCATTCGAACGATCCACTGTTTCTATCATTTGAAATGAATGATTTGATAGAAATCACTCAACGAAATGTTGATGGTACAGTGATGGTAAGGATTTTATAAAGTTTTGGTTGAGTATAGCTTTTTTTACTCTTAGCTGTGGAAAAAAAAAAAAAAAAAACAATTACTATTCTTCGTTTCAGTATATTTCTTTTGCTGTCACTATTGTTTTTGCAAGTGAAAAATGGACAGATTTAATAGTGAAAAAGAAATCATGCAGCAAGGTTTTGTACAAGAAAGAATCTGAATTCTCAATTTTCATTCCGATATTTTATAATATATCGAAATGAATAAAACAGCTAACATCATAAATTGGAAAATTTTTCTTAACTGCTGTGTTATATAACGCTTTTTTCTAACAAATCTAAACCATCTGATCATACACAGTTGACAAATACACAGTGGCTTCCAGACCGGAAAAGAAGTTAACAGCAGAAAATTCATTTATTCAGTGAGAGATTTGAGAAATGACTTTCTATTTCTTCTATGGAACACAAAAAATTTTTCTTGCACTTTCACAGCATTTTCCATTTGTGGATTATGAATATTAATTGCTAGTTTTTATTTTTACTGTGATATCATGTTTATTTTATTTCTTTCAAGCTGGTTTTCGAGAAGGTTACTATTTCGAAGGAATTTCAGTTATTCAATGAAAGACTCGAGAAATGGTTTTTTACTTTTTTCACTAAATTATTACAGGGACGAATTGTTGCTTTTCCTAATCGAGCTGGACTTATTCAACCAGAAATTGTCCGACGATTCCGGGTGATTTGATGTCCAATTTAAAGAAGCAATTCAGGATTCTTATTTGATCCTACATTCATTTGAATCACTATATCTTTACTTCTATATATGGATGCGACAGAACAATCAATTTTTTTTCTGTGATGATCAGTTGGACTAAATATTAATTTATTTATAGATATCAGCGTCGTCATTGCATATGGGTTCATCGACAGGTAGTTCATTAACTAGCGTTACACTGTCATCACCGGTAGAACATTGTGACTCTTGGATTATTAGTTCGCCTCAGTTACAACTGCCTCTTACAAATGAACAACGCAAGTCCTCTTCCTCGATCGAAAATATGTAAATTAATATCTTGCCCTTCTGAGCATTTCTTTGTAGAGTGAATTTACAATATTTTAAAGTATTGAGTTTTTTTCTTCCAAACATGGTGTTAAAAAGTAGAGGACATAAGGACAGAAATATAAGTAATTTATTTTTTGTAGGTTTTTGCCTCAGAAATCACAGAGCCAGGATTATGTGAATACGGAAGTAGTAGGCCAGCAGTGGTATCGAGGACCGATGAAGCGATGGGATTCGGAGGAACTTTTGCGTGGTACACCAGATGGTACTTTTTTAGTACGATTCAGTTCTGCGCAACAAAAATATGTGATCAGCATAAGGTACTGTTTTTTTTTTTTTTTTATTATTTTCTTCTTTTAACAGCTAAATTTCCTCGAAATGAATTATTTTCGTATTTGAAGATAAAGGAACTTTTGCCAAATAAAGCAATTTTCATTGTTCTGGTAGATCAGTCTATCAACCATGACTTCTTTATATGTCGGATGGGAATATAAAACTGTCACTGGTCAAGATTTTTCCGGCTTTATATTTTTATTGTGTATTCCTCAGAGTCGGGTGTGTGGTCGTAGATTCAAAAATATGTATGGCCTGTTATAGTTAGATCACTTTTCGGAGTTGTACGGTTTTATGTACCACTTAAGATAAGATACCAAGATTGAAGCTTCCATTTAACTAACCAAGACTAAATGATCTGTAATTCAGGTCTTTACCTTCCTTTTACCTATATTATTTATTGTGTTTATATCATTTTTGAATCTAAATCTCATGTACATGTCTTAAGAGTTGTTGTCTTTTTTCTAAGGATCTGAAATATATTTTGTGGTAGAATGGAAATATGAATTAAATGTTCTGCATTTCGTTCTTACTTCATTTATCTTTGAAAGTAAAGTTTAGTTTCAATGGTGATGTGAAGCACACAAAGGTAGAACAGTCTCCAGAAGGACGTTATTACCTGGACGAAAGTACAATGTTTTCAAGCGTCGTGGTTAGATATTAGCAATTTTTTTTGAAACAGCAGATACTACTTAAATTGTTAACATTGCTTCTTCAAGTCATTGATAGATGACAAACATATGAACGGGATAGTAGCAACAGCAGAATGAGATTAATAATAATAGGATAGTAATATTAGTAGTTACTGATACATTGGATAAATGACAGAGATTCCAATGTCTGAATTTCAGGAATTGATCAACTATTATAGAGAAAATAATTTACGAGAGTCATTCGAAACTTTAAATACTACTTTACGACATTCGTATACCGATAAACAGCCATATATTGCCCTGCATAATTTTGAAGCATCAGAGCCAAATTTTCTCACTTTAGTGGTTGGTCAGAAAGTCTACGTGATTAGTAGGACTGGTGAGGATCGAGGATGGTGGAAAGGCCGAAGCGGCAATAGAGTAAGTCATTTAAATGATTTCCTAGTAGACTGAGCAATGTAAAATCACATTTAATGTTACATACAACTGAATGGAATTAGTTGTATGTGAAACGACAAAAAATTTTCATTCAGTTTTCACTTTTGAATATAAAGTTTTTTAGTCTTTATTATTGATAATAGCAGAAACAGTTATTTTTTTAAGCATAGTGTCAGTTGATTTGTATTTTGTTTTAATCGTAAAATGATTTCATTTGACAGGAAAATAAGTGCTTTGTTTAAAGGTTTATAAAGCCTTTTCAGGTGGGCTACTTTCCACTTGCTTATGTTGCACCAGCAGAAGATGCATAACATTCAAATGTTCTGTATATCCTTTGCTCAGTAAATATGGGTACAAATCTTTTTATTTTCTCCAGTTCAGCCTTTTGTGGTGTTTTAAATCAAGTTTTGCACAGGAATCATGATTAAATTTTCTAAAGGTTCATGTTTTTTTTTTTTTTTTTTTTTTCCTTGTAAAGTAAATTCTATCAGTGCGAACAATCTGTAGTGAATTTTTTATAGAAAAGATCGAAAATCAGTAGAAGCATTTTGTTTCTCCCGTTATGTTTACCAACTTTTTAAATCACGATTTGCTTTTTCCGATGCCAAGTTTAATAACATGGCAGTTTGATTTCTAATCTGCATTCGAATGTAACTGATATATGAAGTAGTTGTTATGTACCAGTAATCAGTATACTAACATTCATCAGGAAATTAACTTTATTTAATTGAGAGGTATGAAACTGCTACTACTTTCTTCCTGAGAAGATATTCCATATCTGTTTATGTGTGGCAGTTTCCCTTGGAACTGCTAAATGTTTATGCTTATTGGGGAGGCTTTTCATGCTATGAATATAGCAGTTGTTTTGCTATTGTTTTGAAAGATTTTTATCATTGCTTCTCGTTGATTTGAAAACCTGTAAAATCCAGTAATTGCAAAGAAAAAAATTTTCTGCGCTTAACGGGTTGTAGTTTAAGTCATTTCTGAACTTATAGACATGGCTTCTCCACATGTGATAGGTAATGTAATGCAATGGAAAAAAAATAGGAAAAACAGATGTAGGAGTTTTTATTGTTTTCTATTACTTTTTCAGTAGTTTTAGATATAAAAGTATAAAATGGTTTCTTATTCTCCGAAATGTTTCCAAGTTAGTCTGCTGAAGCACTGTGCTTTGTGAGTGCTAGTGCAGATTAGTAATTCTCACTGCCTTTCTTTTCATTGGTTTACTTATAAAATTATGTTGGTCATTGTATATCAAATTTGTACAGTTTAGTGTTCACACATATATTTATATGTATTATATAATGTTTTGAAAAAAAATTTTTTTTTTTCTTTTGTGCCATTTGTGACTCCCTAACTGAGTGAATATTTTTATAACTTAATTTGATTATACCAAACTAGCTTTCTTTGTAAATGCTATATATGAAGGTTACACGTATTTGGATGTCACATATGGCTATGTTGCATAAAGTTTATGCGGGTAAATTATGTGGTGTTTACAAAAGCTGTTATGTGTAAAAAATTTTCAACTGAATTCCACAACAGCGTGTATACATGTAAGGTAGACGTGTAGTACGTATTGTTATAAAGCAAAATACATAAATGTCAATTTCAGTTGTTTGCCTGTATTATCTTCTATTACACTTTCGATTCGATGCTATGTTTAAAATATTCCTTTTCATATTTCTCTTTTAATAACTGTTTGGCAGTATGTTTTAAGTGACACATTTTCATTTTTGAATAAGTGCCTTCTGAAATAAAGATTTTAGAAAAGGGTGGTTGTAGAGTGAAAGTTTTGGTTGATGTTGTTGGTGTTACTTATCACATTTTTATCTGGGGAAAATAGTGCTTGAAGTGATACTGTCGTTAAGGAGACCACACGATTTTGATTTGAGAGGGGACGATATTAATTTGGGCGATGTGATTTGGAAATGAGCAGAGTAGTTGTGAACATTTTACTGTACCTATTTTACTGTGTTTTGGCGAGGGTTAATGCTAGGTCGGGACGGTGCCTTCTTATTGTAATTCTGCCTTGAATTTGAGCATATGGTATTGAAATAATATACAATGGGTAAAGCGGACTCTAGGCGCTGGTTTGTATCCTTCGTGTAATGAGATTTGCACTTCCAAGAAGGGAAAAGAAGATAAGCTGATTGGTTTACTGGTAATTTAGGTATTGGGTTGGAATTAATTAACATCAAAAAGTTGATTTTTCTTATATTTTGTTTATTTCTTACACGGATGATTATACTATATGGCCATTGAATTTAATTCATATTATCGGTAGGAATGGGTGCGCCATCAGTAAGTAAAGCAGCTTTGGAACGTAAATTTATTGAATGTGGCGAACGCGACCGAATGAAGGAATTGTTGTTGCAAAGGTTGCGAGAAAGTGGTTGGGTGGAAGAAGTGGAGAATATGTGTCGGAATTATATACAAAATAAGGTAAGCAGTGAAAAATTTTTTTACTAAATTGCATTTATATAAGTTTCCCATCCTATATACCTTTCCAAAAATAGTCAGCGATGTCACTGTTGTATAACCTTTGGGGCATTACTCCCTGCAACATTAAACCTTACCGATAAAACCAGTTGTATAAATGAATTGCTATTGTAAAGCTACTGAAATGTATAACTGAAGAAATAAATGAAAGGTATAAAAGTAATCATTATCCATTTTTACCTACTTTATAAAAACTCACTGAGCAGGGATGAGTAACTTTTATTAGACAGGGGCGAATAATTTTTAATAAATGACATGTATTTTAATATATTTTTCCAACCTTGAGACTGTCCAAATTTTAATAGCAATATTATATTTATTAAAATTTTTTTTATTTAATATTAGTATATTATTATTATTATCAATTTTAATATTAATATCATCTTATTCTTCTTCTTTTCGGAATTTACAACGTTCTTTTAGTTTTTAGAATTTCTTGCAAAACATTCAACCAGCAAAATATTTTAATTTCATATGATCTACCATGTTTTATTTTTCCATTTCCCTTCACTTTCATTGCAGGGTATCGAACAAGTAACGCTGGAAGATGTGCTGAGCGATGTACGAGTTCGAGCCAGACGAGCAGTACCAGATGAAGTGAAACGCGAACTGATGCACTGTATTCGTTCGTTTTTACAACAACAATCTGGCATTAATGATCTCTAAAATTTGATCCTAATTGTTACCGTACGCATATATTCGCATGGCTGACCAATTTTTTGATACCGGTTTTCTTGAGTTTTTTATTTGGTAATTTAACGTGTTGAATTATGGAATTGGCTTTCATAGTGAATTGATTTAATCGGTTGAACTTTAAATTTAGCGGAAACAACTGAATTGAATGGAATTGAGAAAACTGATTCTCCATTGATCATGCTGTTAGCGGCACAGCTATTTTCTCATTTCATATTTTCATATTAATTTCTTCGCAGTAACTTTGTGCATATTGTCCATCCTCAAATCTAATGCATTCACTATTTGTGTTTCAAAACAAATAAATCTTGTTCAGTACATAATAACCACATATATGATATATTATTAGTATTTTTATTTATATCATTTATTTTAATTTAACAATAAATTCCTATCCAAGTTTGGTCATTGGGCGATTCCACTCACATGCAGAAAAGAAGGCATCCTTGATGACGACATCAAAATACTCGAATTTTGATTATAGTACATCAGTTGTGGCTTATTCTTCATTGTATTGCAAGGTTCATTTTTTTATTTCACTTTTAAAGAATTTTTATTTTCTGTAACCGAAAAATTCTGCAACGGTCAATGAAAGGCACTGCAATAATAGAAAGTTTTCTTAAATTGCTTCAAGAATTATGCACAAAGAAGTAATTAAAATACAAATAAGAAAGCAAAATAGGGAAGACAATCAATTGGGTATTTCATCAAATAAAAACTGTAAATAAACAGTGGATTAATGCAAAAAATGTGCAAATAGACTGATTAGTTAATCGATTGCTGATTGATCATATAGTGACAATGAGCGAATGTTTCGGAATTCAAACGGTTCAAGTATCGAAGCCAAATTCACTAACTTTGAAAAGCCATTCATAGTGAAGCAAAGAACAATATCGATCGTTGATGTAAATTGCTGGCAAATTTATTATTTCATAGAATATTTGCCCATACCTATGTACTGCTGGCATATCACAAAACGCGTGTTGATCCGTGTGGGTATATGACAGTTCTGTGGGAATGTTTCATGATGCGAACACCGATATCTTTGACATTATTTTTAAAAAACGGCTTCGATACCGACAGTAGTCATTGAGCGGGCTATCGCTACGTATTTCTCATCGAGATACGAAAATTTTGGGAAAAGTATCGCTGTTATACTTATCGTAATGCAGGTACAGAGGGAAATTTAAATCTGTTTTCAATGATTTAATTAGTGATTTAGTTTGATGATTTAATGCTTTGACAACATTTCAAAAGAAACGAAAAAGAACAGTGTGTAATTTAAATTTTGATTCTATTATATGTGTGTAAAATGCCTCTAACAACTTGGCCGAATAACTGATGCAGGGAAATTGCCGTTTTCCTAAGGATAACCAAATGATACCTTAAAATAGTTTGACATACAACATGGAATAGTAGTAGTAACCTGCAATATTAATAAATCCGAAAACTGTTCTGTAATTTCAATATTTTTCAGTTAACCATTGGTATCGGTAGTTTCCTATTTATGAGTAGTAATTTCAAATTGTTCGATTCAGAGAAAGTGGTTTATTGTTCGACGGCGAATAAAGAAAACGCACTAAAATCTGCTGCTGTTCTAGGCTTTTATGCGACCATCGATTGTATCTCTGCTTTAACATTCCCAGTTTTATTTTGCATTAATAAGGCAATTTTGATTTATTACTTACAAAAACATTCACCAACAAATTATCTAATGAGTAAATTGATTTAAATGTTACTTTGATCTAAATTTTCTTCAAGAAATTGGCGGCGGTAAGTGACGCACAACTACATGTTTAATCTATTAAGGATATTCGCGTAAATAAGTTAGTGATATGAGCGGTATTTGAGTGAAACATGGGACTATCAAGATTAAATTGGAATTGGCTACTTTTTTGACCTATTGACCTTACACTCCTAATATGTCAAATTTCTCCTATTCGATCGCATCACTAAAATAATTTTTCTGTTTTACATGAATGAATGAATGAAGTCACTACCTGTGGAGAAGCAACCCGCACAAACTTTTTGTTACTTCTTGGTTTGACTCTTTCAGCACTTGCATTTATTCAGAGATTTCACCGAAACAAAATTCACGTCAACTTATCACATCGTTATCAAATCACGGAAAATATAAGTTCTCTTCAAACATTATCACCAATAGTTGCATTTCATTCCGTATTCCTGGCACTTTATTTGGGCGCACTGTTTATGTACTTTGCTATCGATTTCAAATTTTCACCAAAACAGTTTGCTATTTATCTCGAAAGTTCGTTTCTTGTCTTATAGTTTTTATCTAATTCACTTTTCTAATTTACAGAAAATGTGTAAATAAGTAATCGTGAACAAATATGAATGAGCCGAATTTGAGCAGGTTTAGAATTAAAAAAAAAAGTTCAATTAATAATAGTAAAGCGAAAATTTGCTCCAATTGTTCTTATTTCAAGCAATACGGAGACAGTGAAAAAATCGCTTGGAATCTGTAAAATGTGGCCAATATAAAAGCTAAAATAAATATAAGAAACTATTTGGAAAATTTTTAGCAATTAAACATAATTAATAAATATAAAATTAATCAGCTATAAGCCATAAAATTATTTGTAAATTATGGGGAGAATGAGTAGTTGCAAAAAGATTCAACAATAATTTGACTATTTATTACACTCATTGAAATTTTAAGTTTTATATTGCATTCTGAATTATCGATGTTTCTATTTTCTAAATATTAATGTCGTATAAATTGCACAGTTTACGGAAGTGATGCCGCAAACTTATTTACCAGTTTTAGTGTGACTTTAAGAATGTTTATGCTTATTTCATTGAAATTCAGGTGTGCAATTAACTCCGTTATATGCATTAACTTTACCAATTGCTATAGTTTGGACAGAAAAACACGTCAGGAAAACTATCCAAGAAAATTGTCAGAAGGCTATCGAATTAACGGGCAGTGAAGCAGCTAACCACTATTTTGTATGTATTTTGATGCATTTTATCATTTAATGCTAGAGAGAATTATTCAAAGAAAGGTGGTTAAACTTATAAGCATTGTTATGGGTATATGAAATGTATTCATAATGAATTTTTAAAGTTTGATTTGTTTTTTTTTTTTTTTTTTCAGACAATTTTTGAGACACCCAAAGGAAAGAACGGTTGAAAATTAAAAGGATCACTTGGCAGTATGAATGTGCGTCTTAACATTGAATGTACTTGAAAGGAGAAGAGCGAGTAGATCTGAAAATTGTCAGCAAGAGATTTTAGAGAAATTAAAAATGTCATCTCTTATTAAATCCAATTGATAGCAAATATTTGCTATAAGCAAAAGTATTTCCAATAGAAACATTTTCCGATGCATAAATTTCATCGTAGCTAATATTTGAAAAAAGTGAATGTATAGTATATTTCTCGAAATTTCAGTTCAATTCCTCCAAACATCTGTTTGGATAAATTCATTTGCTCATTGAACAACGTAACTTCATTTTAGTAGCCGAAATATCAATTGCCGAAATCCTTTGCATTATTCTGTTTGATTTGCTTGAGAAATGATGAATTACCTATTACATTATTGTTATTTTTTCATTTCTTGAAATTACGATAACTACTGCAGAAAGTGGGTTGTATAATAATAAAGTAGTTTTACTGCAAGGTCATCTTCAATTGCATAGAATAAAAGTATGAAATTATGAAGAGAATAAAATGAATAAAAGCTATGCTTTGACATCAGTATTTGGCCATACGCCGTGGACACCAAAACTCAGCTTTATTTGTGCATTAACTTAAAAACAAAGCACAGAGATGAGGGACAGTCGACAGATTAATTGTTTCACTTTACAATCATTTAATTAGTATTGACAGACAATAAAAAATTTGCCTTTTATTTTAGTAATGTTGCCGAAGATTAATAATGAATTTATCGGAAATACTTTAAAAAAAAGATGGAAGTGGTTGGAGTTACTCATTACTAATGTAAATTACACTGATTTGTGTCGAGAACGATAGGATAATCTTTACTCTTTGCATGCAAAGTTATTTTAACATGACAAGTAGATTTGATTTATAAAAAAGAAATTGAAGTGAACAATTTGATAATCTTTTAACAATGAAATATAAGTTTGGCTTTCAGACTGAAAGATTTTAACAATTAAAGAGCAATTTTCAGCATATTAAGCACCTATTCCAGACAATTCCAAGTAATCTCAGCTACATTTGGAAAATGAGTGTTGGTTAAGTGATTTCTTATTTAAGATATTAAATTGAAACAGTTTTATACTTGTCTAAAGAACATTCAAATAAGGCAGTTTTTAGTTTTATGTATTTAATGCATTTATTTCGATATGTCATAATTACAGCTTTTCCGATAATTGTGACATCACAATGCTGAGTAATTCAGTCCTGTTTTCCGTGATATTTGTATTCCACATAAAGTATTCTACTGATCAGAGATAATATAATTAAAAAAATCAAAGTTCTATCAAATATGCGAGAATTTTAATGGAAAGTATGATCAGAAAAGCAATTTCGATTATTCCGTTTGGTCCGGTTGATTCATTGCTTGTCGAATTTATTGACAGCTAGTACTATTGCCTGATTGTATACAAACACAGAAAGGAAACTTTCGTAATCGATCATAGTTGTTGATCACTTAAGTTTTGACTTTGTTTGACTAAGGCAATCTAATAGAATTTTTGTCTACGGGTTGTAATTTCTGGCTGTAGAATGCCTTAATAATACAATTTGCTATGACGTTTTTCATCATCGAAAACAAGGAAATATTCCGGAAAAAATTTGGAAGTTTTATCAGTCTACGGTATAAAATATTATTCAAAAATTTTCTATCTTTTAAGCAAGCAAGCTGATACATTGGGAAAAGTTGGAAGCTTGATTTTAAAAACTTAATGACAGCATTGCACTTGCTTTTTTACCATTTTTTCTTTTATTCGATAAAGAAAGAGACTTCTAACCTCGACCCGACCTTTGTTTAATTTGAAACTAGTTAGCTTTGATTAGCTGATCTAAATATTTCCAACTGTCTCTAAATTTATTCAACTAATTTTATAATTAACTATAATTAACAATGTTACAACAATTTAATATTCTTGTGAACTGGAACTTTTTTTAAATCTCAATATCCATAATTTTAAAGAAATTCTTGGTACTTAGTAGCCCCATGATATCTTTTGAGAAAAAAAAAAGCAATAAGTAAATAAATGCACCGATCTTTTCCTGATAAGAACAGATTTAATATTTACTTCACAAGTTGCTTTTTGCTGTTGTCATATACCTTGATTTCACTTTGTTTTTATATGCTTGTTTAAATAGTTTTGGAAATGAATTAAACATTCAGTTTACAACAAAAATTTGAGATCTTTATATCTATGTGTTCATTGCAAATCAGTAAGAATTCGATCATCCTTAATTTAGATATTTACAAATCAAAAACTGAAAACTTGATTGCAATGATCCTTAAATATTTACAAATTAAAAAATCAAAGCTTGATTACGGTGAAGTTGAAATTTAGCTCATGGCAATTAATTATCCATTGAAATATGTACTCATTAAACTACCTATTTTTCTGTCAAATGTGATAAAACGCCGTAATATATTAAAGTTTTAGCTTGAAAGTAAGAAATTACTTCACATACAATGAAATAATTTCTTCATAAACAATCTATGATATTATTGTGCTCGTAAATTTGTCGGACACTAACTTTTTGAAGCCAATGCTTTACTTTTGAATCTTATAGTGAATGATACAAACAGTGATTGGAAGAAGGAAACAGTAATTAGATTAATGTCTTGATTACAAAGTGACTATTAATAACTTGCTGCTATAATCTGATATCAGAAAATTATTCAAAATAAGTGGGAAAGTTTCTTTTTTTTTTTTTTCCTTTTTAATAGGTATGTTGCTGTCATAACTCTAAAGCGTTGACAATAGCTTTATTAGTTCTATGCTATGGTACAATATCACGCATATGCAAAAATAAAAAAAGAAATGAATAATAAATATTAGATTATACCAACAATTCACCAAATGTTTGTTAACTTTCCGCAATTTCACTTTTTGGCCGTTCTTTCTTCATCTCATCAATGTTATTACGCCAACATTTGTTGAAAGTGAATTAATGCGTAAGTGTTGAAATGAAACGTATCAGCGTTTGTTATATGTCGCGAAAGGTTATCTTTGGTATAAAAGTTAAATGGACTTAAGTTAACTGTTGTGTTCCGCTCGAAGCGTTAAAGGTAGTAAATGTTAAATACGCTATCGTTTATAGCACAGCAGAGAAATTATCTAAGTTTTTTTTTTATAAAACGTATTATCAATAATCTGAGCAGTAAAAATGGATTTAAAAATTGAAGGAAATTGAGATTGGTTATGACGGTTATAGTCGACTATAATCATCTTATTATTATTGTATTTATATGTGTAAGAATTGGGCGTATCTATGATAAGACCATATGAGACAAGAATCTGAGGTATTTACAATAAGATCGTATAGATAACAGACAAGAATCTGAGGTTTACAATAAGATCGTATAGATAACAGATCAATAATCTGAGCAGTAAAAATGGATTATTTTTTGGTATAAAAGTTTTTGGTATAAAAGTTAAATTTTTGGTATAAAAGTCACTGTATATTGTTTTCACGATATAATATAACAAGACCAGAAAAAAAAACTTCGTCTGGCTCACCATAACAGTTGAATAGCGATGCATAGTTCTCAGTTTTCTGTTTTTTGCGTTGTAATGTCTGCGATAACTGCAGTTTCACCACTTTATTGTTTTTTTTTTTTTTTTTTTTTTTTTTTTTATACATGTGATAAATATATGTGAGGAATGGGAGTTTTAAAATAAACAAAATTACATGAGCAATAAATCTTAAGGAGTTAAATTTATGGCGAGATGATTTATGAAACCATGAGATTGTTTATAATTTAAAAAATGATTTATTGGTTTTTCTTTAAATTAACTTTGTTATTTTAGTTAGAGTTTCGCGAAATTATGATTCGCGACACTACATGCAAAGTTGATTTAGACAAAGGTTTTAATTCCTCATAAGTTGCAACAAAGCGCATGATAATAGCGACTGAACGATTGTCAATTTCGGATGATTTTTGCTCTTTGTGCAGTAGAAGTAGACCTTTACCACTTTAAAGTAGAAGCCTCTACAGTACTGCGACATTGCAATGAGTGCTACTGAATGAATTTGAGATATAAAATTAAGTATCTATGTGATTGTTTATTCATCGTTTTCTCCTGGTAAAATGCTAATCACTTTTTACTATATATATATATACTTCTCTAACGATAGAATGCTGTAATTTCCTTTTGAAATATTGTGCACAGTGATTAGATTTTATTTTCAAAATCCAAGCAGTCGAAAATGTAAAATTCTAAGTTGTTAGTATTATTTATTTAAATCTTGCATGAGATTTGTTTAGTAGACATAACAGTTTTAATCCTTTTTTTACCTTGAAAAAAAAATAAATAAATAAATGATAAATGATTTTTTCTATCTTTCCAAAAATTCTTGAAGACATTCCAGTGAAAAATTGCAGATTTCCTTATACAAAACTAAAGAAAATTTAATTCCTTTATACCTATAATCTTTTTTTTACTGATAACACTTACATTTGCAGCATTTTCTTGCTCATATTCAAATATACAACACTTACATTCACAACAAATACATTTAATAAAATTTTTTTTGAGACGTCCAAAGAGATTTGTAATACGAAATTACTCGGTAAAAGTCAATGAGAGTAAAAATGAGGTGTAAGAAAAGGAAAGGAAAGTGACTACATTAGTCTAAGGACCAAAAAATGCACGATTGTGTTAAAGGTCATTATCTCTTTCTCTTTTCCATCTTTTATTTCTCCTTCTTTGTAATAATACTATTCCTTTGAGTGTGACAAAATTTCAGTTTTTTTCAAAATAAAGTTTCGATCGATTCTTTATTTTCCAACACATATAATCTTATATCTTCGTCCATTTCATGCAAAAGTCCCAATACTTTCCTGGCTTTTTGAAAAAGTCTTCAGTATATTCCGGAATGCAAGTATTATTTGCTTCAGAATGATTTATTGCACTATTTATGCATGTACCACTTCTTCATTCAATTTCAAAGTAATATAGCTTTAATTTTTGGCTGATTTTCAGATTCGTCAAAACATATCCCAGCATACTGACAAATAAATTGACTATGTGCTCGCACATCGATGAAAACGCTTCCGTCTAAACTAATATCGACGATTGGTTCATCTGTCGCTGTAATTTGATTGATAAGTATATAAATTTTGAAATTTCTAAGCAAGTCTTTGCATACTTTGTTTTGAATTACTACAACTTATTGAAGCAATTAATAATAAGAAATAATAATGCGAATTAATAATGAAATAATAAATAAATAGTAATAAGGATAGTGAAGATTAAGTATCAAATGATAAAAAGAAGATTTCAAAGTTTTTTTTTTTTCTTAAAAAATATAATAAAATGAATGAGAAAATCACTTTGCTATCTTAAAAAAGAATGCCTAATAGAAAATTAAGAAGAAATTAACTACGTATTAATTCTTCCAAAAGTTATTAATTTATATCATGTAAGTATCACATAAGTGAAATTTATTTGGACTTTTCTGAAAATATACTGAAATTTAAAATACCATCTTTCGTGTTAATTGCCATATTAATAATTCGACAATCTGTCCCAGCAGAAGCAATTCCAGCAATATTCCATGCGCCCCTTTTAGTCTTGAACATTAATCCAGCACCACTATCACCCTGTTTGAAGAAGAATTTACTTTAAGTTGTAAAATTTTTAACTCTTCAACAATTTTATTCGAGCTTCAAATTTTAAAATTTTGGGAATTACGAAATATATTCCTCCTTACCGAACACATATTTGTTTCTTGTAATTCGGATGTGCATAATTGGTCATCTATTCGATCCGGAACTTGGTCTTCCAGTACACAGTCGATACGTGTGACATTTATTGTTGCTAATGCTGTTGTTTTTTTCATTCGAGTTGCTAAAAAAAAAAAAAAAGAAAAACATCTGCATTGCTAGAAGTAATAGTTCATTTTTGCAACTAATTAAATTTTCTGTACTTCAAGACTTAAACATACAAATTTGTAAAGTACTTTTGACTTCATGAAAAAGTTACTTGCTCACTTGAAGATAACTTCATTTGTGTTTTGTGAACATTTGTGAAAATTTGCTAATTATGACAAATAAAACTTACGATCAGAACCTCTGGCATACAAAGTGAAAGTATTCGGAATAAAATCATGCGGTTGTGTAATGCATGCAACATCATCCAGTGCTGCCCAAAATTTTATAATAATTTTCAAAAGGAAATTTTAAAAAAATCTAACTAACTTTACAAAAAATAAACTAAAACAAAATCTAACCATTTTTAATTTAACAGTAACGATAGCAATATCATTGTGTAAGCAAGGACCCGTGAGATAATCAGCCGGAATTGCTATCTGCAACAATATCACGTTTCTAGGTACACATATATCACAAGACTTACTTTTCAAGCATATTACAATTATTTATCGTTATCATTATCTATCTACTAGGTCAGATAGAAATATCGGAGACAAATACTTATTTATAATTATTGAGTGATGCAGAATTAATTCTGATGATCTGATGTGAGCAATGATGATGTGTTTGTGAAAACACGAGACGAAAACTTTACTTCGAAGTTTCGTAAAATAAGACAAGTATTAAATGGTTTCCAAAAAATAAATTGAAAAATCAAACAAACTTAAAAAGTCTCAATCAGATGTTAGATAACTTCAAATATTGAAAAAATAATACAAATTTCGACGTAATCTTTGATAAAATAAAGATTTTTATTTTGCAAAAAACAAATTACATTTTTGATATTTACTGATCGTGCCATTTGTTGAAAATCTGAACAAACATCTTTGGAAAATGGTAAACAACCGCCACCATAATACACTTTCCATCTTTTACTGCTCAATATTTGGGTTACAGTTCTTCTGGAAATTATTTGAAACTTTCTATACAACTTTTTAAAAATCTCATTAATAAATCATTTTTTTCAATATTACCAGCAAATTTGTCGCTTCGTGTAAATCATTGATAATTTTTTGCTGATTACTTGAGCTTACAATCTTCAAAAAGAAAAGCTAACAATTTCAACTGCATAAAATTTCAAAAAAAAGCAAATTATACAAAAAAAAAAAAAAAAAAATTAGAGAGCAAATTTTTTTTTAAAAAAAGATTTGAAAAAATACAGGAATAGTTCTTACTGCTCACAATCTTTTTGAATAAAACAATGGGCAGCTGTTAACACATGCCTATCTGATATCATTGTGCCGGAACAGCCTAACTGCATACCTTAAAATTCGTTATTTCAATTTCGTTTTAGAAGAAAAGGGAGGTTAGTGTTTAAACTCACTGAATATAAAATAATATTGTTACTAATAGATTATTCAATTGCAATAAAAAATTTGACAAGTTTGTATTTAATGAACGATCATTAAGCATAAAATTTTAATTGAAAAAAAAGAAGTAAATTGTACCATTTTTTGAATATTGTAAATGAACCGAAAATGGTGCTTCAATTTGTTTTACATTGATACCACCCATTAAGAAACGCGCAATTATCTTACTTGTTTGTTTATTTGTTATCGCTTCACGAGCAAAACGTCGAGGTGCGTAAAATTAATTTAATTAAATGTATGAATCATTTTTTTATTTAAGTCATATTCATTTATGTAAAATATAATTATGAGATGATTGAAGAAAGTAATTGGGAACAATTTCTTTAGAGAAAATAAAGAAAATTTCTTTACAGAAAATAAGGTTTGTGCTAAATTTGTTTATATTAATCGTATTTTATACGTACAGAACATGCAAATCTAGATTATATCAACATGTGTACGTATATGTAACTTATCATAAATTTATATTTTTTTTACAATGCAAAAAAAGCTATTTGTCATATTGTTGGAACTTTTAAATATCACGCAAAATTTATATGAGTTTAACGTGAAATATTGTAATCATCGGAGTGAATTTTTTGAAATATAAATTTAGATAGCAAAAAGTATATTTGCGCACGTGATAATCATTCATATTATCAGCTCGGCATCTCATCCATAATCTTTCAACTTCCTCTGTTGTCAGTCGTGATAACAATTCCGCTGTTTCATCAACAAATAATACCATTGCATAAAAACAAATATATATTATTCTGAAAGAAGGAAAAAGTCAATTTAATCAATTAAATTTAATTTACATTCTTTATATCAAGTTTTACTGATTTAATTTTGCTTTTTTACTTTATAAGAATTTTGACGATTTGCAACTGATAGAATAAATCAATCGATTTAGATTCATTAAAATTTCATTGAAGACAAAATTACAGAAAAACGATATCAACAGAAGAGGAAATTTTTCAGCTTTGTCAAAATAAAGTTTTACTGATGAGAAAATTTCCGGAAAATTAATTAACGGATCAGAAAATTTGAGGCTTTTTCCTTTTCTTTCTTAATTCCGTACTTTTGCTATGCACTTATTTACTGAAAATATTTTACTCTATCAAAGATTATTATGAAGTAAATCAAATATATTTAAATGCTTAAATTTATACACATAAGGAAAAAAAATAAATAAGTAAACAAGTAAACAAATAATAAATGGATATTAATCGATAAAATCTTAAGAAAATGTTTGGAAATAATCAATTTAATAAAACCTAAACATACCTGTAATTCATAATCGACAAATGATAGGAATTAAGTGAAATGTGAAAAAAGCTTTTCTTCCAAATTATTTGTTGATTACACGATTTATTTCAAATGATTTGCTCACTTTGAAAGAATGCATTTTCATAAACATAATAGTTTCTGTATGTTTTACATAAAATTTACATGAAGAAAGTTTAAAATTATGGAAAAATTGGAATGTCGGTGTCAATCTTTGATAAAAAGTGAAAAAAAAAATGAAATGTTTTATACTTTTTGTGAGTTATAACTAAATACAAAATAAAATATTTAGATTTCCTTTTTTATTTTATTTTATTTTTTTGTTTCGTCAAAAAAAAATTGACAGGATATTATGGAATAATTTGAATTCAAAAATGAATAGCGTATTTGTCAATTATTGCTTAACAACAATGGATTAACATTACTTCCAAGTTTTATCAGTCGCAGCACTTCCTTTTTGTTATTGTCATAATCAAAAATCATTAATTCATTACTGATAAAGATCGAATAAACTTAATTGATTAATTGTTTGTTGGTTACAAAGCAATACTATCTCCAAAATAATAATGAAGTCGTTATTTTTGTCATCTTTTTGCCATCCGCCTTTTCTTTACTGATTAAAAAAATATGCAATCATTATTTCTTATTAGATAATTAATTTAATTTGACTTAATTATGTTATAAGTAATCAGTAATAATCCATTGTGGTTTTAATTATTCAATATATTGTTATTATCCTTATATTTAAAAATATATCATAGAAATCAAATAACAGCTGGTAATTATCATGGATACTTTGATAAGATAAAGATTTTTAAATAAGTGATGTAATTTGCATATTGAAATTGAAATTTTCATAAAATCATCAACAGCTGAAATAAAAATGTCATTTTGAAGCGTAAAAGTGTGGTGTTGTCACACGTTAAATTTAAAGTAATGAAATCAGCAAGAAAGCAGAAGGATGAAAGACGGTCACTTAATTTGAATTAATTAATTCATCATTAAAAAATTTGTATATTTCCATTTTTTTTAACTTTTTCATTTAATCTAAGCTATATATATATATAATTTTCTAATATGGTAATAAATTTTTCTGACGCATAATTTTCATCACTTATTATTCGTCTTTAATCATAAAAACAATTAAATATTCTAAAGTTGCAGATTTTAATCTAATTAATTGAAAATGTGCTACAATTTAAATTGTCTAAACATAGCTTAAAATTTCAATTAACAAATAATCATTAAAGCGAACGAAACGTTGATATATTTAATGCTACAAATTATCGCCATTCGAGATATGGAAATGAAATGGATAAATCTTCAAAAAATTCCAAACAAATAATCAATAATCCAAAATTATCTAATTGTATTCAAAATATTCGATTGATTTGTTTTTCTTTATATATATATATATATATATATATATATATATATATATATATATAAATACCAAAATTTTCAAAAATATTAAAACATCTACAAAAAATTGCAAACTTTCATTAGGTTTTTTTTTGACAAACAAAAAAAAAAAATAATGAAAATTAAGAAAAATTTATTGCCATATTTCACTGTTGACAATAAGAAATATTCAAGTTAAGCGACCACAAGTTGTACCGCCAACATTAAACGAATTTACCAGATGGCGCTATATTGGTGTTTGTACAAAGCAAGAAGCTGAATCATTTGTTCAGTGTTTGACAGAATTTCGTTTGTATCATCAATGGGATAAATCGGTAACTCTTTTAATCATTTCCATCATTAGTATACTTTTTAATTAACCTGGCATCATTTAAGGACAATCTAATATTAGCTATTTAATTTATCTGTCTATAAATCTATCATCATTATCATCTTGATTCGTTAAAATAATAAACAATCTAATAAAATAATAATAAATAATAAATAATTGTACTAACACCATATTAAAAACTTGTTACTTAAAAAAAATGATTAAAATTATCGATGTTTTTTTCCAAAATTGTTCGAGTTTCAAAATCTATCTAATTTCAACACTGCCCTTAAAAATTAGACATTTTTAAGATTTGCGTTTGGATTAGCTATATTTCTAGACTGAAGCAAGAAACGATAATTGTATGTTGTAAAGTGACAATCTGATTTGAATTGAATGTATTAGCAGCTTTCAGATCAACCTAGACGTTATCGACCATCTACCACTTACAGTGATATATCGTTCATCGGTTGGTGATCACTTCCACTGGCTTGTTCGAACAATGGGTGAGATAATTGAAAACAAGTATGGACCAATTAATTATTTATTCATTCACTTTCAATTTTTAAAATTTTGTCTAGCCTAGATTAGCAAAACACTAGATTAATCAATCAAAAATCAGCTATAATTTGCGGCTAAATATATTGAAACTGATGTGATTATTAGTGATACTAAAATCAGCTACCTGCTTTCTATTTCGATTCACTTCATGCTTGAATCTAACGTAAAATAATTAAATGATTGGAGCAAAAATGTAATATATATTGCTATTGCATCTACATCTTTGTAAAACAAGTGATATTTCCACTAATTCGCAATTCAAACAACGATGATACACTTTTTAATGTTATGTTAGAAAATTTTCAGTGATACAAAACAGAGAGAATATAAAATTCGAAGTTATTACATTGAACATAGTGGACCATCGTTACCAACTCTAAATGAACTCATTCGATGCTACGAAAATCGTACATACAACAGATATGGTTATGTTGACGTATTCGGATTACCATAAAAATAATTTCATTCAGTGTTATAATGTCTTTTCCTCAAAACTTCCAAGAAATTTTTATCAGAATTGAAAGACCCGGGTTTCTAGTAACGGTCACTAAACTATAAGTCATGACTTGCGTGCTACTGCATATTTGTATACGGGAGTGCATTCAATAAATGATTTCTCACCGCAACTAAGCAGCAAATCTTGACTTCCAATTTTGCTAGAACAAATCCATAATGAACGTAGTCTCATTTTTGTTTATCGTCTTTCACTGAACGACTCAGCAAATCAATTGAAGGCAAAATCAGCATTGGTGCGGATTTCAGTTTTTGACTCGCTCATCAGTCCCACTAGAATTTGTAAAGTTTGTTTCATGTCATTCCACTACAGATTCAGAAACAAAATTTGTATTTAAAAAACAGCAACAGTGCAGCACAGGATCGACAAACGATACAATAATTAACTCACTAATTATCATTCAACCCAACGAAACGGTCAAAAAAGAAAAACAAAACAATGGAGGAACATGTCATCTTACCTCCCTTTACGAAAACAATTTAAAACAATGCTATCAATTCCTAAAAATGCAAACAAGTTAATCTTGAGTCCTGAAAAAGCACTCCTGATCCTTAACGCATGAAAACAGCAATCAAAAAGAAAAAAAAATGGCAGAAAACAAAAAGAAAACGTCATGTAGGCATAGTAACAAAGGCATCAAAAAAAAAAAAAAAAAAAAAAAAAAAAAATTGGTATAATTTAGGGAAAACCAGAATTTTAAACAGCTTAGTTAACAATACAGAACCCAGCCCGAGTTCGCTGAATTACAATAACTGTAATCAACAATGGAATAGCATAGCAATACAAATATCATGACATCATTATCACGGCCTTTAAAGCAAATTTGCAATATCCATCGGCATTTCTTCAATCTGTGTATTATAAAAACTTTCAATATCCTTCATCATTCGCATGTCAGTTTCCGTTATGAAATTTATTGCTACACCCTTTCGCCCGAAACGTCCCGACCGTCCAATTCTGGAAATTTTCAGATCACTGAATGCTAGTTATTCCTCGTTACCATTTCACATCATTAATTCAGATTCAGCACCACTTCCCCTTTTAAAAAATTCATTTGCGCTTCATCACCCATCCATTTAACGACGTTCAATTTCAAAAACAAAACAACATGCAATTTCGAATGACTCACCGGTGGATATAATTCTCACGATTGCTTGGAAGGTCGTAATTGATTACCAATGAAACTTGCTGAACATCTATCCCACGTGCCAACAAGTCCGTAGTAATAAGGACACGGGAGGAGCCTGATCGGAATTCGCGCATAATTACGTCACGCTCATTTTGCTCCATTTCGCCATGCTGAACATTATCCGGTTTCGATAAGAAAATGGAATGCTAATAAAACGAATTACTTCCGAAAAATTAATAGCAGGATCAACATTAGTTGATCAACATCAAAATATGATCGGAATGCAAACTGAGGAAAGTTTTCGAAAAAATGAATAAAATCATTGAACAAACAAGAAGTCATCCAGATATAACAAACCATGCAGGAAACAGTGTACTTTTCTTTACTCATTTGAGCTGCAAGGTAATCAACCTTCCTACGAGTATTACAGAAGATGACGGCCTGAGTTACATTAACTGTGGAATATAAATCACAAAGTGTCTCGAATTTCCATTCCTGCAATACTTTAAGTTTCAAAATGCAAATTACTTGATCGATATTCGAAATACATTAAGATTAATTCCATATGTGTATTCTCTATTAATTGCACGGCTGTGGCTGACGCCTATTTTCTCCATAGAAACCATGTCAATATGCGGATGCACCAGTTGCAGGTGAACCAAATAATCTACCCCTACTCTTCTCATACCCTTTTCACGGCAATCCATATTCAAATATAATTAAGCAGAAAAACAACGAAAACAGCCGTGCTTCTTTCTCGACGTTTATGTAGAACTGCCTGATGCCTTCAAGGGTAAGCTCTTCTCTCTTCACTAAGATACGTATGGGATCATTCATGAAACGATTTGTTACTTCCAGAACTTCCGATGGCATCGTAGCCGAAAGGAGCACTACCTGAAAGAAAAGTGCCACTTTAAAAATGTTTGAAAATGATAATACAATAAATATAAGGAACGAACAGCAGCAAGAATACCTGAACATCACTCGGCATACATTTGAAGACATCATAAATTTGCTCCTTAAATCCACGAGAAAGCATTTCGTCTGCTTCATCAAGCACGAACATTTTGATGTTATTGGTTTCTAAAATGAGTAGTCCCTTGAATAAAGCTATTTTTCCAGACATCAAAGTATTTTCTTTAATTTTTTGAAACCTTCAAAGCTAGTTTAATGTGGAAAATAAGTTCAATATAACCACAACTTACGGAGAGACTGGCGTGTAATCATATCATTAACACGGCCGGGTGTACCAACTACAACGTGAACACCAGACTCCAATTTACGCTGATCATCACGAACATTTGTACCTCCAATTGATGCATGGCACTTCACGCCAAGATATTCACCCAACGATAGCATCACTTTTTGTATCTAAATCCTTTACAATATAACCTGAATTCGCAATTCCCTGTTTTACTTCCTCTAAAGTAATGACCGATCAAAAATGTTCGCTTAACACAAATCTTGATATGGCGAAAGGAAGCCAAGAAACAAGACTCAACATCTTCGAGCTCAGCTGCTAAACATAAAATCGCCATTTCCTAGTCCGTGAGGGCAAGTTATATCATCATCGCTCGAACAACTTTCTGCGCATCCAACAAAAACTCCATTCTTAGCATATAGATTACTGAACCTATATGTGCATAAAAACTCTATTTCTCTCCTACTTTGCACTCCTTCTCCGATATTTAAATGAAATCTACTGGAGTTAAAAACACACCTGCTGCGCCAACTCACGAGTAGGTGCCATTACAAGGGCTTGAACTTCTGGGATGGTTTCATCAATATTTTGAAGTACAGCTACGGAAAAAGTGGCCGTTTTTCCAGTTCCAGATTGTGCTTGCGCAATGACATCACGTTCTGTAACAGAAAAACCGAAAGAAGAACAAGAACAGAACACACAAATGCGACGTCATGATATTTCATGGATCGTGTTCGGGAGATCCAAAAATCCAATTAAAAAGACCCAAATTCGATTCCTCCTTTCACGAAAAAAAAAGAAACGACAACTTTTTTTTTCTGAATTTTTTTAATGCGGAGTCGCTCCTTCCTTATGATTCTATTTCCTAATGGTCGAATAGATGAAACAAACCGACATAGAGAGAACCTCGAGAATTAAGGCAGCAAAAAGCATGTGATATGATAGTGCGACGCAACATAGTGACTCAATATGTCTGATTAAAAAAGATGAGAAGAGTCAAACAAGACAAAACGATCGGGAAAAGACCATGTAAGTCTTGGATTCTAACTAGCAACTTTGCCCTCCATTACCATTCTTCATTCTCACTTATTCACAATAAGTATCACGAAACGAGACTTACGAAGAGCCAAAATTTCGGCACACCTTAAAACAAATCTATATGAAATTTAATAATCTGCTTTAGTGGTATGAGACTGTCAATTTACTGACTTTATACTTTTCGTCTCTTGACTTACTTTTGGTGCACGGAATAATGGCACGTTGCTGGATAGCGGATGGCTTCTCAAAACCAAACGCATAAATTCCACGAAGAAGATTTTCTTTTAAACCCATTTCATCGAAGTTTTCGCATACATATTCCCAATTACTCTATAAATGAAACATTCATTTCGATTTGTGACAATATAAACTTCTAAGTCTCACTTCCACCAAGATGTTTCCCCACCACAAATAATCCCAGCAAATCATACCTCAATAAGACCATCAGAATCCAAAGGCGCCTGAATCGGCGCAGGGGCGCCAGCGGCTTCACCGTCGTCTACATGTTTCTGCCTACAAATTCTGCTGACTGGCAACATACGAAATGCTTCTAACAAATTTGTGACCTATTTAATTCGAAATTAAAACACAGAAATATGCAAAAGATATCAGTTCAAGAAGAATATCTGAAACACATACTGTTGATTGGCATCAGTCATGTCAGGATCGCCGAACAAAACGAAAAAAATTCGCGTTTAGAGTGAAAATAGATAAAACCACTTCCGGTAAATAGCTGAAAAAGGATGAGTAAATGCAATAATCAGTTACATGAATTTCAAATTTAAAAGGCATTTAAAAGGCACCAGCGCCTGACCACTCGGAAAAACGCAGACACGCACATTTACACAATAGACACAAGCATATATACAGGTATACATGTAACACAGAAAAGCGCTCAGACATACACACGGACAGGCACTTGCGTACATGCACAGACATATAAAGACAATTTTTAATAAGAAGCACATCAACACAAATCAACATGCATGCATATATACCTACAGAAATGTATATGCAGGAAACGATATCCATACAACAGCACAACTTATATTCTCATTCTCCTATATATCACATGTAAACCTTTAATTTCAATCTGCACAGCATATTAATGAACAACCATGCTTCACTCCCTCATAAATTCAACGTTGTAAACTCAAATACTTAGACGTATTTATCACTATATGGCCGCGAGTGTCTCACAGACGCAATATCAACCAACATAAGCGTATATATACTCAGCACTAACAATACTCAAACACACACACAGCAAACAGTCAATGAAAGTAAGGTCAACGACATTACCAATCTACGACAACACCAGATGACACAACCACCTAACAGATGCAATCACAGCCTAAACTGACCTCACTCGCTACTATTTACTGCGCGGGGCACGAAAATACGATCAAATGCAACTGAATGTACGAATTAATCTTCGACCCGCATTCGAAATACGAATGAGTAAACTTCGAACAAAACGTCTGTGATAAAATTGAAAAATTGTTGTATGATGAAGTAAGGTAAGGTAAAGTGAAGTGGTAGTTTTATTTAGTAATCATTTGTAATAAGAATTTCATTCGGCAGTAATTTTTCGAAAGGACTGTTAGAAAAAGTAGAATGAAAATTAATTAGCTTATTTTGAAAATTAGCTTATTAAGTTGAAACTAAGCTTAATAAGTTAATTTTCAATTGAGGAAAATTTCTCGGTAGCTAAATCATATAAATAGTCTCTTTCTGTATTGTTATATAAAGTACATATTTTCCTTTTTTTTTTTATAGTTTTATATGTCACATATGAATTAATCCGGGATAATCTGAGAAATCGTAATTGCAGTGAAGATTTGTTATTGTTCGTTTGTGTTTCGAAGATAGTTGGTCTGATAACTCTGGGCTTTTGATACTTATCTGTGGTTATTTCAATTGAAGCTCATAAGCGTAGTAAGAAGAATTATTAAAGATTTCCTTGTCGGAACAAGCTAATTAATTTTTTTAAGTAAGAAATAAGCTAAGAAAAATTATTAAAGATATCTTTGTCGTTCTAAAGATGAACAAAATTATGCCACAAAATCGATATACTTTCAAATAATCTTTAAAATGGTAGTTTGAAATTGCAAGATAGTTGAGAGATTGGTAACTCCTCGAATGAAGGTCAGAAGTTAATTAAGTTAGGGAATTTAGTTGCAAATTTAGGAGAGCATAATGAAAAATAGTGAAACAGTTAAGAATTGATGATGATGCAGAATATAATGAAGAAAGGGTAACGGGGAAATAATGAAAGATTGGATATCACATGTTACTATGGTCATCAGGATGTGTGATATTGACCAATAATTGATCACTCTTATACTTACAGGCATAATAAAATGCTTTTGTATAGTTGCTATTATAGTTAAAGTAAACATTTTGATTAATAGGTTAATTGATAGACTAATCGATATAGCTACAGCTAAAAAAGTAATGGAACTGAAGATGATATGGAAGGAGCAAAAAATGTTGTAGAATTAAACCATTCTGGAACAAAAAGAGAAAGAAAAATGCCAAAAATTTAGGAGAAAATATTTGGCGACGATCAAAATAAACGAAGTAATATTTAAGGCAATAGCTCGAATGTAGTAATAAAATATACAAATTTTAGATTGTGGGTAAAAATCCCGAACAATGCAGTTTCAAAATCTTAATCCAACACATTAAATGGGTAACCAAAACAGTACGATTAATCGTATTGCAGAAGTATTCTAATTGCAATTTTAGAGGTAGTTGAATACTTGTGGGAACTTAACGTTCTTGTCTAGTAAAATCTTTCTTTGCATCCTTACGAAATGTATATTAAGAACTTTGTTTCTAATTTCCTCAAAATACACATGCACTCATCTATTGATTTTTTATCATGCTGAGAAAAACAAATAAATTTCAGAAGTATTTTTGATTATTTAATGGAAAGTAGCAGTGAAAGATTTCATGAGATTATCCCATCCTCTTCCGATAATGTCGTCAGTACTCAACAAACTTCAACTATATATGCCCGAGCAAAGCATGCCTTTAAAGGACGAAACAACGATGAGGTATCCATTTATATATTATTCATCTTTATGCTTTCATATATTTGAATATTATTTCTCAGTGGTTTTAGTTTTATGATTTACTTCACATAATTATGATTTGCAGTTACTTTGAAAAAACAATGGAATAACGATGTTTCTTACCCCAGCTTTTACCACATACCTTAATTTGTTTTTGTATTTCTATATTCGCTCGATTACACTGCAATATTATAGTCCCATCCTATTAAGGATGCAGCTTGAATAGCTAATAAATTCCTTTTTTATGGAAATTTCATTTCTTTTTTCACAGACTGAGTGAAAACTATTTGTACATGTGATGTTCTAAATATCTTCAGAAAGGGAGAAATGTTTCATTGTTTGAGATTTTCACTTCTTTCTTCCTAATAAATCTTCATTTTTTTATTTATGTTAGAAGCAGAAGTTGACATGGTGAGTCTTTATGGCTTTGAAAGTCAGAATACAACGGGATGTTTTAATTTTCAGCTTTCATTTCGAAAAGGTGATGTTATCACCGTTACACAGCAATTGGAAGGTGGTTGGTGGGAAGGAACGCTACATTCTTATACTGGATGGTTCCCGGCGAATTACGTCAATATAATATCCGAATCTGGTATATAATTAATCTCCAATCTATTGTCAGAATTTGAGCAATTTAATTTTCCACTGTAAGAATTTAGTAAAGTTATTTTGATTACCTAACATGAAATGAAGTTTACAGCATCAAGAGTCTTAGGTTTGAAAAAATTTGTTGCTTATGAAGCACTTTGAATAAGTTTATACGAGTTTAGAAAGATTTTTGCCATCTCGAAATAATGGTTCTCCTATGTTAAATGGTGATGGTCTGTCATCCGGTCCAACAAAAGAAACGCCTCTCTTTTCGAGTGACACAAGTCGACAAGCTTATCGGAAACAGGTAAACAGTAATGTCATGGGGATGTTATGCTCTTTTCTTTATTGAATTTCACAGAACTTCTCGTTACTCATGTTATTATAGTTTCCACTTGTACGTTATACTTTCAAATTATAGTAGTTTGAAATATACTGTTGCATTGAAAAGTTATTGCATTGTAGCTGAAACTGCCATAAACATTACCTATAGGATAAATAGGATCTGATATCAATACTTTACAAAAGACTTTAAATGTTAAACATGGATTTGAAAACCTGACAAAACTTTTGCAGAATCTTTTCCTGGAAATGCTTTTCCTATTATAGTAATACACTTACCACTAGGCATCTGAAAATTTGAACTGCATTCCGAAATACAGTAATCCAGTCCAACACGACACTATATAACTTATTCAGTTGAAACTGGAGCTGATATTATCGGTGGTCTGAAGTTTGTTAAATATGAAAACGGGCTGCTTCTAGCATTTAGGCCGGTTTTGATGTGCTTAACATTTCTAATTTCAGGTAATGAAAGATTTCCTGGAGGCGGAATTGAATTACGTTGATAGCGTCACAAAATTTAGTGACAATACATTAATCAAAGTTAAAGATTCTAAAAAGTATCTTTTCATATAACATTTTCTAGCAAATGATATTCTCTACAAAAAAAAAAAAAAGATTTTTAAGTTCGTGCTGGAAATCTAGTTGATATAAAGATGGTGAAAGATTTGTTTCCAAGCAGAATTAAATTTTATATTCGATTTTGTATTTTTAGGATTTCTGAAAAGGATTTTCAAGTTCTTGCTGGAAATCTACAGCTTTTGATTACTCATCAGCGTGAATTATTAAGTGATATCAAAGAAGCTGCTGAAAAGGATCCAACCAATGCTCGAATTGGTGGTTTACTGTTAAAAGCAGCACCAAATTTACGACATCTTCTCAGGCTTTATTGCGAAAATCATCCAAAGGCAGTGGATCTCATCCTTAGAAATAAGTAGGATTTACATGAAAGGTTTGATTAAAGAAGAAAGAAGTAACAGTGGTGCTTATGCTCTAGAAGTATAATTTATTTGTGCTTAGCGAACAGCATTATCAACCATCTGATTTTAAAAAGTAAAATATCGAATATAGCAGTACGTAGTGTGATGGCTGTAATAAGTCAGATTCTATCTAGATATTCTGCTCACACATATTTTCAGAGATCTTTATGAGCAATTACTAAATGAAATAGATTGTCCCTTGAAAGATTTAATATCTGGATTGAGTCGTCCGTTCCGACATCTGGAAACATATCCGAGTATGTTAAATGAACTGGAACGTGGCATGCACGAAGCACATCCCGATCGAGGTGACACACAGAGAGCTGCTGCTGTCTTTCGTGATATTGCTGTTTGTTTTATGTTTTTTGGAAAACGTTTAAATTTTAGATATGTTGCTGGTGCTCCGAGTATACTGGGATTACGCTTCGGATCATTCAGAAATTATTATATGATAATTAGACTTTTAGTTATTAGAAATTCGTATAACAAAGGAATTTTAGCATGAATCGCGAAAATATGCTGATTGGGCTACAGAACATTCAGTTATTATAAATTTTCATTGAGACTTATTTTAGAATTACTGTGGAGCTTTACGGAAACAGAAAGAGATGCAGTTGGAATTACTTGCCTCTGGTTCCATTGATGGTTTGCCATCCGAAGAACTGAAAAAACTCGGAGAAATTTTGTATATGAGTATTGTTGCTGTGGATGACATAAAAGCTTCTACTGAAGAAGGCTTGTCTTGTGACAGGTAATTTTTTTGTTAAAATCTTTAAAAATTGAAATAAGAAAGCAAACGGTATGATTTCTATAAGAATTACTGATTTTTGGTAAGTTTATTACCTCTCAGAATATTTCAGGTTAATAATATCGTGTTGTTTTTACTTTCATTGTTTACTTTACTTTTGGTAGACATGCTTAATTTTACTCATTGTTTTGAATTGTTCACGTTCTCTGAAAAATAAATCGAAAAAAAAAAAGTCCACAAAGATTTTAAATTAGTAAAAAAATTAATTAGCTAAGGAAGTAATTATATTCATTTATTTGATTTTAGATGTGTAATATTGTTTCCAACAACATTGCTTATTCTCGAGATCACCTCAAATGTAAACTCATATATAATGAAGAAGAAAATTTCTCTTGAAAAGCTGTTTTTGAAAAAGGCAGAGAACAAAACAGCGCTGATTCTTTACAATGGTATTCAAAATTAAACTTAACAGTAGATTAAGTGGAAATAACTGGAGGATTTCAGATGATATGCAAAATCTTGCCTGATATGTAGGTTCGATATCATTAGAAGAATTAGTTTATGCATCTCCTCGTCACATTTGGGTACATAGGGTTGACATCTGTAGTTTTTTTGCATTTGTTTAAGTTTTATTTCATTGCTCCTTTATATCAGCAATGAAGTCAAAATTTCTTCTATGGGTGATAATGTGAGAAGTTCGACTTAGTATTTGTTTTGATTTCTCTTTTTAATTCTGAATTTTCTTAAAAGAAAGAACAAAACAAAAATAAATGAAAGATAGCAGTGGGAATTTAAGGAAGGGTAAAGGGATAGAAGAGGAGATAATTTGAACACCGAAAGCCGTTCAGTGTTTATGATTTTTTCAATCTTTCAAATCACTTTACATTCTTCTAGTCTAACGTATGAAGTCCCGTTTTGTTATTTACTGGCGTAAGATTACTTTGCTTTAACATCTGTTTAATTCTTTAATATTTTACTTAGGTTAATCTACTTATTAAGAGTATTTTTAGCAGCGTTTGAACTTTTTTTGTCTCTTACATATTTGAAAAATTTTCCATCTTTTCATTTGATCTTTTTTGTAATTATAGCACACAAAATGTCTTGTTTTTTCTCTCTTCAATTTTAATTTCCTTCCCGAAGTTTTTGAAATCGTAAAGATTGCCTTTTTTAAGCTGATGGTTCATCAGAAATAGCAATGAACTTATTGTCAAACGATGAACTACAAAGATGGATTGAGGCCTTCTCATGCTGTACAAATCTAACAGTAACCGATGATTGTTGCGACCTTATCTCTTCTTTTGGACCTCAGAAAATCGATATAAGCGATATGCACAATATGGTTAGTTCGGTTTTTCCGACTGTGCACTTTTTGCTGGTAAATAAAGCATAAGTTTTGCAAGATCTGTATGATTTTGGTTCCAAAATAAGGCCAACAACTGTTGGGGTAGTAAAAACTTTCATAACAATTCTGGTAACAGTTATCGATAGCAGGAAAGATTGAGGAATGCTGATGTACGTGACAGTGGTATAGATTTAAATTAAGAATGGGCTTGTAGACTGAAATAAGATGGACATTATGATAACTTGAGCATTGGATTATAAATTACGGCTTAGTTCATAATTTTTGATGTATAAAAAAATTCATCGAAATTTATGTCGTGTTATTACATGGAAAGCGAAATTATAAAGTGCTTATCTCCGAATCCAATATTTTATGACGACATAAGCTAAATTTACTAATAAATTTTTTTTTTTTTTCCATTAATTTCCTATTTTTTTTAAAATTTTCCTTATAATCTTTCATAATTCTGCTCTTTCACCGCAAGAAGTCAGTTTTTCTTTCTTACAGTCTATCATATATATCAGCCATCTTAAAACATTTCCGAAAAAACTACGTAATAATCTTTTCTATATCTGATGATCTTAAAAATACAATGGGTGAATCTTAAAAAATAAATCCTCCAAGTTTTGATGTAGGCGATGTTCCTATTTTTTAAATTTCTGATCCATTTCTACAGTAAAAAGAGATTTTTAAAATTAGCTGAATATGAAACAGGAAAATTTGATGATTATCTGAATCCGATAATTTTATTATTAATTTTCTTTGCACATCTGATTCCATCAAAAATTAAGCTGTCCTGAAATTTAACTCTTTTTAATGTTGTTTTATTCATTTTATTTAGTGGATACTTCTATTTCGATGTTCTCATGCTTTCTTTTTTTTTTTGTTTTTTCATTATTATTTATTACTTTTTTTTCGAGAATTTAGAAAACTAGATTAAAAATAACAGTATCCATTTTTCTGTCGCCATATTAGATTTTTTTTGGATGTTGCACTGATTACTTTTTGTTCTTTTTATTTAGATGATTTGTGCTCGGCTACTGTTTTGTCGTAGATTGATATAATTTCTCAGTATCGTAGATTCCATAGATAGGATTGAAGATGCTTGCATACTTTTGAATATTCTTTATTTTCGAAGAGAACGTCTAGAATATCTCATTGCTTTCACTATATTCATTTCATTATCAGATGAATATTTTTCTGTTTCTGTTCTGGTGTAACCGGATGTTTCTTCCATGCTTTTCGTGATGTTGATGGCAATGATGATAACGACAGCAATAATGGTCGATGGTCATAGTTGGTAATGTGTGTCTGTCTGCTACTCAAGGAAATATAAGTAGCTGATGCTTTTTTACCGAGAGCTCTTTTTTTTTTTTTCGTCGATCTTTAGTACATGTAAAAAAAAAAAGTGATACTATAATTTACATAGCAGATGTTTTTTTCCCTCCTTTGTATCTGTACCTATTTTCCTTTCAGTGTTTTTTATATTGTGCTGTTTTTTTCTCCCCTAATTTTTTGTGAATGATTTCCTGAATATCTTCGTATAACCCCGTTTACACTCTTAAATTGCTTTCATTTTCATTGGATGGATTATTTGATTTTCCTAGAATTCTTAATGTAAATTTTAGGGCTTTATGACAAACTACTTCTATAAAGTGCCATCATTCTATTCTTGACTTCTACGAAAAATTTTATGGTTGAAAAATTTCATGTTGAATTGTAATTTGATAAATTTTATTATTGTATGTGAAACTTGCAAACTTTTTTCATCAATCATTAGATATATATTCTTTATTTTTGCCTTTTACTAGTTTATGGGATTTTTTCAGCTTAACTGTTGTATTTATCAGTAGTACAAAAAAGAGGGAGGAAAAGAAACAAGGAATATTACCTTATATAAGATACAGCTTGAAGGAGGGAGGAGAAGATTGTCTTGGGTGAGATTATCTGCGCCGTTTCACTCTAAATTCGCCTTTTAAAAATGATGAATAATTTTTGGGATTCTTCATTTTATGAATTGTCTCTATTTTCTTAATGCTTTATGCGAAAATTTTTTCATTTTATTAAGAATTGAATTTTAAATTGTCGACGTGCTGACTACCACCAAAAACTGCTTATCAAAATAACTGTTGGAGAAAAAACTGCATATAGAGAAAATTTTGTATTTATTATTCCCTAAAAATATAATCGTTTGTCTTTTTAACCATTCAAGCAAGCAGTTAAAATGATGCGAAAATTATTTTAAATTGTTTAGATCAAGGTAATTAAGTTAGAGATAATAATGTGGAATGGAATTGGTTCTGTTACTTTCTATTTCTTTTATTCATTAAAAACATTTTTTGTGTTAAGAAAAATGAAGTAGGCTTTTTAATTCAATTATAAAATTCATTTCAAACATTGGATTTAAATCTTTTCTGGATTTTGACTAAAAATTCAATAAATGAGCTGATTTACAGACAGCATGAAATTTCCCTAACATATGTCAGTACTGGTGGGCGAAGTTAGTAGTGGAGAACTAATCAGACACTTTCCACTTTTTTTTTTTTTTTTTTGATTCTACTCGCAGAACATATTTCAGCATCCGTTCACAGTCCTATTCGCGGAACAGCTTCTGTTTACTGTAAATGACCTCCTTTTTTTTTTCAAGACGATCATCCTTCTCATTTCCTCTTACGTTTATCTGTCTTCTGTCTCGCTTATTCAATTTCCTAAATCCAAACTATCTGAAATTTAGGATAAGATTGTTTGAAAATTGTTCATCTTCATATGTTTTGCTTATCTGTATCCTATTTCTTGGATCTCTACTAGTACCACTCATTTTGTTGATCCAAGCAAAACTCGCTGCTTACAACTTTTTCCTTTGAATTTTTTTGGCCAAAATTCACTTTCGATTTCATCATTTTCTAATTTGCTATACTGAATCTGTATAATCAGACTTGTTATCGTAGAATTGGTAATGCATTTCAGAGTCTTTCTAATTTGAATTTATGTTGTTTCCAGGGTTTTTTTTTTTCAAAATTCTAAAATTCTAATTAATCTTTTATCCCTCCTTCGTTAATTTAGAATACGGTCATTCAGTCAAAGAATCTTTTTATTAATTTCATATTAATTACTCAGAAACAGCAGATCATAGCTATTATTTAATTGTACAGTTTTTTTAAAGAAATCAAATATGGAAATTTTAGTCGTTGAGTAGTACTACCTCTCAAATTTTTATCTTTTTACTCCTAAGCTAAATCCTAAGCATCACTAAGCTAATTTAAGTCCAAATTAGCTTAATGATGATTCCATAGCTGAACTGTGCCATCTGCTATATGAATGAGTAAAAGTTTTTTTTTTTCAAATATTTTGGAAGATATAGACAAGGCATTGTATCGTGAAATGTTTCAAAAATTTCTACATATTAATTTTTTATCTTTAATAGTGTTACGTCCATGTAAACTGAATTTAAACGAAATTTCATCCTCAACTTCCGATTTGATAAATTCTGACACGCTGTATTCATTTTTATTGGCACGACCAAAAAACTACCGATAACATCAGATAGCAGAGAAAAAGCTCTATCAGGAAGATGTGGCGAGATGCTAACTGCTTGCTGATGTACATTTTGCACCAAAATTTCCCATAAGATGTGGGTTGATATGTATCAGTCAACTCAATTTTCCGTGTAAATTGCACGATGTTTAATGATTACAATAATATAATGGCATGGAGGTTTAATTTATAAAATAATATTGTCACCTTTTCAAAGTTGATGTAGGTAGATATGTATCATTTCGAATAATTGTTTCAGATTTTATCTTTTTTTGAAACTTTAATATCAATAATTAATAGTACTCCTATTAAAGGCACCTTGCTAAAAAATGATCGATGCTGCTATTTATTACTACTTGCTAACACTCGCTGCCACTTGCTATTTGCTGCTGCTTACTACTCCTTGCGTTACCATTTTAGCTATTGTCACCATTTGCTACCTATCACATTGCTCCGTTATTTATTACTATGACTTCATTATGCTACGACAACTATTTAGCGTTCAATTCTTCCAAGATTACCACGATCAAATTGTGAATTACTGTCTATAAGATAGATTTCCAATCATTTCTGTACGTCTTTCAAATTACAAAAAGCAGCAAGTCTTAGAATTACTTTTCGGCTTGTAACTTTGCATGCCATGTTGTAGCCAGTTTTCGAGAATAATGGGGCATGGAATGCTGTCAAGATTTTTACATTACATAATAATAATTTTTTTTTTTTCAAATAGAAACATCGACATTAACGTTGCTTAACGTTCGGCATAATTTATAATTGATTTTTGAAGTATCAGCGCAATAGACTGATTTGGTGAATTGTTCGGAATGATGAGCAACGAGGCGAAGGAAAGAGGAATGTGTGTTATTTCCCAAGCTGTCAGTTTACTACCACACCTCATTTTATTTTATTTTTTTCATTTGAATGTGAAGCTTGTATGTTTTTCTCCTTTCCACCAGTTTGAAATATTTGTGTATGTTTTTTTTAATGGCACATAAGTTTCATATTAATATTAACTGGATTTAAAACTCAGGAATGTTTACAGGCTATGTTAATGGTAGTACTTTAATTAGAGTTATCTTCTTTCTACGTAGGTTCTAATGTAAATAATTATTGATGATTCTAATGATGGGATAATTAACACCACGATTCGACAGTTATGATTGTAAAACTCCTTTCAATTATAGTCAGAAAATTTAAGGTAATAGTAAAACAATCTGGAAATCTTGAAAGCGGAGTTTTATTATTTTCATTATTATGTGACGTGAATAATTTATATAGAAGAGAGGAGTGAAATTGGGAGGTAAGAATTATCAAATTGGACTTATTATATTCTTTGTGAATTTATTTTGACTAGTTTTTGTTCAATATCAGCTGGAGATGGAGTGAGTGAAATTTTGTTTTATTTCAGTTGGATAAGAATTAATATGAACTTCTGGTATTTCATATTGTTGCTAATACTGTTTTCTTGTTGATCAAAAAAAGCGTTAACTTAACCCGATCGTATCACCCATTTTACACACACATACATACACATGAATACACATCTCTATAATACTCACGTATATTTTCTTTTGATGTTTTGTTTCATTTGATGGTTAATTGTTTAAAATGTATTTAAAAAAAAAGAAAACTTAAATTTGAATGAGATTTCCTGCTAGGATTACTTTTAGTTACTGAATTTGTTAGTTTTATCTTCGAAGATAATAAATAACATTAGCAAATTTGAAATATCATGGTAATGGATAACGATAATATTTAATGCTTCTGATTTAGCAAATCATGTATTCGTATTAATCATCAGTTTTGATCTCTTTAAACCGACCATTTAATCTAAATTTCATGATCGAAATTTTGAGTAAAATTTTCTATTTGCTTTCTATGATTTGATTTATCTTAAATGTATTTCTTGATTTTTTCAAGATTGGTTATAATTTTATGGGACAGTGAATTTTTTTTTTTTGCTTTTATTTTTTCACTGCAACTTTTACGCGATTTTAAAATACGCGATTTTCAATCAGTTAATTTTTAAGAAATTCTGGAAGTCAAATGATTTTAATTTAAGAAATGTTTAAGAATTTATAGAATTATTGATTCATCGATTCCGAAAATCTTCAGCAAGGTAGATGCACTGTATAAGAACTGAAAGAGTAGAGGTTGGTATATTTAAGGACCGTTTAAATTATTTCCATTTCTCCTATCAGCATCGTATTTGTCTTATCAGTTATTTGTTTATAGTGACATTCAGTTCCTTACAAATGAGTGAATTTGTTTATTTATTATTATTATTACTGTTATCATCATTATTTATCATTGTTAATTATTTGTTTTCTATTAATAATAATTATTATTGTATTATTATGATTGTTGTCATTGTTTTGCAAAGCTGGATATGCAATACGTTGATATGAATATTGCGTGTAGTGGAATGTGCTCATTGACACAATGATCGATGTCGGATGAGAGAAATGGCCTAGCGACTACAACATGCTGTTTTCATTGGCTTCATTTTCCATGCTTTGGTACCAAGAATACAGCTAATCATTCCAGACATGTACTATTTGTTTCTTGTTATGAATCTAAAAAAATTTGTAACATTACCTTGAATTATAATGGATTACAAAGAAGCAGCAAATGTTTCCGAGAAGTTTAAGGAATTTCGGTCATCAAGATATAATATTTCCAGATTTCTGGGTCGGTTGCATTTTTTATTTAGGTATTAGAAGTTGATGATTACTTATGCTGGACGACTTATAAAACTTAATTCTCTGTTAGTTTTCCGTGAAATACTATGCTTTTGAAAAAAAATTAGTAAATTAGGGAATTAATAAAATACGGTGGGAAAAGGGATCAGAAAAATCAGCTTCGGTCAGTTAGTCAGTATGTTATTAGAAAAATAATTTATTTAATAGTAATTAATTGGGCACATAATGTGTTAATTTGCTGGATGACGAGACTATATCTATAGCTAGTTAATTTTGATTTGTTACTAAAATGTTGGACAAAATATCTACCTATGTAAGTGAATTTTTGTTAAATGTTCGTAGATGTTAATAACCTGTTTTCAATGTAACTATTGCTTTAGATGTAATAGTTCTTAATTTTTTGAGTAACTTTAATAATTTTAGTTGTCATTTCTACTTGTTATTCTTCTGTTTGACCTTACTTTTTAATTGGTTAGGATATATTGGACTGCTTGAATTGTTATGTTATTTATCGGTATTCCATTTTAATATTTCAGAAAATGGGTGAGCTATCGCTGTTGAACTAAATGAGTCAATGATTAATTGAAAAAGTACCAATGAAAAATCACTTAGAATTACAGTCATTCAATAATACTATGCAAATCAAATTTTTACAAAAATTGCATGAAGTTAATAAATTACTTAATTGGAATCAAGTTAATAGTATTGTTGAATGACTATTATTGAACTGACTACTCAGTTTTGTAAACCAAAACTTTAGAAATTTAATTGCTGACATTAATTTTTTTAACATTTTATTTCATTTCAGGCTGAAATATCACCTCTTCGTAAAGCAGAAATATCACAGCTACCAGTAGCAATTAAAGCCGATATTACTAAACGAAATGCGTGAGTTTCACTTCCCTCCACATTTTTTACTATTTTTATCTTTTCTGCCATCCTTGTCATTTTTTAATCGTTTTATCGTTTTTTATTTTTTATTACTTATTTTATTTTTACTTTTTAAAAGTCCAATGTTAACTGTTTTATTTGTCGAATCTTCTACCATTGGCTGTATGGATAAAGAAAATGCAAACTTTCCACTGGCCCACTGATATTTTTAAGAAATAAATTTTCGCATTATCATCAAGAACGTAATTTTTCAAAAGCACTTTTCTCTTTTTTTTTTTTTTTTTTTCGAATTTTCGAAGTAATTTATTCGTTTCGACTTTATATTGCCTTTCCCATCGTTTTCCTATTTTAACTGTTTTTTTTTTTTTTTTTTCGCTTTATTCCTACTCGTTTTTTCTCTAGCTTCCGGTAATTGCCTTAGTTACAATCATTGGTTTTATTTTAGATTTATTGGAGTTTTAACAATTTCCCATCACTTCACCTACTTATTTGTTATCCCTCCACCATAAAATATCGAAATAGGTTTTGGACACTATTGGAATTTTATTTTAATTTCGGACTTCACGATATTTTTCAAGTTTTATTTTATTTGCTAGTATCCATGATAATTTTTTGTTTATTATTGTATTTTATTGCTGTTTTGATTTTTTTCTTTTTTCGTTCTTTTAAACGGTTTCATTCCTTCACTGTTCACATTTTGCATAAGATTTTAGATTTGAATTCCAATGTTTTTTCGCTATCTAAGAAATAAAATATTTTAGACTTCCACCAGGTTTACGATTTGATCATAAGCTGGAAATGGTGCTACCCGAGGGAATTAATGAAAACGAAAGCACGAAGGACCTACATTCGAAGCGAACCAAAATGTATTCCGGATATTGCTTGCGACCATTTCCAGCTGCTCGAGGCAATTATGCCGTTGATTATTCCAGGAAAACAAACATCAAATTACGAAAAGAAAGTTTGTCATTTTTTATTCATCCTTTGTCCTTGATTGGACTCAGTCAGGAATATTTTCTTAACGAAGTTCATCAGTTTCTTACTCTTGTTCATTGCAAATATCAGTATTATTTTAAAAATCTAACTTATTTTTCCTTCAGTATCACAAGGTGATCAGGAAGATGCATTTCTGTTGCATATCGTAGAAGATTATAGTTCAGCAATGTTACCAATAAAACGTTCCGCTAATGGAACGCAGTCTTCATCTGTTCACGAATATGATGCACCGCAGTTAATTGTCGCTGAAAATGAAAAAATGTTTGTGGAAGAAATGATCGGTGATCAAGTGGTTGTCAAGGAAAAGTGAGTACCGGGATAATAAAAATTAATATAGTGATTTTTCACATCCCTTCAACTTCAGATCTGAATCATGATAGCTTATTATTTATTATTATTTAGATTTTCGGTATTTCATCAGTAAGGCTAGGTAAAATAAGTTCCACTGGTCTATACGTAAATGACCATAAGATTCATAATGCAAATAACTATCTTGCTGGTCACTGCGGATTTGAAATTATGATTGTTTAAAATACGAACTGCTCGAATTACTGCTACTAAATATCCACTGACAGAATATTTACATTCTGAAAATGGCTTTGTATCATTCTCTCAAAAAGGAATAATAATTACTTATCATTGTCAGTTCAGTCAACCTAATGAAAGTTGAGCAAAGTGCCCTGTGATTCTAAACTGAAAATATTAAAATAAGTTGGTTTTAAGAATAAATTGAACTGATTGACCAATAATACGAATATATGGATGCGCCTTATCTAAAACGCTTGTTTTTGGCTCTAGTTGTGCAGTGGACTAATCGTTTTTTTTTTAATTTTGCTTCTAAGTTGCAAAGATAAGAATAGTGGATTTAAAGAGTATTATTTACCGTTAGCCGCATGGACATTTCTATATTTTCCTGCGATTGGATTTTATTTGTATCAGATGTGCAATTTGATATGCTTAAAATTTTGCAGAAGTCTTGTCGATACAGTGTATGCGCTAAGAGATCAACTTAGCAATGTACAAAAGGTTAATTTAATTTTTTGTTTTTGAAATTTAATTTCATCGGCTCATTTAAGATTAAGATGAAACTGGAACGTTTACACCCAAGCATCATTATTTCTTATTTAGTTACAAGTAAAAAATTCTTTTTTCTAAAATAAAATATTGAAAACAGTTTTAAAATTCAACTGATTTCCTTCCTTAGGAATTACTTCAATTAAATAAAACAGTTGATCGAGAACAAAAATCACGGCGTCGTCTAGAAGAAATGGTAAGACGACTCTGTCAACAATTGCAACAACAACAACAGCAACATCAACAGAGGGGACAGAAAGCTTCAAATTTAACTTCCAAAACACCGTTGTCAGCACGTGATTAATAGAGTGCAAGTCATTTGATTTTACATTTTTACCTTCTGACTTCATTAGCTATCATCTATTGTTGTCACTGACTTCCAGATAGATAATGCATTGCATTATCTAATGAGAATTGATAAACAGAATTTCATAGTATTGTTTTTGATATGCTACTTTTCGGAAATACATCATTACGTAAGTCTAACATATCAAATATATGGGATCATCTAAAAGAAGCGTGCAGTGGTAGCTATTACTCAGCATGCTTAATGAAGAATAATTAATGAGGTCGTGAGATAATTAGACGAGTTACAGTAAGTATCAAATTTTGTTTTATATCTGCTTATGGCTTTTACGACACAACTAGTGAGCAAATATATCAAAAAGCGCTAATTTGAAATATTTTCAAAAAGGGAGGATTATTTTTCGATGGCTACGGGATTCCTTTGTCAATTTTTTTTTCTGCTGCTTGTTCAGGTTATTGCTAAACTATGCATATATAATGAACTGTATTGTATACATGCATTTTTACTTATTGTCTGTTGTCAGACATATGTTGTTTGGTCTTTTTTTTTTGGAGTTATTTTATTGTTTCTTTGATTTTTTTTTTCTTTTCTTATAATGCAGTAGATAAGCCATTTTAATGTATTAATGTAATATACGTATTAATACTGCTTGCTGTGATTTTAATTTGCATAATTTGTTCCTTTTTATCCAAACAAAATAGTTTTTTTTATTGTTGGCACAGTATAATTTTTTTTTTTTGCTATCTGTAGTTTTATAACCAAGGAAGAAAGGAATATATATATCATAGCTGGTGGCAAACAATAGGAAAGGGTATTATAACACTATTCTTTTTTTAATTTCTTGGTCTGAATCCCAAGCTTCTGATTATTATTATTATTTATTTACTTATTATTATTAATTGCTATTAAAAAACTATCATGGAAACGAGCGAATTTATTTAACAAATTAGTTATTTGATGCACAAATGTTCAAGTGGTATTAGAAGTAGTGTCAGTTTGCTTTTTGAATTATGTAAGGTTTCTTATCCACAATATTTGTTGGAATTATTCCGGTATGTAATTTGCATCCTTCGTTATTTCATTTGTTTGAAATTTCCATTTATTCTCTAAATTAAGTTATAGTCTGTGGTCTTGAAAAAAGCTATTGAGTAAGGTTTGTCAGAAAGTGAATTAATTTAAGACTAGAAATTTTCAGTTTTTTTATGGAAGATAGAGAAAGATTTTGATATCCTAGAGATGATGACTTGAAATATTTGTGTACCATATACTATGTATCACACATTTTGCTTTATTGTCATCACTGTTATAATGCATTGCAGTATAACCAAAAACTGTTGCAAATTTTCTGATTGGTTGGCAACTGAAATTCATCTTACCCTAAGTAGAATTTATCTTGAAGTGTCTTAGTATATCTTATGAATTTAAGTCATATTTATTCGCAATTTATCATATATGTTTCACTATTAACTAGCTTGTCAACAAGATTATCCACAAATGATTCAATGTTTTGGTTTGCATTTTGTTATAATTTCCTCATTTATTGAGAAATGAAATTATCAGGATGGAATTTCACCTTTTGAAAAGCAACCGTATATCGGCGAATACCAGCTTTAAAAATTAGTTAACCTTTGTCTGTAAATTTTTTTCCTTGAAATTATTAAATATTGTTTATTTTATGAGATAAATTTTTAGACGAGATGAGTTATTATGGTTGTAAAATAGTAGATGTTAGTATTTTGAAAAAATGCTCAAACAAATCGGAAAAGATTGCAATCTATTCGTAAAGTTAGACTTCCAATTTAAAGGGCTTTGTTAAAGTTATGAAATTTTCGTGGGATGTTGTGTGCGTAAGACTATAATGACTTTATATCGGGCTTCAGGATATAAAAGAAAGTTTTTTGCTTGAAATATTGTAGAAGTTAATGACATTTAACAAAAATTTCGAGGGATTTTGGTGTAAGTTTATAACTGCTTAACTATGAGTTTTGTTTGAAAATTATAACCGAATAAAAGGACGGGTTGATTTTTTTATGATATCCAGTTTTAAGTTACAATCATTAAATAACTTTAAATCATTCTTTTTTTTTTCAAGTAATGTACAACTCACTGTACATTTGATTAAACTGTACATTTGTCGATGTTAATTTGGCGAGGACTAATTAAGGTTTATCTTAGTTTGAAGTAAAATCATTTAGTATGCATTTGTCTGTTTTAATTTGACTTTAATTGACAAGAATTGCCACTGTATTTTTTTATATGAAATGATAGAGCAATTAAGTTTAGATTTTAATTTAATGTAAAGGTGTGCGGGTTTCGTTAATTGATTTAATTTAATTTGTTCATTTTATTCCAGTTAGTGGAAGTGATTTTGTTATAATTCGTTTCTCTCCCAAATTTATTAGATTAAATTGGATTAATTTGCTCATAAGATATTGCCTTCAGTTATTTCCATCCTTTTCAATGGCTCTAATCGGTTATTATAATTCCAATCGATGTCATAGTATGCGAGCTATGTTTTTGCTATTCTTCAGTGGCGGTGGCCGCATTTCGCATCAACGATACCGTAATTCCTTTTTTTTTTCAAGCATTTTTTATCATAAATTCATTTGTATCCTCGTGTTTCGGTATTTTTTTTTTTTTTTTTTTCTAAATTCATTTTTCGAATTTCGTGTTTGGGCATATAAAATAATCAAATAGAGTGATTTGAATTAGGAAGCATTAATATTTTGCATTAAAAAAAAGGAAGAAAAAATGATTAAATCCTGTTTAGCCTATCGATTAGATTTGAGATAGCAGTATTACAACATCTGTTTATATGTTTTTGTTGCAATCTCCGACTGTTTTTCTGGTCTATTGATTTTTTGTTTACTTTTTCCTTATCTCCTGCTTAAACTATAAATTCATTTCTTTTTAATTTATGCAAATGAAATATGTATCAAGTAACTTAGAATATAGAGCGAATATGCATGTACCTGTTTATTCTTTGTTTTTATTTACCTGTTTTTCCCTTTATTTAATTTCTTTTTTTTTTTTTTCACAAATTTACTCAACTGGTAAATTCCTTCATATTTCATCGAAACTGGTATTGTTGATTGGTGATATTTCTCGAACAGTTGTTGTTCTGATGAGTGGTTATGATTTTTTAAAAAAATGGAAAGGAGAAATTGTGATACGAAATTAAAATAAATTACGATTTTTTAATCATAAATTACTATCGAAGTCATTGTTTGATGAGAAAAACTCATAATTAATGTTTCTAAGTTATTTCATTTTGTATTGTAAAATAGGAAATGCACTTTATTAAGAGAAGATGAAGTATTTTACGTACAATAGCAGAAAATTGCTGTTTTATTAAGAGAAATTATTTTAACAATATATTTTTTTTTTTTTTTAAAAACGTTTTATTAGTGGGTATGTTAAAAATATTCTAATATAATGAGGGGGAATGACAAAACTTCCAAATGATTCACAAAAAAAAGTTTTGAGTGATCTTGCAGAATTGTCGGCCTATTTTATTCTTTTTTCGGTGGTAATTTTTTTCTTTGTAAAGAATGCAAAGATCGCCGATATTTTCGTGCTTTTTTTTTCATAGCAAAATTTGTATTTTTTGTTCTTTTGATTACGATTGTTTCACCAAATTGTTCAATTTCATTTCGCTATGGACAACACTGGTAGTTGTTTCCAACTTTTCTATTTGATCGTAATCAGTTTGATTAACGATTTAGAGTGCAAGAATTCTGTTGAAATTACTCGGTCATTCCACTCATCTACTTCTTTATGGCAACATAATCGTCCTAAACAGCTTAAAATGGATAATCATACCAAAATTAGCATCGATTCTTCAAAGTATCCTCTTGCCCGGAAAGATGATTCAGTTGTGGATGATTTCCATGGTACTAAGGTTAGTGAAAGTTCGAAAATTTTCTAAGCTTAGCTAACTTTTTTGGAAGATCGGTTTTGATTAAATTTTGTTATGGAAAAGGTTCGGAATGTTTATTAACTCCAAGAATTGAATTTCGTTGTGTTATTATTGCTGCGACTTCTGAATTTAAGTGGTGGTAGGAAATTCTCATCCACGAAAGAAGCCTTTCTTTCCCTAGATCCTAAAATATTCATGAGTCAATGGGTTATCGATTGCAGGTTGCAGATCCTTATCGATGGCTGGAAGATCCGGGTTTGAATGAAACTAAGGAATTTATCAAGCAGTTAAATTCAATCTCTCAACCCTTTATTGCAAGTTCACCTCATAGAGAAAGACTCCAAAAAAGGTAAGAATTGTTTTTAAAATGTATTTTGCTCCTAGAATTTCAAAAAATGTAGTTTTGGACATTTAAATTATAGTCCCATTTAATATGGTTATTCTAGATTGACAGAACTCTGGGATTATGAGAAATTTGGTTGTACCACCAAACGAGGTGATTATTACTATTACTACCATAATTCGGGATTGCAGAACCAGAGGTATCTGATTAGATTTTTTTATATTTTTCAATTTATAATTTTCATGACAAAAACTTAAACGGTGTGAAAGCTTTTGGAATCCTAACCTCCGAAATATGCTGAAAAAGTTGAAAATTCTGCGAAAAGAAATAGCAGTTTCTCAGGATGATCTTATGATTTGTCCGGGACAAACAGATCACCACATCATGCAGCAGGTTTATGGATAACAGAGTTGTTAATTCGAGATAAAAAAAAAATTCTTTTTATACGAATGAATATATTCTTTCTACTCCTTTAATGACCTCTATCCAAACAATTAAAGAAAGTAAAGAAATCATAAGTAAAAAAGTCAGTTAACTTCAACCGTTAACTTCAACCTGATTTTTGTATCCATATTCTTCCACTTAATTACTCTAAACTATTATTATAGTTATGAATACTGTTACTCTTTAGCGTTTTATATCGTCAAAAAACGTTGTTTGGCGAAAGTGAGATATTTCTTGATCCGAACAAGTTCTCCGAAGATGGTACTACCGCTATACGTGATCAGTGTTTCTCTCATGATGGTTCTCTATTAGTATATGGTCTTTCAGAAAAAGGCAGTGATTGGATGACGTTAAAGGTGAAGTTTTCAAGAATTTCGATGAAATTATGTAATTTGATATAAAACTTTATTCGTATTTTGATTTTAAAATAAGGTAAGAATAACTTATGGTAAGCTAATCAACAAAAGAATAGCTTTGTGTCATACTTTATCCACATTTTTTAGGAATGTCTTATGTGACTTGTTACATCATCATTTCACCTGTGAGTGGATAGATGATGGCCCAATAGCTGAGATATTTCAGTTCCAGCGCTCTTTTTAACAAATTTCAAACAGGAAAGATAACTATCTGGTATCCTTAAAATTGGGGTAATTATAAGACTTTGCATTTTTATGATAGAGGATATTGCTAATTCCAGATGTTTAACGAGTGTATAAGCTTCTTTTGAATTTGATTTATTATGGATAGAATGTCTATCAGGTGAAGCTTTTTAGAATCCTTGAAAATAGTCTTTTTTGTTCTTGTCGTGCATTTTTTTTTTTTTTTTTTTTTTTTCAGTTTAAAAAAGCTGATGGTACTGATTTGGACGATACAGTAGTGGGTGTTAAACATAGTGATCTAGATTGGCTAATTGATAACAGCGGAGTTTTCTATTCGGTAAATGTTTTTCTGTTCCAAACTGAAATTGAAATATGGATTTTAATTTTTAATTATGTTGTGATTTCATAAACGAAATAATGTTGATGGTAAAAGATGAAATCACATTTTGTTTGAAAGTATTCATCATTAATTTTTTTTTTCAATTTCAGAAATATCCCGAACATAAAAGCGCATTGGAAGGATCGTCAACGGAAAAGCATGAATTCCATTCCCTGTATTTTCATAAATTAGGCACACCGCAAAGTGATGACATTTTGGTAGCTGATTTTCGATCTCATCCTGAATATATGTGGTTTGTGTTTTTTTACATTTCATGGTGATATATGCAAGAATTGTTTTTATGTGTCTATTTTTATCACACCATTTACTCAGATGAATCAGTCAATTGTCATCAGTGATGCAAGTATGTCATAGTGACTAGGCAGCTCATAATTTGGAATTTTTAAAAGTAGCATTTTAAAAAATAAATTAAGTTGCTTGTAATAAGTTGATAAAATAAAATCCTTATTGTTTATCATTTACAAATCTCTGAGAATTAGAATAATGGTTAAATTAGATGTGATTTGTCCCGGATTTAAAATCCTTTCTTTTCCATTTATATCACTTGTAATATCATATTTTCCTTCTAGTTCGGGCAGCATAACAGAAGATGGTCGTTATTTAATTGTTGATGTTAGTCGAGGTTGTGACCCCTATAATATGCTCTACTACTACGATCTCCAAAAGGCGCAGCAAAAAATTACGGATAAAGTGCACTTAAAGCCACTGTTTGATAAATTGGATGCGAAATATGAAGTAAATCCCTTCCATTTAAACAAAAGTTCTGTGAATGTGATTTCAAATTTTTTGAACGATTATTTATAACTCTGATATTTACAACAAAGCTATTATTGATTAGAAAACTGTAGCTATTATAGTTATCAACTACTAAAAATTTCAAGAATAGTCTTACGATATTATGTTCAATCTGTAAAGAATCCATTCTTATCTTTTCAATTTCCATTATCGTCTGACATCGAAGCATATTTGGACATAATTGCAATGATTAAATAAATTTGAAATTGCTAAATCAAACATTCTTCCAGTTTATTGATAATAACGATGATACAGCTTTAATCCTAACGAATCACAATGCGCCAATGTTCAAACTAATAAGGGTGAAAATGTCAACAGCTAATGAAGGACCTTCGGCATGGGAAACAGTAATCCCTGAAGACAAAAAGAATAAATTAGAATGGGTGGTAAATGTTGGTGGAAATCGTTTAGTAGTTTCATATATAGAGGACGTTAAGGTATCATGAGCTTTTTTCTTCGTTTTGCTATTAGAAGAATCTGATGTGGCTTTATGGCTTCCTTTCAACATTTTTCCTACATTTAAATGATTTTTGGCGATGATTATTTGAAGCCCATACAAATTGACAAATTTGCATCCAAATCCCAAATTTTATAATCATTTTCTTCTGGAAATTGTTTATTAACGATTTAATTAGAGTGACAGTAACAAATGTTTCAGAACAAGCTTTATGTGCATTCACCAAAGACAGGCGATCGTTTCTATGAAATACCATTGGAAATTGGAACAATATCAGGGTTTTTTGGTCGTAAAGACCATACAGAAATGTTTCTACGATTTGATTCATTTCTTACGCCGGGTATCATCTACTATGTTGATTTCAAAGGCATACAACCATCACATGAAGTCAGGTTGAAGGTTTGGTAATTCTTATTTCCTGGCTGAACTATCTAGCAATTTTTGCATCATACAAATTCATGGGACTCTGTGATGCAACTTTTTTTTCAATATTTTCATGTGTGACCACTTTGCTTATAATCACAAATACCTATCCTGAAGAAATCCCAATAATTTTTGCCTTTAATCTAATTTATATAATCACTTTTCGATAAGATGGTTTAAACGGTTCAGTTTTCTTCTATGTTCTTTTATTTACTACTATTATATTATGATATGATGCGAAGATCTGGATTTCATGACGGGTCTTACGTTCAAAGAAAAATTAACGTTTACTTTCGTAAAAAAAGTTGTACAAAAAAGAAGATGTAATTTCCAGGAAATTCGGCGAACCCACGTAAAAGGCGTAGATACAAGCAAATTCAAAATAAAACAAGTTTTTTGTAAAAGCAAAGATGGGACAAAGGTTGGCCTATTAATTTTGAATGGACTACAAACTAGAAATGTTAATTTGAAAAAATGCTGTAGATTTATCAGCATGCGACAATCATGACTATTCAGATGGTGATAACAATTATTGATACAACAGGGGCCCTGAAACCTAAATAGGAGCCCTAAAAATAACAATAGTCTGGTGATAGTGGTCTATCAGAAGTGAAAAATATGAAATAAATGAGAAAAGCTTTTTTAAGGTACCACTTTATATTGTTCACAACAAAAACTTGATTCTGAATGGAGATACTCCAGCTTTGCTTAATGGATATGGTGGATTTAATATTGCTGAAATGCCACATTTCTCTGTTTCACGTATTTTATTCCTGGATAACTTCAAGGGTGTCTTTGCATTGGCTAATTTACGTGGTGGAAGGTAAATCTAATTTCAGATTTGCACAACGCACCATTCTTATATCAATTATTTTATATCTATAACATTTAGTGATTTATCCGTAGTTTTAATTGTGTTGAGATGTCAAATATTTATTTTTGAAGTCATCAAATATCATGTTTTATTAAATCTTAAGTTTCTTATTCATACGACAAAATTAAATTTTTGTTGCTAGCATGAAACTATCACAGTTTTAAAAAGAGAACAAATTGCACAAAATTCATATTCAAAGTTGCATTGGATGGTTCAAATTTTCATCTGTAAGAATGACCAGGTTGGATTCGCATATTTTACCTACTTCATGAGTGCGACTATTCTTTATCTCTGAAATAATGTAAAAATTACCTTGCTACTGGTTGAAATGTTAAGATTAAATTAGTGTTGTCGCTGTAGAATTACGCTGACTAAAACACCATACCTTTAGTGAATATGGTGAAAAGTGGCATGAAGGTGGGATGCGAGAACAAAAACAAAATGTTTTTGATGATTTTATAGCCGCTGCTGAATATCTTATCAAGAACAATTACACATCACCAAAAAGGTAAAAACCAGTTGATAAAATTCATTTTGTTCTTGCATGAATCCTGGAAAAAACAGTGAGATCAATTAATGACTTCTTGAAAAAAAAAATAAAAAAAAAAAGCTTATGGTGTTTACAGTGTTTTTGTCGAGTTTAATATCCTGTTTTTATTTTTTAAATTTTCGAAATTTTATTTTAGATTAGCTATACGTGGTGGTTCAAATGGTGGCTTACTGGTTGGTGCAGTTTCGCAACAACGTCCAGAACTTTTTGGTGCTGTTGTGAATGAAGTCGGGTATGCTAGTCTTTTTTTTTTCTGCTATACTTCAACAAATAGGATAATATGTTCTCGTAATTTTAAGTCCGAAATTGATGTAACGAAGTATATTATATGGGAAACATTATTCATATTATGCATTTTCACAGATTAAAAGAAAATGCAAAGTAGATATCCGTTGTTTTGATGCATTGTTTGAAAGGTATATAGAAATGTTTAGTTACAGCTGAAGCAAAATAGCTAGATGACTTTTAAGAAAACATGGAAAGTTTATAAATTGCATTATTAGTTTCTTGTTGTTCCTGCTTTGTTTATGTTATTGTTATTATCATTTGTTTTTACTATGTAAATAGTTCTTAAGAGTGCTTGATATGTTACGGTACCACAAATTTACTATTGGTAATGCATGGATACCAGAATATGGCAATCCTGACGAAGCATCCGATTTTGAATACATTTACAAGTACGTAACACAAATTTCTCCTAGTCCAAATACCTCTTTTTCTTTTTTTTCATTTACCTAAGTTTACTTCTTTCTGCATTATTTTTACTCAAGTCTTATCTTTAAACATATGCTAAAATTTCATTTTGATATTACAATCGTGAAATTAGATATCGATTTTTTTCTTAAATTATGATACTGGCGAAATTATTTACTTTTCCATTTCAAAAGTTAAGAGTTATGCCCTAATATGAATCTCCTTTAATCGTACATTTCTCTTAATATGGAAAAATGTTGTATTTCATGTTTAATTCTAGATATTCTCCACTTCACAATATTGAAATTCCGAATAAAGGCTATCAGTGGCCATCTACCATGCTTATGACAGCTGATCATGATGACCGTGTAGTACCTTCACATTCGTTAAAATATATGGCAAGGCTATACGAAGCTGCTCAATCAGCAAATAGCTTCCAGAAAAAGCCGCTCATCATACGAGTAGATGTAAAAGCTGGTCATGGAGCTGGCAAGCCTACTAGCAAACTTGTAAGTTATTCCTTTCTTATCACTTTGACGATGAAAGCGCTTAACGCATTTCACACATAAATCGTACTCTGAAATATTAACGACTTCGTAGTTTTCTTTAGTTACATATATATATATTTTCTTTTGAAGTGCAATGTTTTCATACGGAACAAAATTGAAGTAGTAAAGAAGATAAAGATCAGAAGAAATAGACAGTGATCTCACATTGTTTATTAAGAAAGAATGCAAAGAATACCGCATAGTATTACTAATTTCAGATTGCCGAAATTGTGGATATGTACTGTTTCTTGCAAAAAGTATTAGATCTGAAATGGTATGAAGAATGAAAATGAAACTTTAAATACTAAGCTGTTTTTTGAGGTCTATCTTTTTTAAATCTTTTATATCACGTTCTATCTAATGCTATCATCATTCTCGTTATTTCAAATTCTATCATCTATTGAGAAAGAACAGGCTATCCGTTTTTTATTACTTACGCTTTTCCAGAAGTACTTTTATGTTCTGGAACCATTCAACCGTCTTTTTATATCATTTACAACTGAACTTTGATTGATTTTTCCATTTTTCTGTTTTGAGCACTTATGAATTGCTATCTGTTAGTATGGATTTAAATTTATCAATATAAATTGTTACATTTATCAATATAAGTTGAATAAATATTCAAAGTTGAGTAAATATTTTGTTTTACAGTATGAAAGTGAATTAAATTTAGTAACTTCTCAACAAAAACTTTTGAAGAGAATATGCTTCAGTGGACTTATTCTTCCAAGATACAAAATTAATTAAATTGATATTAGAAAACTGGAAAAATATATTTTCAATAAATTTCTTTGTTAGCTAGAAGCAATTTGAAGAGGAGCGGAAAAATGAAATATCACTGGAACTTCTATAGGTAGTGAAATTAATATTAAATAATGAACTATTACTGCTCATATTGGAGAAATAATGATTGAGAAAGACTACAGCTAATTGCTGAAAAAGATATTAATGTAAATCCTGCAAAATTACACGATCATTCAAATTGGATATTGTTAATTTCTAGCAGTATTGCAATTATATGAAACTGAAAAAAAGTATAAAACACTGATAATGAAAATATATATTACGTGGAATATTATGTTTCCATGTAGATAACTCTTAATATAATATTGATTTAAGAAGTTTTGAAAAATACTGTAAAGATTATGTTTGAAATACAAATGCTGTGGGAGGATTGAAATTTTCAAATAGCTAATTTTCCTTTTTGATTTTCAATTTCTTTCTGATTCAATCGAATTTTTAGAATTTTTTCATTCAAATCAATTTGCTATCTTACTTATAGTACCTGGGATCACGACTGTCTGTTATTTTTTGTAATTCCTATGATAAGTAGAGACTTTACTGTAATCCAGTTTTCCGATTGCCATTTTCTTTTTTTTGACTTCTATTGTGAATGATTTAAATAAACAACGGAAATAATAATATGTTGAGCGGTTTAATACAACCAACGAATAACTTACATTTGGTGTTTGGTCTAAAGTTACCTATTAATGCAGTCCTGAAGTAATTTTAGACTTATAATCATGAATGAATCATTTAAACCAAAAACGAATTTTATCCTTCTAATTTTCAACTTAGTATTGTAATTTAATTCAATTTCACTAGCAGTAAAGTATTTTTGCATTTTGTGCTATGAATAGGAGCATAAAATAAAAAGAAAATGAAATATCTCCGGAGAGTAAGACTGTACTACCATAAACTTAGATTCAAGTTCCGAGTCAAAGTTATCGAGGATATTAAATGTAAGGGAAGCATACAGTACGTAATTAACAGGCTGATAAATGAGATAAAGTCTTAGGATACGTTTCAGCAGGGTAAACTGAATCATATCACGACTTATCATATCTTTCAATCCCCTAGGCCTGTGAGCTCTTGCCATTCATTGCATGGTGTATCTGGACAGAACATTTGGTAATGTCCGGGTTAAATTTGGGAATATAATAATCCTGGATAGGATTTGACACACTTACGTCAGGAAATGGTCCCTAAATCTAGAGTTTTGTGATTTGTCCTTGGAGAAAATTTAAAAATATATAGAACTTTCAGACTAAATCTTGGATTACACATTAACTCTGAACTTGACAATAACTTGGCAATATAATTCGGAAACAATGATTCTTAAATATGGGGTTTTGTAACTTTACCCTCGAAATAATTTAGAGATATGTGGAATTTTCAGATTAAATTTGGGGATTATACAGTAACTCTGAAAAATCTGGTAATGTACTATATGTCGGAAAAGAATTGTTGTTGCAATTCGGGGGAAAATTTGACATTCTGTAACAGTTCCGGGATGAATTTAGGATTGCGTGGCATTGTCAGAAAGATAAGATATTTTCGAAAGCAAAGAAAGGACGAAAAATGATATAAGAAAATTTGCATACGGCTTGGGAGGAGTTAATAATAACTTTGAAGGATACGCAAATTTTGGTAGTGGCAGTTTTGTCCATGCTGACCACTCCCTTTCCACTCATTTTTGTAACAATGATTGATGAGAAATGGTTGTGAGGCTGTGGGCTTCACGTAGGTTGGTGGATTCAAGTTGGCGTTTTTGGTTGGTGCTGGAAGTTTGTATGCATGAGAGGTGAAATTAGTTTAGAACGATCGAAATAGGCCTCCGGAAGATGAATCAGAAGAAGAATTTGAGGCATGTAGTGCGAAAAAGATAGGCAGAATAAGTCGAGAGTGTGACTGATAGGGGAATTGCAAGAGTGGACCGAAAAGGTATTCAAAAAACGGAGGAGAAAAATTACTTATCCCGGAAGCTAATGAGGAGATACTTGAGGAAGTTTCGGAAAATGAAAGGAAATTGAAGGGACGAATTCCGGACAATATTCGGAAAATGGGTCAAGAAAAGGATTAACGGGATAGTTCGGGGAGAAGAACTGGATAAGTCAATAGAGTACTGAAAATGTTGGCGATAGGAAAGAGTTGAGAAGTGGACTGCAAGAAGGATTCAAAAATGAACTGAGAAAAAGACCGATTTTGAGAAAAAAGGGCTTCCAAAAATATTGAGGAACAATTCGGGAAGGAGTTGTCGGGAAAGCATTGGAGACAGTGACTATAACGAAGATCAGCAAATCGATAGAGATGAGAGTTGAGAAGGTAAGTAGGTGATAGGAGAGATTTGGGATAACCATTACGGATGCAATCTAAACTTTGTACTTATTGACTTGAATACCATACCCAGTTTTTTTTGTTACTGCTTTCACCAATAAGTGTATTGAATCCCAACTGGGATGACAAAAGAGGATATTGGAATGGCAGCAAGAACATTCATTAACACAGAAAATATATCACTGAGTTATACTTTCAAAACAGTAGTACGGGATTTTTAGCTATTTTGTTGTTTTTCGAGTCAAAATGACGCAGTCAGGATTATGACAAATAGAATGAATGAAGTTCACCTAAGCCCTATCACAATTCATCTAATCCTCGTTTAATGATATCATCTTATCTTTTGCACTGAATGGTTCAAAAGTGGTGGAAGTTTTTCAGGCATTTCTTGTTATTAAATTCACTTAAATCTTAGTTTTAAAAAACTTAAGAGTTAATTAAAGAAGTTATTTGTAATTATTTGAATGATTTGATTTATAATAATTTGAAATTTTTTCAGAATGAGTGAGGGAGAAAAAAGAAGCAAATTTTGATTTATGTTAAATGTACTTATGATAAAGAATCGAAAAAAAAGCATATTTAATCTTATTTTATGGTAAGCGGAAAATATGATTACAGTATTGCATTTTATAATTTATGATAGTTTTTTCAGATCGGTTTCAGGTTTCATCTGCAATTTCCATCCCTATCTTAGATCAGAAAACATGTCATCGTTTTCGAATCGAAATGTTCGTACAGTGCACAGTGTTTCGCGAAGTCAACCTCCAGAGATTCCTGGAAGATGGAATAATCCAGAGGATTTGAGAGAACAGAATATTCCGGAAAATACGGAAATGCAAAATACTAAAGCGGAGCATATTAACAACAAATGATGGAATATAGAACACTTTTGAAATGTCAACAATCGTTACGGTTAGCGGAAAATATGAGACATCGTACGAAGCAAAGAGCAATGAGAGAGAAGTGTGAAAGATATAAACAGGAAATAACTGATGCGAAAGTAAGTTGGGAATGTGTTAAGATTATTTGAATTTGCAAAATTGTTATGAAATTTAAAATCAAGATAGAAGGGGAGCAAATTTATGAAAATGTCATCAATTTATTCTGGCATTTAGTTTTAAAAGCAGAACTGAACATTAATTCATTCTAACGTTTTTTAAGTGATATAAATTAGGTGAGAGGAGGGGTCATGGAAGGGAAGAGCATTTTATTATGTATCGATAAATGAAATTGATAACTATATTGGTATTGGAATAAAGTCACTTGACTTAATTCAGCCAATTTAATCGGTTCAACTGAAATTAAAAACAAATTATGTCATTACTTTGTGAGCAGAATCTCTCCAATACGATATCTTCTGATGTGTCGTTGGCGATGTATTTATGGCATGTTTACCTCTAAGTATTAGAAATTACTGCTGTTAGTTCAACAGGACATTGTAAAAGTATTGTAACTGATATTGGATTAAAGAAAAGGAAAAAACAAAGCATAAAGATTTTGCAAACATTTAATTTTGAGAATAAATTTAAATATCCTTAGAATAAGTAATTATTATCTTGCTACTTATCAATGTCTTGTTTAACTAATTGTCATATTTCCATTTTTTACCTTTACTATTAATATCCTTTTTCTTTTTTTCTCGTTCCAAAAACTTACTCAACTGATATCTAGGCAAACATATCATTTATACTTTTATGGCAATATTTTCTCGTTTGCATTTCAGAAATTGAACGCCACCTTTCAAGAAAGTTTTTATCAGTTAGAGCAACAACTTATTATTCATTGTACCCAACAATTATTTCATCTAGAAGCGGAAAACGAACGCGAACGTAGAAATACGAGTCGTCTAGAAGAGAATTTTGAGCAGATGATGGAAATGTTAAGTCAAGCCAGAAAAAAACTCCAAAGAAAAATCATATGTGGAATCTTACGACAAAGAATGTTTTACATGCAAAACGTGTCGCTGAAAGAAAGCTTCGAGAATCAATGGAAAAATATGACGTGGAAGTTACACGTTCCACTGAACAAACAAACAATATGGAAATACTAAAATCCACAGTTCAGCAACTGAAATTGAAATTGGAAGAGAAAGAGCGATTATGTAATGATTCTAAAAGACGTTTAACGATACATAGCAGAGCAACATCTTTGGCTTATCGACAAATTCAAGAGACGAACAATAGAGCTGTTAAACTTCTCAAGGAAAGTGAGAAATTACATTCACAATTTGTAGACGTGCATTCTGAGCTGATCAACACTCAAGAAGTTCATAATATAATTGAAGCAGAAATGAATCAAGTTAAATGGCAAAATACAAAACATTGCGAGGAGTTACAAAAGACAAAAGAATTAATTGAGATTGAAATAGCATCATTAATTGAAATTGCTGAACAAAATCGTATTTCTCTTGCACAAAAAAGAGACACGATTGATATGCTAATTTGTGGAAATTTTGGAAGAAAAAAAAGAAATCGAAGAGCAAAAATAGCGAAGAAAGATTTAGAGGAAGCATTTGATAGCAATAAAGCAGTTCTTCTTTCACAACATCAATCATTGGAAGTGTGTGAAACAAATTGGAAAATTCAAAAACAAAAAATTAGTCTAATAAAGTTACAGCAACATGGAATGGTTGCAAATCAAACAGCGCTACTAAAAAAGCAAACTCAAAAACTGGAAAAAGTTGTTCGCCATTCTATCGATCGTGTTGTGGAATTTCGTAATAAGATTGTGTGTATGCTTGTGAATATCAATGGAAGTGATTTCCTTTCTTTTTTTTTCCCTTTCTCTCTTCCCGTCCCTCTCTGTTTGTCTATTTGTTATGAGGGATTTCGCATAAAGCTGATGGTCGTTTTTATTTTTCATTATTTAAAAATAATAATTAGAAGCGGACTTTTTTTCTCATGTAATGTTCTTCAAAATTGTTAGTTAAAAGGTTTTTTTTTTGTTTTATATTTGGCGTTTTTCATAATAATCAACATAATTAATGATTAAAAGTTACATTTTATATTTTTCCAGAAATTCCTTAGAATTGCATTTCAAGGAAAGACAGCATTTCTGCAATTAGATGGATTAAGTGTATAAGCGAAAAATATAAAACACGATATGTATTATTTTTCTTTTTTCTTTTTTTGTTGAACAAATGTTTGACTTTTGTAGGATTTGCCTCTTTGTGGGTAAAATGTTGAAGTTGAAAAAGAATATTGTAAAAAAAGAAAAAAAAAGAAAGAAACAAAAATCCTAAGTAAGTCATAGTCTTTGGATAAATTTTTGAATTTTGCGAAATGTTATTTGTTTTATGACTATATTAAATTCTTAAGATTTTTAAAATTTCAGGAAAAAAAAGCACCAGAAGATGAATGAATGAAAAAAAAAAAGTTTTTTTTTCTTCTCCTTCCTTTCATATTGAAATAATTTCCGTTTATTTCCTCTTCTTTCAATATGTATTATTTTCGTTTTGTTTTCTAGCAGATCAGCAATCAGAATACACTTCATGAGAACATTCTCGGTAAACAAATACATAATTCCGCATTTCTGATTGCGCGTAAGTTCCGGATATTTTTTTTGTTTACCTCTGTGTGATTAAATTTCGAATGCGAATTTTTTCCTTTTTATTTTTTGAGAGATTTATAATATAATTTTGTAGAGTAGTTTAGTAGAAATCAAGAAAATATAAAAACAATTTTATTTCGTCCAAGTTTTTCTGTAGCTTTTCCTGATATTTCAACGATATAATTTCTTTGAGGTCAAACTTATACATTGAGATTGAGTGCTTTACTTTTGTTTAAATTTCATTTTTTATAACAATAGGAAAAGTTGATCGAATTTAAACATTTGAATTTTAAAATTGATTTCAATTTGTTACATTTTTAGCTTCAAATGATAGTCAAATTAATGATGCTGAATTGCCGGGATCTTCAAATCAGTGTGATAATCAGCAGACTATTCCGTTAGATTGTGGTGATAGTGATGCTGATGAGGTGTCACTAACCAACTCTTTTAAATCTTTTCATTCTTAGTTGTCACTCATCGCTTCTTATCAGTCATTTCTTTCACATATTAGTACTACTTCTGAGACTAAATTAGACCAGAATGGTATGGCTATTATTAAAATTAACACATTTCTTCGTGAAATGGTCTTTTCTTTCGCTTTGCCACTTATTCAGTTTATTTTAATTCCATGAGAGATTTTAATTCCGCTTCACATCCAACATAAGTTAAGGTACATCAACAGTTTAGATAAACATTATCAGTTATCAATCTAAAAATGTCACTTTTTATTGACATTTTTTTCTTTTTGTTGTTGTTTTCAGATAAGCATCAAAATATATTATATAAAGTGTTCTATTTGGAGGTTGCGCAGCTGGAAGTTTTTCTTCCTTATTTGTTAAATTTGATTAAATATCTGAATTACTTATTGTTATGATGCGATTTTTGTTTGTTTTTTTAAGTTTATTGATTGTTTATTTCTCTTTTATCCGTTATTTTCTAACGCTTTTAGGTCGTTTACTTCTTTTTAAAATTGTTCTTAGTTATATTTGTTATTAAGTAAAATTTCTTGAAACTCTAATTCCTTTTTCAAAAAGCAAGAGCCTAAAAAGATGGAAACTAATCTTTATCACAGAATTAATTGCAGTGACGACATTTTTTTAGCGGAATCTCTTTTTAAGATTTTTTTTTTTCTAATTTTTAGAAGTTTCCAGTTAGTGAATCATTTAAGCAACAGAAGATTAGATTAGCTGGAACAAATGGAAAAGCAGTTATTTTTCGTGTTTGTCGTTTTCTAAAATTGCTTTTCTTATGTAAGTAGTTGTTTTGTTTTTTTTTTTCTTTCTCTGTTCCTTGGATAAAAGTTAAATCTAACAGTTATTTTAAAAAAAATTTTTTTTTCTTTGTTCTTTCTTATAAAATTCTTATAAACTAACTATGAAACTATCAGGAAATTAAACTGTTGCTCGAAAAGAGATAATGAAATGACCGTATATATAAATTTCAATTTTGAATTTCGTTTTATTCTTTTCTTTTTCTAGATTTTGCTATTTTTTAAAACTTTTTTAAAACAATATAGAACTAGATTGACTGAAACATACAAAAACTTTTTAAATTTTCCTTTTTATCGTTTCTTAAATTTATATCTCTAACAGCTCAATTTGCAGTTTCTTTTTTAGTGTTTTGTTTGTTTTGTTAAAAGTTATATCTAACATATATGTTAATAATTTTTATTTGCATATTATATACTAAGTTATGAACTATTACACAATTATGAATTATTCTTGGTGCGAAATAGTTAACTTTTCCTAGTTTCTCCTTTTTTTTCAGGACTTTTTAGCGAATTATTTAAAACAACAAAAAAATGAAAAAACATTTTGTTATGTTGACAAAAACTTGTATTAAAAAAAAAAAAAAAAAAAAAAAAAAGTAACTATGACGAAAAGATCGCATATAAATTCTAAGTGTTATCATTCTGATTTCAAATTTAATTACCTATAATAAGAAATTGGGTTAAGTGGAACAAATGAAAAACTATTCCTTATCACTTCTTCAAAATATATTTCTCGCATTTATGTTTGTTGTTGTTTTTTATTTATTTGTTAAATATAGCATTTTGTTTTAATGAAATTTTTCTTGTTAATTTTCTCAGTTTAATCATTACAACTATCACATAAGTGTGAATTATTTCCAAAATGAAATAGCAATGATGAAAAGATCGTATGTGAGTTTCAGACACAATTTTACTATCTGTTGCATAAAAAGTTTCATAAATGAATGATACATATTCATGTAATATTTTAAGAATTTTCAGTACAAAAAAAAAGGAAAAAGAGAGAGAAAAAAGCGAAAGCAGGTAGCTAGAAAGAAAAAGGAAGCAAAAAAAAAGAGAGAAAAAGAATTAATGCAATAAATGACAGCTGTAGTTTGAAAAGAAATTGATGAATTAAGTGTAGACAGAGATGTAAAGAAAAGAGAAATGAATGAACTGGTGTTTCCTTAACTTTATTTTTTTTTAAAAAAAAAGCTTTTTAAATTTATTTTTCCTCTCAGCCTTTGCTATTCATCTCAATGTATATTTTTTTATTCTTTCTTTTTAAATTCGTTTTTTTTTTAATTCATATAATATAATTGGTAGTGCAACTGAAAAATTTTATTGAAATATGTGTAAATTCGAATTTTTTAAAAAGTTTATTTCAGACATTATTTTGCTGTTAATGTTTGAAAAATGATAATTTTGCTAAAGTCAGAGTGTTTCAACATATCCTACAATTTGTTTCTTATCATTAACTTATCCTATATCATTGCTTTGTAAATTTTATAAGTTAAAATTTGTAAAACTATTCATGAACTACATCAGAGTATTGGAATGAATTTGGTTCTTCCGAAAGAATTTTCATATTAACTCATCTTGTTGGTTATGTTTTCAAATAGCATTTAATGTCATATACTGTTTAATTTTCATTAGAAATTCAAATAACATATCTCAATTTCAATATTATAAATTACTCGTAGTTGCTAAGCAACACATAAAATTAGGCCAAAATTATATTTATAGAAAGAAAAAAGAAATTAAATCATATCACTATAAAAAATTAATTTTTCAGCAAAAAAGAAGATTAATAATAAATAAATAACAATAATTTGTAGCACTTAAATAATAAAACGGTCGTATCCCAAGATATTTTGCAAATTTCATTTTCTATTGTTAAAAAAATTATCTGGTGTTGCATAGCAGTTAAATGATTATGCCGTTGTATAATCAATTTACTGAAAATATTTAACACAAAAAAAAGAAAAATCCAAGTAGAACATATGTCCTTCGAACTTTCTGCCATTCGCTACATTCATCATAATTATGACAATATAAAATTTGTTTTCTTTCGAAACTTTCTTCCTATTATTCATTTCTCTTATTGAATATTAATGTTTTAAAGCTCAAATTATTCATATGCAATTTCATTTCGAAATAAATTTTTCCAAAAATGTTGCAAGATCATTTCTTTTTTTTTTGGCACCATATGATAATTAAAATTTTGGACTGACAATATGATTAGTAGCAATGAAAGATTTTAATAATACATGAAAATTTTGAAGAAATTCCAATCTTCTTTATTAATTCACCGTCTCTTTTCTTCTTTCAAATATAACATTGTAAAAATCATTTAAATTTAAAAATTGTGCAAAATTTTTTTCATAAAACTTAAAAAAGTAAGACGGTAAATTTTTTTCATTCTTATTTAAAAAAAAAAAAATATAATTTGGTTAATAAATCATTTTATAATAAATATGTCATTTTCATTTTATATCATTTTATAATAAATAAATCATTTTATTATAATAGAAATGTTTTATTAGCAGAAATTAATTACAGTGAGTGATTTAAAAGAAATTTTTTTTTAATAAGGAAAAATAGCAAAAAATTTTTTTTCTGTTGATTATATTTTTAGATAATAGAACCAACACAAGCTTTGTTGTCATTCAATAGCTTAACATATATCTTCGTGAATACAATATATTTAAGTTTGCTTATCATTTTTTTCCTTTTCGATCAAATTATATATCCATGTATTTTATTTAAATTATTTTTTTTATTTGAAAAAAAGAATTTGATTAATTAAGATGTCAAATTAAAAGGGTAAGAGGGTAAAAATACAATTGTGAAGCAAAAGTTTGTAATTTGGGATAATTTGAAATAATTTAAATATAATTTGAAGTAATCACTTGGAAAAAATCTAATTAATTTTTCCAATATTTTACACAAAGTAATTTTTAAAAAAATTGAAACGAATTTTAAGTTTTTGTTTTCTTTTATTAAAAGGTAGGAAACAAAAAAATTAATTTCTATCAATGCGGTTTTATTGTTGTAGTAAGAATAATATAAACAATTACCAGCGACAGGTACGTTGCATTAGTCATATCAATAAGCAGTATATATATTACATTATCATATTATTGTATTTACAACGATTATACTTACTTATTAATTAGTCAGCAAATAAAAGCTGTGAAAAGTAAGGAGTTAAATATGGAATCGATCGATTTAGAGCTGGTTAAAACTATTTCTTAAAATCAAGGAATTTTATCATCTAATAAAAAAAAAAACGATTCAATATTAGTTATGATTAATTTAATTATTTAATGAGCTGAACTGAAGATTAGAACATCTCTCTTATAGCTAGTAATGTCATAGGTACTGTAATCGGAACTTTTGTGACGTTTTACTCTCATTTATTCTGTTGTAGTTGGATTTTTCTTTGATTTCGTTTGCAATTATTAACTTTTTTAAAAATAGATTTGCATAAAGTTACTTAAAACGTAGAAATTTTGCTAATGTAATATTAAATTAAGTATATAAGGTTATGTGGATAATTTAATAGTCAATGAATATCAGACAAGTATTCCAGTAATTATATATTTAATAACCTCGAAGTGAAGCCATGATATTATTTCCCATCGCTTGTCATTTTATAATTTAATTATGCTTCTTTTCGATTAAAACTTATTTGGTATAAACTGAATAAGCTTCTGATAAGCTAACAAGTTAGATGTTGTCCATAAATTTACCTCAATGTCTAAATGAGCTTATGACTATCAAATTTATTCTATATATATCCTCATCATATGATTTAAATTTCTAGAAAAAAATGAAATTTCAGAAACATTTCAAATGAGTGACAGCGACAATTGATATGTTAGTTCATGTCTATTATATTATTATCTATGGAATATCATAGCTACCATCATCAATAATTAATTTAAAACTTATTTGAACTAAATTCGAACAAAATCAAAACCTCATGATTTACTAGAAGATTCCGCAATTTACTAGAAAAGTTTGTTTTGTTTAATTAGCGAAATTTAGTTTGAATCATAAAGTAGTTATTACAAGAAATGCGAAATTAATAGTAATTTGATGTTTTATTTTACTATCTAATGATAATATCAAGTGAACTTTTTATATTGCATCTAACCTTCATTTAATACAAATTTTAATTTTTAGAATAAATTTGTATGACGATCGTGCGACAATTAATTCGAATATTTCTTATTGCTTTAATATATATAATAAGTAATGTTCAAACAAACGGTGTAGCAGAATCTAGTGATCCAACAAATCAAGGTAAGCACGGTTAAAGTGGGAATTATTTACTTAAGTGTCGAAATATTCTCTCAGGAATACTCATTATTAATTCACTCCGAATATTCTCATTTTGTTCTCTGAAATATTTTCATTTTGTTTGTAACTATCTGTAGAATTTCATAAAAATATAATCCCTGAAATGGTCACTGTTGATCATTTTGTATAATGTAATCTAATAGAAATGATAATAATGGTTATAATAAAATTAATTCATGTGCTATAATTTATCAAGAAGACAAGAAAAAGTTTGCAGAATTGGCGCTTTTGGATTGGTCATCGGGGATTCAAATATTTTATTGCACTGATGCACCATTCGAAATTCTTGTTGAACCATTTAAACAAGCATTAATACAAGCACTAAACAAATTTTGTCGAAATGCTACTGCATGCCGTCTTGTTAAATCGTTCGTCTTTTTTTTTTTTTTTTCTTTTTTTAACATTGAAAATTTTGAAGTGTAAATAATATTAAAATAAATGCATGTAGAAATCATAATGAAAATAATCACAGAAGAAATCATTCAAACTTGCTTCAACGTAGTATTTCATTTCTTTGATCATATCTTTTCATGATTAATTTCATTCTTTTCTTTTTTCCACTTTTCTTTTGTTTTATTTCTTTGTATTTTTCATAGCCTTAAAAAAGTGTAAATTTTTCGCAGATGGGATGAAATTTTATTAAAAAAAAAATTTTTATTTTTGAGGAAAAAAGATGAAAAATTTTCATTTATTCATATTTTACTTCATCTTCTTAGCAGTTACAATTTGTACTCATTAAATGAATTATGCTTCAGTGTAGTATTCTTTGCTGTATTGAACACACAAGAAGTTGAAACTGAAATTTTACAATTACAATTGATTTTAAAATTTTTAACAATTAAGAGCCGTAGGAGCGAGTTTCCGGTAAAGTCTCTACGAATCATTCCAAGTAGAAAAGGCGTGCAGTTTGCATTTCTCTAACCACCTAATTTCAAAGGAAACCTACCCATTGTAACATGCATTTGTTTTACTTAATTATCCCTGCAATGTGAATATCAGGAAATGATGAGATGTCTAATCCATTCTCGGAATCTTCAAGACCCACTCGTGCTGATGGGCTATGCTCGTCACCCACTTGTTGTTGAGTACTTCAGTAACACTGTGGGCTGCCCAGAAAGTGTGGGTCGTGGGAGAATAGGAAGAACCGAAGGCTCTGATCCTTGTGCTCCAATTTGTTGGAGGGTATGTTCGGTGTTGCGGGTTACGAGTGTTCTCGATGTACTGTTAGTAGTTCTGGTGATTTGAATGTCTCATCTTTCACCGCATTTTGTCTTATTTCCAACATTGTCTGATGTGAGAAATCTTCGGGATGTCGATATACTACAGAATATCATTTAAACCGGATTATGTCGTTTTGCTTGATGGTTATCCGAAACTAAGTTACGGTACTGTGCAATTTCGGTTTGTTATTGTTTTACCGCCAAATGCTGTACCAATGGATAACTTGAAGAAACCATTCCTTACAAAGGAAATCCTCTCAAGTAATTTTGTTTTTCAGAATGTTCAGTTTTAAACAAATTTCCTTTCCATAGCAATAAAGATTCTTCCCATACCAAACCAAAATTTAACAAATTGTATTCGTCATGTTTTCATGCTAAATTTTTAATCTCTTTTCGTTATTAAAATTATTGACACTTTGTTAACAAAGTTCGGAACTACGGGTTGATTCCTCGAATGTATCCATTCATACCTTTTTGCTATTTACTGAACAAGACTAATTTTGGCTTAATGTTTTAGCTAGCATGTTTCCATTGAAAAACTAGTTTGATAATTTAGTGATGGCTTGAATTTATTCGATCTTCACTGGCTAATGCAATAATTCTTCTTAATATCTGACTTCTTAATATTCTTAATATCTGAGATTTCCCAGTTTGCTAGGAGATACGATATGTCAAATTTGAAACAGAAACTATTTTTTCCTTATATTAATTTAGACTTTCTCAATGCATCAATCGAGGAATTTGAATGGAAATTTGGGTGGAAAGTAAGCAGCTATGAACGATTCCCAAAATTTGATTCAGTAACAGAATTCATGAATATGGCTCTAATTCCTATTGGATTCATTCTTCTTATACTAATGCTCTTACTTGCTTATTGGTCTTCTACAATCAGGTGAAGAAATATCTAAATAATTCATTTCATGCTGACGGTCTTTGATCTTTGAAGCACTTTGCCAAGTTTTCAAAATATGCTTTTTATATTTCGTTTATTATTCAATTTCTGATTTTAGTTTATTTTTTGTTCAAATTCAGTTTCTTTAAAGAATTATTCTAAGAAAATCTTGCTTTAAAAATTGCTGCAAATAGTGGTGTTAGAAAATGATGAATTTATAGTCGTTCAACTGGTGGAAGTGAGGAATGGTTTGTTACGGGAACGAGCGGTGGTAAGAGCACAGCTATGAAGTATGTTATATAGTGACGATCGTGAAATATAAATTAGCAAGAATGTCGCTTCGAAATTAACTAACTATCTAATATTTGAAATGTAAATTTGTGACAGGAAACGAAAAAACTGTCAGTTTTTATTATAATGAAAATTTTCGAATATTTTTCGAATTATCGATTTTATTTCCAAATTGCAGGAGAACGTTAGAAATTATTGAAGAGCAAAAAATTTTATTTGCTGAAAAGAATGGACAGAAGGAGTCATGCACTGCTAAACTTTCGAAGCGTTCAATTCAGGCAGTTCCTGAAACTACGAAAATGGAAAAACATGAATCAAACAAAGATACTGATACATCCAAGAAGGAAATAATGGAGGAACGCAATAGCAGGTACCGAATTGAGAATATTTAAATTTTGTTTGTTGAATACGGAATTGTATTCTTGATATCTATTTATATACTTATATGTGACTGAATTAATCAAGATCATTCTTTGCGGAAGTTTGTATATATATTTTTTTGGAGAAATCAGCATGAAGGCGATCTAGAAACCAATTTTTTAACCAACGGATTAAATCTATAACAAGTGGCATTCGTTTTCAGGCTTTCGGTGGAAATGGCACCAATACATCTCTCAGTAATACAGTCTGAAAGTACATCAACATTGGGTTCAACTGCTGCTTTCAAAAATGTCGGGTAAGTTGCCACCGAGTAGCTTTTCATTTTTTTTTTTTTTTTTCATTTATCTGTAAGTACTATCCGCAATATAGTACTCAAATGCTCCTGCACGCTGTTAGTGATGCGACCGAATGCGAGCCAATATATATCTGTCACAGGAGACTTCGATTCTGATCCATTCACTGATTAGACTATGGGTTAAACAATGAGAAACCTAATGATAATTACTGCTGAGAAAATACATCTAGTGGCAGCAAACATTTTGACCTAGTTATTCTACACCACTGTATTGTTTGTCATTGTTAAAGTTAGGCCCACCTTCTACAGACAATAGTGACAAGTAAATTTATAGTGGGAGGCGAGTGTCCCATCGGCGTCTGAGTTCTATTGATAACGGTAATTTTAATGTCAAGCGACATCGCAAAAAGCGATTTGCTTCAAGAACAAAGCGACTCACGCAACGCCAATGGAAATTGACAAGTATGGCGTTGAGTGGATTTGGTAAATCCCGAAGGTACTGAATAAAGACATTTGGAAATCACAAACAAGGATTTCGTTCTATCCACATAATTACAAGTCATTTGTTATGAATCAGTTATGAACGGATTATACCTTTTTCGAGATCTTCGAAATGATTGAAAATGAAGCTTTTATATTTTACACTATCTTTGCTGTAAGAAAAAAAAGTATAAATAACAAATATTAATTTTAAATAGTCATCCAAGAAATTCTTTTTGTGCTATGACGACAGGATAGAAATTATAGTTTGATACCATGAAAAAATTTGAAATAATCTTGCATATATAATTTGATACCATGAGAAATTTCGAAATAATCTTGTATATATTCGTGTTATCCTAGTTCTACTTTATTAAAGGGTATATCTGCTACTACAAATACATGTTTATTGTCTATTTGTTCTGCGAAAGAAAAGAATGCCAAAAAGATTAGTTCCTTGCAACGTGACTCGCAAACTTCCTCAATTGCTTACCAGATTTATCCAAAACCAAACGCTTTGACATAATAACATCTTCTTGGTCTTATGCACGAGAGCCATTGTTAGAATGTCCCAGAAAATTCCTCAAAACTGGTTAAGCTTCCAGTGGTTCGGAATGGCTGACTCTCGCTAGCAACAGATGTTACTATAATTTTACCGACTTGATTCACGTTTCAAGGACATGTATTGTGCTGGTACTGTAGATTTTATCAACTTGTGAGGTTTTCTTTAGATGGAGACGAAGCTTGCGCTGCGAATTTATTTCAATATTTCAAATCCCACGTCAAACATTAGAATCCACGATTAAACGTAATCAAATTTACAAAAACTATGAAAATATATAAATGTAAACTAATAATTGGCAAAACCCTGGTCAATCACGATAGGAATAATAAAAAGCAAAAACAGAAGCCACTCTAAATACTCCACAAAAATAAGTCATACGACGTCGTTATCAATACTTGCGTACAAGCAAATACGAACGACTGATTTAATCATTAAACTACAGCCTTATCGAGATGTTGTTGAACAACCTTGAAAATTTCATCCACTGTTCCTTCTGATGGAATCTGCAAATGAGACCTGACACTATACATTTTGCATTTTTGTTAGTTTCCCTTTATTTTATGTGCGAGGAGCTTATGTTAGTACTTGGAGTACTTTTAAATTAACTTTAAAGCTCTTAGCCAATAGTAGTAGAGATGCTTATATTCAAGAAAAAAAAAAAAAAAAAAAACAGTTTAACACAATAATAGTGAATGAGACAAGAAAAAGTTTGCAAGTTTAGTACACCAAGCAAAATGGTTTGCGAAGTTAAGGTATTTGGAAAAACTTAATAAAAATTACTGCTAATGATTCACAAAGAAATATGCTATAATCTCAAACTAATTTTATATACAAGGAATAAAAGTTTCCAAATAATGGATTTTTCAGATGAATGCATATTAGACTTCGGGGTTCAGATTAGAATTTAAATGGACTAAAAGCAGCTTCTAAACAACTCACAATGAAAAAAAAAAGTGAAAATCTTACCTTTATCAACTTTCCCTGCCTTTCATAGTAATCGACAACTGGAGCCGTTGCAGTTATATAGGTATGAAGTCGTTTTTTAATCGTATCAATATTATCATCTACTCGTCCACTGCACCAGTGAAAAAGAAGGAAAGTTATTAAGGAAGTCGAGAGATGATCTTTCCACTGATTCAGAAACTTCCTCTTTACTAAAGAAAAAAGGTAAAAAAAGACCACCTTGTTTCCGCTCTATGCAAGCAACGCTTAACCAAGGTATCTTCACTGACATCGAAAAATAACACCAATTTAGCTGGCTGAATCTGAAATTGATCTTTCAAATTAAAATTTTTAAACATTATGTTATGAACAGAAATAAGTTTTTATCATTGAAAAAGGATACCACTGATATACTTTTGCTAAACATTATAGCAAAATGCCATTGTTTCTTGTCCCTTCTAACATACAATCTTAGATAACTAGAATATTTATATAAACAATAAATTATATCATATAAAAACAACAAAATATCATTTGTCGTTATCCGTAAATTACAATTACAGATGCAACATTTTATACAGAATTTGTCATCTGAGACAACTATATTTCCGTTCGTAAAATGATTTCGTCATTAGTTTTTCAAAAAATTTACTAATTATGAATAGAAACAAGTTTTTATCATTGAAAAAGGATACCACTAACTTCATTTTCGAATTGCTCTCCTTGTTTCACTTCTCGTGGATAACCATCGATTAAGAAACCTTTGGAACCTTTTGCTATCGCTTCAATCATAGCTTCTTTAACCAAATCTAACACTATTTCCTGAAAAAAGCCGAATTAACTACCACACACATTCATAAATAATACTTGGAGAAATTTTTTGCCTATATTTCAATTTCAAAGAAGCGATCAGTCAGTTTGTAAATTATCTATTTTCTCAATTTGTATAAAGTTAAAGAAGGAAGCTAAGAAGAATAATAAATTTGAGAAGTGAAATAATCTCATCAAAATGAAAGGAAAATCACCAATGGAACAAGTTCACCATTTTGCATTAATTTATTGAGCTCCGATCCGCGTGGCGATCCGGATTTCACCTCAGCACGTAACAAGTCACCCGAGCTAAGATGAGTTAAGCCATATTTTGCTACAATTTTATCACACTGGGTTCCTTTGCCAGATCCAGGACCACCTAAAACCAGATGTTTACTTTTATGATAAGTTATAACTCATATCAATAATTACCATTATTTATTTCAAAACAACTGCATGACAAGGGTAATGTTAGTCAATTTACGATTGATATAGCACAGATTTATTTGTTAAAGTAAATTAATTGTATTTAACAAAAATTGTAAAAATGAGCGCTCACCATATTTTTCTCAAATGACTAATTTTTTCCATTTAAAAAGAAATAGTTTTAACTTACCAACGATAAAGAAAATAGGAACATTGGCTTTTTTCAGCGGTGTAAGATCAATGTTTTTACGTTCAATTTTAGCCTGAAATATCAAATAACACAAACAAGAAGTGTAAATATTAAATATAATTTTTTGATCATTCTATTTTGAATTCAAATAAAAAAAAAAAAAAAAAAAAAAAAACAGCAGAATCATCATGAAATATGAAATAACAAATTGTTTATGTGCTGGAGGGAAAGGGAAAGAAAAAAAAAGAAAGAAACCAACCATTTAACTATATGTAGTTTTTGAAAAAAAAAATTTCCACTGGACGAATAGTACAACTGCACCAAACTAAACGTTAAGCTCTAAAGAAAAGCAAAAGAGTTAGAATAATAAGTAAAAGCAGTAGACCAGAGAAATATGATATGAATTAAGCTTCAATTCACTTCACTTCAATTTTCAAACTTTGTACGTTTTGTCTGGTTGTATTAACACCTGCAAAACATTAAGAGGGAAAAGAAGAAAAAGAAGAAATAGCAATATTATTGAGAATGTAAAAACACTTAACATAACATATACTTTAAGTTAGCAATCAAATAAGCTCAGCCATCCTAAAAATTTCAAAATATTCCACATACAAAGGGAAAGAATGAAATAAAAACTTTTCGAAGAAAAATTTAAGAAACAAAAAGTTGTAAAATTGTTGTATTATAGTAATTATAATGATAACAATAATAAAAAAAAACACAATAACAATGCATGCAAATTGCTTACAATTCTAGTAACTATGAAATGTTATTACATCAGCAAACTGATAGGGATGAAAAGCATTTTATAATAAATTTATCATTCATCTTGGTATATACTTCATCGATTCATTCTGTCAAAGCACAGCAAATTAAAATAAAAAGAAAAAAAAGGAAAAACGAAATAATATAAAATGAAAATGTATAGTATAAAGTTTAGGAATTTTCATTATTGCTAATAATTCCAAATATATATATGTGTATTTGGATAGATGAGAATGAAAGGAAAGAGAGGGGAAGAGGGAAAGAGAAGGAGGGAGAGAGAGAGAGGAGGGAAAAAGAAATTTACTACCAAAGTTGAAAATGGAAAAATTGATTCGTTGTAAAAGATGGACGTATAATTTCGGTACAACATGCTATGAACATTATTTTAGATTTGTTATATAGTCAGTTATTCAAGTGAAAAAGAAAAATGGGCCAGCAAGGAGGGCAGCGAGAAAAAATAGGAGAGAGAGAGAGAGAAAGAGAAGATGGAAACGTCCGAGAAATTCTGCACTTATTTTACGTTTATCAATTTCTAAAAAATTAAGTGAAGTGTAAATACTTTCATAAACACAGTGTCTCTTTTTTTGACTTTTTTAAAACATTTTTTTAATCTGATAATTAGTGAATCAGTTCTCTTTGATATATAATAATGCATCAATTACTAATGCTCCGATTGGAATGAAATTAAATTTGAAGTGATTCATATAGATTTACATTTATGATAGCTATTGTGTGCAATTGAAAGGAGAGGAAGATGTAGAGAAATTAACAAAACTACAGTACTATTGCAATCGACAAAATTTCAATTTTAATTTAATTATTTTGAAAACAAAAAAAAGACATGAATACTTTTTAATAGTATACTTATAGCAAGACCGATTATATGTAGAAAAACAAAAATTATTTTATTTATTATCAAGAAAATATGACATATGTATAAACAACCTATCATTTTCCAATAATAAATCGAACATTTCGTTCGATATTCTTATTAAAATTTTTGATAAAATCACGATAAATTAAATCAGCTCCTTTGACTAATGGCATTAATAAATAGGTAGTAATGATAACTTTAATTGACCAATACACTGTCCAATGTTTTAGATAATGATAAAAAAACACATCCAATAATGCTACCCAACCAAAAACAATCCAGTATCTGAATTCATTAAAAAATATGATAACCCTTGAAGAAATGATAAGATAAAAAATCCCACACTATAGAAAATATCAGCAGTTGTAAATTTTCGGATAAAAGAATTCTTCAGCTTAGAAAGCTAAAGGAAATAGAGAAAAAAGATCAAGAAAAGTCCTTTTAATGTTTGAACTATGATATATTTTAGGCTTCCTTAAAACTACGACACTTGCCGATAAAAACTACTATTCAGTTGCCACTAATTTATGATAATAATTAAGCAGATTATTTCTTGATATTCAATTTCATTGAGGAAGTAATCAAAAAGTTATTTTAACAGTTATTAAAAAGAATATCATCCATTAAACTTATGAAGCATCACATGTCTCAATTAGTTACTAACAAAACGTGATTAATCTATTCAACTAAACATATAATTCCTAAATATTTGATCTAATTCTATCAAAGTAAATAATACTACTGGAACTGTTAGCATAAAATAGATTAAAAATAAATAAATAACATAACGGAAGGCTAAATAATAAATAATAATGATAATACTGATACTAATGATAACAATGGTAACAATGATAACAACAACAATAATAATAATGATAATAATGGTAATAATAATAATAATTAATAAATATAATAGAAGGTTTGTTTCCAGAGCAGATATAACTGCACTCTAACATGAATTTCTTAACCAATTAACACTACACTTATCGATAATCCAACAATCATTTATCATGCATATATAATTTATACATTATGTGAGACTGTCTATGATCTTCGATACTTTAAATTAAGATCAAAAGGTTCTTATTCATTTTAAATACATTTAAATGTTTAACAATTAAATAACAAAATGCTAGTGAAGAAAAACTCAATTTACCTAAGCCAACTTCTACATGCATCAAGTCCACGATTTTCAAATGTAATGTGTGTTTTATACATAGGATAACCAACACCCTGAAAAATTAATAAATGAGGAAAATATAACAAAGTTTTCTTTGAAAAGTTTAACCTCGAAAAATCAAAAACATAAACTGAAATTTATAAACAAAGAGAAAAAAATTTTTTACCATAGCATAATACAGAAGTTTTGCCAGGTCTCCACTTAAAATGTATAAAAAATACATGCCGCTTAAAATGTAAAATACAGCCACTCGTGAAATACCTAATTTCTTTTCAAAAAATGTCCAACTGAAATGTATATCATCATGTTTAATGAAAATTTGAGATTAATATATTATCTTCTATAGTTTTTCAGCTCCATGAGTCAATTAGCAAAAATAGAAAATTTTTTAAAAAGTTTTAAAATTATGTGAAAACTCTCTTCATGTTCCGACTTTCCAAAAAAAAAAAAAACAACTGTAGTCAAATCAAGTTTATTAATGTCAAGCAAGATTATAAGAACGAAATAGAGTTAAAACACAAATAACAAAATCCTACTGCAGCTGTAGAAGCATTAAAATAAAACACCTCTTCAAAAAAGAAAAAATGTTTAAATCCTATAGCGAAGCATACGATTACCATTGATTGCACCGCCCATTATCATTATCATAGAGATAATTGATCACAATCGTATGAATATTCTGAGGTGTTAAATCCCACCAATATTCTACCAAAGTATTATTTGATTTGCGTACAGACATCATACTTTTCATTCCGAAAACTAGAATTCGAGACATCTCGTTGCAAAAATAACATTATGAATCATGTAATTATCAAATGATAAGTGAAATGATTTAATTTTTTCATGAATTCTAAATATCTGGCCGGATTATTCGGCCATTCAGCACATTAAATCTCCGAATAATGAACAGATTACATAACTAATATGTTTGGTTTATTTTCTACTAGTTTTCAACATATGAGTCAAAATCATTTGTAACTAGCAGACACTGCAATTGAATTATTCCAGTATTTTGAGACATTATGAATAAAAAAGGAAAAAAATAAGCCAAACTATGAGTAAGCCGTATAACTTCTACATTACTTAGCCATTAATTAGTCAGCTCTTAAAGATTAAAAAGCCTGATTTAATGCTCAGTTAACAGGAAAACTATTCTGCTTCATTTCAGTTCGCTTATACCCATTTCTTAATTTTTGATGCTCTAAGACTTATACTGGAATATGAAATGAGATTTTACTTCTCCATTTTTTACAAAAAATAAAAAAAAAAAAAACGACATCTCTTCAATTTCCCAAATGGGAAAAGTGTAGATTTTTCCTCTGGCCAGTAAACAGCCAATATTGAAGCATTAGAAATACGAAACCCTAGCTACTTTAATGTTAAAACAAGATAAAATTTTAATACATGAAAGATCGGAACTGTAGTCGGAAATCACTGTAATTGACTGGTGGCTGCATCGAGGCTAAAAATCAACGATACATTTTTGATAAACATTAGAACTAAGTTATAACTATAATTAAGGTATTTGGAATAAAATAGAGAATAAATAGGTAAGATATTTCAAGATATTTTATAAATTCTGCAATAAACATCCAATGGTGGACATGATAAGATAATAAGGAGAAAATTAAGGCCTTACGTTCAATTTTTTTGTTATAATAACAGAAACTCATCAGCTTATTCAAGCAAGTATAGTAAAAAAGACTTTCGCTACGAAAAGTGAGAAATTATAAGGTAATCAATGAAGTATTTTAAAAAAAAGTTCTGAAATGGTAGTATTTTGTATTTTTGAAAGCATATTAGGAAACATTAACTTAACTCATTCCTATACAGTAAATAAATTAATATCAAGAAATGCAATCGTAAGGATAATTGGATTTTAAGAAAAGAAAAAGTTCAAATTAGACGAAGAAAGAAGCGAAATTTACACTGATAAAGCTGTTAGATGTTGCACACTCTAGCATTGTATCCGGTGATTGTGATCGTTTGTAGGAACTAACAGCAGATGATGATTTGCTTGCATCACCTGCTGTTATCAATTTTTCGTTTGCAATATTTTTATCCATATCAACAGCTGTTTTTAGTATCGTATCGGAATCAGAAGATGGAAATTTCTGATTACGTTGACAATTACCGGATGTTTTATCAGGATGATAAAGGAAATCAGGATTCCCTTTATTATTTGTAGCTGATCCCTTTTCTGGTAACCCTTCATGTAGACCAGCACATTTTTTAACGAATAACTTCTGAAAAATTATATTACCTAAAACATTCTGGATAAATACCATATTAAACAATACAATTTATTAGTAACAATAAGGAATTAAATCACGAATTAAAACAGTAAAGATCATTATATTTATGGCACTGCTATCATACAAAACAAAGCTATGCTTCCTGTATGAATAATTTTTTGCAAGAATTTCAAAAATAAATCTCTTAGGATTTCACCATAGCAACAAAGTTATATCATTAATTTAATTCTATATTGCTTCCTATTAATCAAAAAACACCTTCAACATCTCCATTGCTCAATTTTTACCTCACTACAAATGCAACCACTAATAATCAAATAAATGTAATGAACCAATTAATGATACAAACTTTTCAACTATAAATTTGCATAACAGTAAAACAAATGGTCCCACACACTTTATTATCCAATTAGTTAGCATAAGATTAAGAAAGAAAGAGCAGTAAAGACTCATTATCTATATTTTCACAAAGCAGTAGTTGTTTCTATTTTTATTATCCATAAGCATTTAGCTAGATCATCGTTAATATATAGAGAATAACGTTATCATATCATTTATTTTTTGTAAGCTAAGTTTAACAAATCGTTAAGTATGGTTGTGATATTTGTTTAACATTGTTTAATCACTCCTACTTTTATATCACTGAATACTGTTTACAATTAAATCTAGTTATTACATAAATAACAAAATGACAGTAAGACATTAAAAAAGTAGCAACAACTATAACAATAAAGGAAAAGTTCTCTCGAATTTCTGAAATGTTATCGCTAAGTTTTCTGCACTTTACCTTTTATAAAAAACACTTCAAATTATATTGAGATAATGAATATTGATGTTCATTGAAATGTACACATAGTAATGTCAAAATATGCCAATAATTATGCACTCACATAGAGCGATACTTAAAAAAGCTGAAAAGTTTAATTATAACAAACTAAGGACTACAAAAGACAGTAAATTAGCTAATTCTAGTGAAATGATGAATTTATATCCTCAAAGAACGAATTTTGTCATCAATAGAAAAAAAAAAATAGAAACTTTATTATTGCGTTGAAAGAAGGAACTAAAGATTATAAAAGTAAACTTTTTAGTAAAAATGATATCTGTAATCGTGTGCGTCAAAAAAAAAAGTATCTGCAATTCCAACTGGTTCACTGCATATTGGTCATGAAAGGGATGCAATGTTTAGTGATGTTGTAACAAATTTACTGAAAAAAGTTTGTTATAGGGTCATTAATGAGTATTACATTAATCATCAATGCGTTTGCGACATAAAGAAGCCCTAGGAGAAAAAACTAGTACTGAAAAAGGCTTGTATCTCGTGAATTTAAGTTTCCTAATTTGTACAAGAGAACTGCTCACCGCTGCACACAATAATACAAAAAGTGCAATTGCTCAGAATAAGTCTTTTGAATTACTACCTGATATATTTGAATATAGAAGTAGATTATGTTTTTTAAAGTTTCAGTGAAAGGGTATAGTGCTGTTGGTAGCATAAAGGACTATGAATGTTCGGAATTACTAATATTGCAGTGTAATCAGTTTTCATTTGTTAATAAACTATTTATGATTTGCATAATACAGTTAAAAAATAGCTTCATATATCAAATTCAAATGCAGTTTGTATCACGAAAATTAAACTTCGTATTTCGCAATATTTTCGTAGTATTCGGTACGTTGAGCTACTTTTCGATTAGCCATTTCAGCTATTCGATCTTCAAAACCATTTGAACGATTCACTCCATCCCATCGATAACCTGGTGCAATGTTGAAACGATTTGGTGGCCAACTTCCCTTGTATTTGGGATATGCTAAAAAAAAAAAAAAAAAAAAAGACAACGACAATGATAACATTCTCGAAAATTCAAATGGTTTCGAATAAACTACCAAGCGACAAATAAATTTTGGCATACAAGTCTAAAATCTTACAATACAGAAATAAAGTAGCATTCGAAATCGGAACAAAAATCTTAACTAAGAATTAAAAATGAAAAATAATAATCTCTATATACAAATGCTTTCCAAAAAAAAAAAATTTTACGATGTATAATTCTTACCAGTCCCAGTCCTTATTTCAGCATTTTCCTTCTTCTTTTTCACATATTTATACATAGGATCTTTTTCGTGCAGTTGCTAAAAATACTTCCGTTATTCAAAATTTCACATATTACTTCGGGTTCTTGATTAGTGTTGAATTCTATTTCTTCATTTTTTTCTCCTAATTACTTAGGGATGAATACATATGGTGACGCTGTAAAGGTGAAAACTTCCAGCATACAAAAGTTAAGCACTATTATCACCAAATTATGTAAGAAACGAAAAAGTTGAAGTATTCATCTCATTTCACATTTCATTACTTTCATTACCTATAAAAATCTTATTTCACATTTCATTATTTTCATTACCTATAAAAAAGAATAAAACATTCTATTCTCATATCGAATAATTTTGAAAAAAGGAAATCGCACAGTTCAAGTTAATTCAAAGTTATGAAAACATCTGTTCATCATCAAAAATACCTTTTTCAAGTGTTCATTCATTGCTTCATCATCAACACAGCGCGCAAAATCTTCTTGCGCTACCCGAGCCATTTCATTCAATTTTTTGGTCCGCTAAACAAAACTTCTCAAAGTCAGAAAAGAAGTGAATTCAATTAAGCTTCACAGTATTTAAAGTTATATTCAAATATGATGGTACTGAAGGAAAAAACAATATATGTAAAGTAAACCTCTTCTAATTGCCGCAAACCCCTGTTCCAATTTTTATATTTCTTCTCTAATTCTTGTTGCTTTTTAGCTTCACGTTCCTTTCTTTCACGATCTTCTCTTGTTTCACGTCCTTTACCAGTTAATTTGGTACGACGAACAGCTGCCACATCTTTACCACTCGTGTATCCTTTCCAATTTTCGAGCAACTTCAAGTTTGGAGTTTTAATGGGAAATACGAGTTTAAATTTCTATCAAATTTTTAACAATAAATAGAAAAATAAAATAGAAATGAAAGAAAAAAAAAAAAAAAAACTAGTATAACTAAATGAGCACCAGTTGACAGTATTTTTGGACATTACTGAACTTTAACTAAAACATCTGTTAAAAACATTTGTCACTAAATTTCAATTAAAACAGAAATTAAAAAAAAAATTTCAATGAATAGACTCAATGTTCTTACTTTCGTTTCATTTTCTCGAATTCGTTTCATTTCTTCTCGATGCATTTCCAGTGTTTTAAGACCAGCGCTTTTCCCAGTCACCGGTTTAGCATCACTCTCATTTGATCGATCTCGTTTACTATGATGTGATGACCTACCATCAGGAGAATCTCTTCGTCCTAGATATTCTGCGAAGTGTTATCATATCCGGTGTAATAGAAATTACTCACCTACGCTTAATTTATTCCTGCATAAATATATTAACAGCTAGATTGTAAAACCAAATTTCTAGTCGAACAAGATCAGACTACTAAGTAATTTAAAAGTGTAAACTGTAAATTTTTGGACCACTTTAAAAACAGGTAAAATACAAAATCGAACGAAAAAATGTATCTTTTTAATGACTGCTGAGTAAATAACTAAGTAAAAATATTACGAGCACTAAAACTAAGACATTTAGTCCTGGGGTTTCAAGACTATTTTCTCGATAGTAGTAATAAACCTCATGCTAATTAGATAATGTGAATAGATAAATCTAGCGTAGCAACAATTATGTCGAAATCTGATGAAATAATTTCATATAAGGACAGGGAATTCTATCAACAGATATCGAGAATGTCTGACAAAATATTCAGCATGAATTATGACTCAATACTTACTTTCATGACTTCTGTGTAATCTACTAGAACTTTCGTCTTCTTCTCTTCCACAATGCTTTCGCCTTGCATCAGAATCCCAGCTACTTCTTCTACGTTGATAAGAGTCGATATCATCAGTTTGCCTCCGTTTTTGATGCCCATAATTTCTCAGTTCTTTTCCACGATTTGAAATCCTAACACAATCATCGTATTTACGTGGTGGAGAAGGATCTGAGTCAGAATTATTTGTTGGCTTTCTGCGTCTTGGAGGTGAAGCGTCCGAATCAGAATTTTGTTTCGTACAATTTTTTGACCTTCTTCTTGGTGGTGAAAAATCTGAGTCAACTGGCTCATCTTTTATTCTGACAGGCAAAACATCTAATTTAAGATTGTCTGTTGCTGTCTTTCGTTTCGAATATGATTGATTTCTATTGTTTTCAGGTCTTGCAGAATTTGTTGATCTTCTTGGTGGAGAAGCATCTGAATCGAGTGGTTCATCCTTTATCCTAAGAATTGGTAAGGAAACATCTGAATCAGCACTAGAATGTTGTACTAATTTTTGACCAGTAGAATGATCCTTATTCCTGACTGAAATACTTTCCCCCAATTCTGAACTGGTAGTCGGAAGAGGCATCTCATCTGGGATAACTGAAAAGATTCATTATTGGAGAAATATTTGACCTGCTAAATATTTAAAAAAAAGGAAAAAAATCAGTTAGCACCAGCTTTACGAGTTCATCAACGTTTCTGATGATCGAAATAGGAAACCAGGCTAAACAGACTAAACATCACGATCAGATAAAGTGAACATAGTGATACTATGGATACTATTTTTTTTCTTTTTTTTGGAGACTTACGTACAGGTGAATCCATAACTGCATCTGAAACTTTTATTACACAGTTTCATTATACTATAAAAAGAAATTACAAGAAATATTATTACAAAGACTAGCAAAAACAAACCATTTTCATCCGATGAAGAATCATGTCGTTTATGAGGTGCGTTTGTTTCTACTGCAAAAATTTGAAAATTGGTTCCAAAACGGAGCACAATGAAAAATATGAATAAAATAAAGACTGGATAACTTTTCTGGATTGGTAGGGAAAGAAATTAAACAATTATCCTAAATGAATGAAAATGAGTAAGGAACAATGAAAATGCCTAGAGAAATCTAAAGAATTACTTCTGAGCTCGACAGCTTCAAATGCTGCAGGCTTGAACTTCGGCACTGAGTGTAGCTTTTTCATCTTTTCCAATATTTCAATCTCAAAATAAAAAAATTAAAGAAAAGCAAATTTGATAAATAAAATTATCTTAAGGTGATTTCACTGCAACATGAAGGTGGGGAGGGAAGGGGGAAGGAGTTTATATTTTTTGCTTTTCTAAAAAACTAACGATTCATGATATATGAATCATTCAAGACTATAGAAGAATTTTTAAGTCATTAAAACTGCAATTTATACGTAGAAGATAGTCGCTCGAGTTTTAAACAGTTCGAAAATAAACATCTGCATTTGGAAATATTTCAAAAAGCTAAATGCTACATCAACAAAAAAATAAAATAAAAACGCTATTTCCACGTTAATTTGTACATTCAAACTAACATCTTTTCCACTATCATCATCTGAAGAAGTCTGCACGGCACATTGTGCAACATCAGCAAAAGCATCGTTTTCATGAATTTTCAATCTGAAAACAATTTTTCTACAAATGTTTGTAGAATGAAGCATACCTTTTTTAGTATATGAAACTAAAACGTTTAATTAAATCGAAGGATTATAAAACGATAAACATAATCCGTTTATGAACTAGCGAACAACAGGATTGAACTTTTCTACCATATGGAAATCTAACATATGAACGGTAAAATTTTTCTTTTGACCCAAACGTCGGTCAAATCTCCTTTTGTTTTTTACGTTTTCCTTCATCTAGTAGCATAGATGAATATTGTAAAAAATAAAAAATAGAAAACTGAAAAAAAAAAAAACGCAGGAATTACTAATCTAAACATTACAAAATCCCTATTTGAAAGTAGACTATAGCAAACCCAATTCCAATCTTCTTTTTTCTCTTCTTATGTTTTTTCCCGGATTGTTCGTCATCTTTGCTGAGATATTTTTTCAGATATTCTTCTCTTGCTTTCTTTGCAGCGTCATTCATCACCCTTTTCTGAAATTTCCTACTCCATTCGCGAAAATATCATGAAAAAATTTGTATGCATACAGAAAAATACTAAGACCGTTCATAAATCTCGACTTACGAAAAAAGAATAAAAATTGAAAGGTACGTAAAACCTTAAAATTCTTTTCATGAACTTTATACTGATAAAAATTTCATATCAGTCATAAAAGAGAATAGGAAATAAACAAACAATAATAATTTATATCTATTAAAAATCATTTATATGATAACATGACAATTTATGGTTTAATTGAATAGATTATCGTCATTCATAAAGTCTATTTCAGTACCATAATTTATTAATGTCATTTGCAGCTAATTCCATAACTCCAGTAAACAAAGTTAAACCACAGGTTACTCACTTTTTTTTTGTTTGTACTAGTTGTAAGTCTTTAAAATACTTTCATTATTAATAGACTTATTCTTCCTTTTGGATATAGTAAAATGTACTGACATTTAAATTGATTCTTAACTAAAACAACATGTTCATTGGACAGTAACTAACAATGATAAAAGATGCAACGCACAGCAATAACAATCTAGGCAACCCTGACAATTATCTATTTTTCCGAGGAATAATAATATGAAAATATATAGGAACGGCATGAGTGAATAACAAACAATTCTAAACTAATGCCAATATATCATCCTAAAAAGTTTGCAATCACAAGATGTAATATCACATGAGCAAAGATAAAATCAGCAAAAGCACGTTCCGGAGCAATATTAGGAAATAATGGCTTATTTTCCGGATTAACTTGTATTCGAAGTGATGCTGAAAAGAAATTTCCCAATTTAGATGTATTTCAAGATCATTTTAGATCATAAGGGTAATATAAAATTTCAGAAAAATACAATTATACAAGTATAATTTAAAAAATAACAAACTCAGTACACTTATTGAATAGAGAAACAGCCAGGCAAGAAATGGCTTGTATTTATTAATCGGTGCTCGAAAATAAAAATCAAACCTGCCAAAACAAAACAACCAACTGTCGACACAAAACCAGACAGGAACGAGTTGAACGGAAATGTTCCAACGAGGACACAGTAAACAAATCTGCAATTGATCAAAAAATACACTTACGCAGTAAAGTGTAATAAAGTATCGCAAAGATAAAGCAATATGATGTTTCAAAGATAAAACAAACACGCAGAAGTAAAATACGACGTGATGTAACACTCAAAACCAACAAGAGGACTAACAAAAAAGTAAGTTGATGTACTTGCAAAAGCAAATCAGTAAATAAGTCCACACCTGTCACATCTACACTTCACAAATTTTAGACAGAATGTTGAAACTTGAACTTGTATAAAATGAAGCGAAAAGAGGTTATAAATACATGAAAAACGAAGTGCTTACGAAATAAAAGCATTCTCGTGGATGTCAAAGAATATTCACAAACTAAAATACTCGACAAATATGATTTCTTACTCTGTGAAATGAAACAATCGAAACTTGAAGTTAGTATGAGCATTATGTTTAATGGGAAACATAATGAATGGCGGATTTTTACTTTGTGCACAACATCTGCATCTTCCAGTTTCTTCACGTGAAAAATAGTAAGTCATGTTTGTCGAGCACTTACGCTTCTGAATATCCGTTAACCATCAAAGGAATTTTATACACTTCATTTGTCAAGACATTTATAATCACAACCTCTCTTTATATTGTAGTCACATTATCTTTTTTTTTTTTTTATCAAAAAGAATGTGAACACTAGAAATATGCATAATTCCTTGCAAAACAGATGAATGTGATATAAATTGTATTAAAAAGTGTTACGTACTGAATAACACCAGTAATGAAGATGTAGAACATGTAAGCATCGATAAGTTTCAGCTTTTTCGATGTCGTCCGCTGATAATCACCAAACAAATTGGCCAATACGGTGAATAGTCTCATCGTTAATCACTAAAATTAACATAAATTTAAGGGTTATCAAATATTACTTTCTCTAATCTTAGTGAGGAGAAGTAGAGAGAAAAAAAAAAAAGAGTAGAGGAGGAAGGAGGAAGGATACATTAAGGATAAATATGAAATTATTAATGATACTTTTTCGAAGCTTACAGTCTGTTTAAGCTGTAAATTAAGAACAATACACGTCGCACTCTAAACTGTAATATCTCAAATTGGACAATGGTAATTTTCATACAATGCATTTAACCAATCTATTCGGACGGAAATCAAAACAGAAATAGTGTTACGTTTGGAGAGACAGTTAGAGAAGTTGAAAATTTATAAAATGAAAAAAGTAAAATGCCGATTTGATCATGAGTTACACCCTATTACATATACATCCGTCCACTCACGCACGCACCTTGAACGCCCCGCATACCCATCCACGCCTAGAATGTACAATCTCACATCTCGGCGGTATTTCCCGGTTGAACTTGGTGTCATTGTGTGGTATGTGTTAGTATTGCGATGTGGGTCTTTCTCGACTAGTTTGTTGTAAAGTTTTAGGAATTTAATCTCAGGAATTAACAATTAGCAGATTTAATGAGTCGGCATATATCTCTACAGAAAAAAAAAACAATGGAAATGAAATACGCCAAGAGGCGTGTTCACGTCTACTTCTGTTGTAGCATTAAGAAATGATTAAGTGAAAGTGATTAGTAATATAATTTACCATGTGACAAATAAAAACAGATAATAACATTCTCTTTGACAACGAGAAATAAGCGTAGCGGTTTGTTACTGAGGGAAAAGAGAGAATGAGAGAAACAGGTGAAATGGTATAATGCCATGTTTCTATTATTAAAAAACATGTTTCAAATGTTCATTCTGTTACCTTTATCATAATAATAATAAATATGACATGCTATGCAAACTGCCTCAGTTCATGCTTGTTCTCATGAAAATGAAATTTGGACGAGTATTAATTCCAGTTATTCTCGTGAAAAATTAATTCCATGAATTTCAGTTGAAGTTTACTGCCATTATTTGTATAATTGTATTCCGTAGAACCGAAGTAACTCGAGGAGATTTTAAAAATTCATTAATAAAAAATAAAGTAAAGCTTGAATTTACTTTACGTTCCTAGTAATTAATGTCGTATATATAATATCCAGAGAATAAATCATGCTATTAAGCATATTATATTACATTGGATGTGGCATGTAATGACATGGCAGTAAATAAAAAAAATTTTTTTTCAGTTAAATGGTAACAAAAAACGTCTAAGTAATATATTATAATGATGCAACGATATCAGTTAAACTGAAGAATAAAGTGATGAACGATCTACCAAAATTAGTTTTTGTGAATCTTAGTGATGACATGCGCAATGTGATAAGTTAAAAAGAAAAAAAAAAAGCAAAAAATAGTATAATGAAGGAATAATTTTAAAAAAGTAGCGTTTTAACATCCGATCAAGTGAAATAGGTTGAAAAAAATGACATATTGGATATGAATGTTAAATATAATTTGATTAGCAGGGAAATATTTCGTTATAGTTGGTATTGTGTCATTTGAAGTACACGTATAAAAAAGGTAACATGCTGTATTCTTAAAAAAAGCTTTTTATGCTGAATATTTCATTTTACGAATATTCAGCATTCAGCTGAATATTTCATATTCAGTGCTTATTTTAGAATGTGTTAGTTTATCGATCACTTAAGCATTCACCAATTAGAAAACATAATTTGAATCGGTTTAAAAAGGAGTGAAAATTGAGAGAACCATAAGTTCTGTTCTTACCTATTTCTTTCCTTTAATAAAAAATTTAAAATTTGCTTTATATAAAAAATAAAAAAAAAAAATTTAATATTCAATTTAATACTTTAATAAAAAAATTCAATTTATACACTGTAAAAGGAAAAATTTAATATTTTAATAGCAAAAATATCTTATAAATTTACATATAAAACAATAACATAAATTTACAATAGCAAAAACGTATTTATAATCGAAAAGATATAATCAGATTTGTAAAGTAACACAGTCATAACTCTTTTAATGAATAATTTATAAATTTCTCTCAATTTAATCAAGATTTTATCTTTGATAAATTTTAATGGTGATATGTTTGAGGTAACTTTAAATGAATAATTTTGAATGTGAATTAAGTGAGATATTAGCTATAATTTCTCTTTTGACAATTTCTTGCAGTATGCATCACCACTTATCTTTCTCTTACTCGTAATTGTGTATTTGGATAAATTTGACAAGCAAAATAAACGATAATCAAAATTATACATTTTAAAATGCGTATCATAACTGAGAATTTTTTTTTTCGTTATTCATGCTCTTGTATTCCATTCCATTCACATGTATTTGGTATAAATTATTGGGAAAAATTCTGCTAAACTGTTAATTCCAACTAGTTTCAATCATAAAATTAAGAAATGAATCCTTAAAAAATAAATATTTTGAAATTTATGTCGTTATTCCATTCCATGAAATAACAAGTCACGCAAACATTAAAACGTGCTACGTGTCATTTGATTACATTGCATCAAATGGCTTAACCACGTACTATATTTTTCGTTTTCTATCATATAACACATAATTAATCCGATTGTAACGACCGTTTTTTCCTTCCTTTTTTTTGCATTACTAATGAATGGCAATCAAATGATAAAAATCAATCGGAAATATCACAGTCATTTCAGTTGATTTTATATTTGGATAATTAGCTGGAAATTTTATAAGTTTTCTTTGCGGTATACAAATGTTACAGTATCAGCTTTAATGAATTGGTAAAATTATCATTTGATAAGTAATATTATATATGAAAAGAGTGAACAGGAAAAAATTAATTCACAATAATATCAAATTGTTGCTTCCAATTCATTTATCTGTAAGTCCAATTACAGAAATAATTCCCCATCGCTCAGTTATCATTTTTTGACAACCATCCCTGACAACGATCGTTAATTTAATATTTACGTAATTCATCAAAATAATGTCTTCCTATCACCAATACAGATAATTTCTCAAAAACACGATGCTGTCATTATTGTTTATTTATCATCGCGAAAATATCATTTCCTTTATATTTAGCATCATATCGCCATCGAGAAGCAATCGTAAACTATTCGTTCTTCATAGATAAAAAGATTTGCAGGAAAGAACAGTGCAGCAATTCCAAATGTACGGATTTATTGCACCAAATTATGCCTGATCGAAAGACACGTGAACATATATTACAATAGTTAAAAGATGACGAACTGGCACAAATATCGAAGTTTGTTTTTAATTTGCTTTTATCCATTCAGCTTAGCTCCACACATTTGACTAAGTCGTAAGGCCTATTGAAAGAGCTAAAATAACAAATCACTATGCCGAATCAGTGAATAGCTTCTTGAATAAGATTTTACTTAAGAAAAAAATGAAATGAATGAATCCACTATTATCTTATTTTACTGCCACGCACGCATATACATCAATAATTTCAACATTCGTTGCTGTTGACAGTCACACATGGCGATCGACGACAATTTTTACGCATATATCTGAATTAACGGATTTGTCGGACCAGAAGCAGGGTGAAAATAGTGTCATGTTTTGAGAGAGAATGAGAGAAGTTGAGGATTTATGAAATGAAAAAAATAAGGTGTCAATTTGATCACATAAATAAGGAATATTACACACACAGAGATACGTGCACATACATACGCGCCACCCCCACCTATCTATCTATCCACGTGCACACTTCGGTCCACGTCAGTATTTTGTCTCGTCCCGACGGCACTTTCTTAATGGAGGTCATTGTTAGTGGAAGTGTCAGACGTTGACGGGGGTGTGTTGGTAAGTCTGCAAATCTTGCTATTTGCATGTTTTGCAAATTGTGCAGGCTGCTGAGTGTGTGGTAAATTTAGAAATGAAAAGGTTGAAGCTGCAAGTTGCAAATTCTGTTTTTAGCGAGTTTCTAGAAATTTGAACTTTTTGCAAATAATTATTATCGATGTACATTTTTCTTCTTTTCTTTTTTGCAAACAAGATGAGGAAAATTGACAAGTAATTGATTTTTTATGTGTGTTTTGGCGAATAGAAGATTGTTACGGTTTTTTTTTTTTTTTTTCTTACGTTTTTCAGATTTGGGAATTGATTCGAGGAATATTACAATGAATATAGCTATTGTAGTTCAGCTTATCTTGTTTCATATTGTTGTTTTACGTTCAAGTCATCATGACCATAGCCATAATGTCGAAACACCACATTTCAAATACAGTCGTGAAGCTAATGAAGTACTTTTTTCTTGAATTTTGAAGACTCCAATTAATTTAATATTTTGACTTATTTTTGCTTTGTATTCGATCCTTTAACATTTCATCAACGTATGAATGCATTCCGTAAAGCTAGAAGTAATTATATATATAAACATTGAGATAAAATTAGATAAAAATTTCACTTATAGTATTTTTCAGCAGTCAGTCCATGAGAATCATAGGTATTCCCACCATCATGATCATAATAATCATCATCATCACCATGATCAGCAAAGTCATCATCATGAACATTCGGAAAGTCATCGCAGTGCTCGTGACAAATATTTTCATGAGAAAGAACATCATCATGCACATCTCACCGGAGTTGGTATCTTGTCGTCTCTAACTATCTTGCCTCGTTTTAGAATCCGGATCTGAATTTGCATACTCTGAGTTGAATTATACGGTATGTAATGGAGGATCATAAACATGTCATCATCCATTCGTGATAAAAAAAGTTTTATCTGAATTTGAGAACAACATTTCTTCTACAAGATTATAAAGTGAAGTGATTTTTATTAATGTTTCGATATTTCCTATTTAGTTCCGGATTTTTATTTAAACTAACATTTTTCAAGGAGAGCGATCGTCATCATCAAAAGTATAGCAAAACAAGTCAGAAAAATTATAAGCCTTACGATCCAAATGGGTAAGTATTTCTGTATTAGTTCCAATTATCACTAAGTTTTAATCATATCGACTTTTTGCAGCTAAAGACGTAAAATGTTATGAGATAAAAGATAGGCTGATTTTCAAATAATGATTTTTTTTTATAGCATTATTAGCTATAATTTTGGTGCAGTATTATTTATGACTTCAAAACTTTCTTAAAATTAAAAAACTCTTTTGTTTGGCTTTGCTGACTATTTTTAAATCAAGTTTTAAATGTTGAGCGTATTTCAAAGAACATTTATGTTGATTAAATCGATTTCCATCATTTCTAGGATTCTATCTTTCATGAATGATTTTCGAACACGTCTTTGGGTGTACAGTATTGGATCAACATTGCTAATCAGCTTTATGCCATTCGTTTTCTTATCGCTTATACCGTTAAAGGTAAAAGATTATTGCATATTGGTTTTATAAAATAAAATAAGTTATGTATTTATTGCTTACAGAAAGCATCCTCATTTACGGGATCATCAGACTTTCCCAAAAGTTTAAGTAGCTTATGAAAATTTAAAATTATTTGTGCTTATAGATCCATATGCTAACAATTCAAACGGTTTCAGGCGAACACTGCAGAAAATGAATCAATGCTGAAAATCCTTTTGAGTTTTGGTTCTGGTGGTTTATTGGGTGATGCATTCCTTCATTTGATTCCACATGCACAACCTTCTCATCATAATGGTCAAAGTTCGCATTCGGATTCGTACGCACATGATGATTTCCGACATTCACATGAGCCGCATGACATGACTGTTGGAAGTTATGTACTAGCTGGTATGGATCATTTTTCTCAGAATTTATTTTTTTCTCATATTTTATGTTTTCATCATAAAATTCAATTTGAAAAGTTCTGATGATGTTGTTGTAGTGCAAGAGATCACTCAAGAAACTTCTCTTACGTTCATGTTTTAACTTGCGGTATAAAAAGATGGTGCTGAATCAAATTTAAACTTACAAAGAAAATCGTGATTTTCAGGAATATTAACATTTCTGACAGTTGAGAAGCTTGTACGTATTCTACGAAGTGAGTACATAATTCATTCTCATTCACATGGAAATGGTTCATCATCTTCAGATGATCAAAAGAAGATTGGGAAGCAGCATAAGGCTGACCGAGTTAGTAAGGAAAAGAAATCGTATGTTTCATCAACAGAAGAAGCAAGTCATATTTGCATAACATTTTTTAATACTTTATTCCATTGAATATTGGAATTATCATAGCAACAAAAATTTTGTCATTTTGAAAAAAGTTTACGATATAACTGTCTGACTTATTCTGTTGTTTCATTGGTTGTCAAGGATTGTTGAAAAGCTTTCATATAATTTCAGTTTTTTGATTAATTAGCAGTAACGATCAACATATTGTAGAGTTTGCATAGCTGTTCCGATGACGAGCACAAACATCTGATAGAAAAAACAAGCGATGTAACGGGATTCAAAGTAGCAGCATATTTAAACATGGTTGCAGATTTTGCGCATAATTTCACTGATGGTTTAGCAATTGGTGCGTCATTTTATGCTGGCACAACAATTGGTGTTGTAACAATGATTACTGTGCTCGTACATGAGATACCGCACGAAGTTGGCGATTTTGCGATCCTTATCCAGTCTGGTTTCTCCAAGAAAAAGATTAGCAATTTTTTTTTCTTTGTAATAATTATATTCGCTGGAACATAATTCTGAATTCAAATTTTTATTGCGATACAGGACGTAGAAGTATTACTTTCTTATTACTTTTTAGTTCTACGAAGTTATTCAACTAATTACTGTATTGCTTATTGCCCGGTATTTCACACTATCAAATAAAGTTTTTCCTTTATTTTTTGATTGTTACAGGCTATGTCTGTTCAACTTTTGACAGCTCTGGGTGCTCTTACTGGTTGCGTTTTGTCGTTATGTTCAACAAATGCTGATGAATTATCCGATACAGCTTCATCAAGTTGGGTGGGTAATTGGTTTTAGCATTCAGCATTTCATTATTTCCTAAAAATTTAGTGAAACCTTTGTGATTCCACAATAGTAAATAACTGGAGAATTAAATAAAAGAGAATAGACAATGATATATTGCCTTTCAGTCGTATGTTTAGCAGTGAGTACGTGACATTACATTAAGCATCTGAATTGTTCTTTTGGTTCTTGTTTATAAGATGGTCAGAGAGCGGATTAGAATGACATCTCTTATTTGATAGTCGAAATTTTCTTTGATAACCCAAATTCTATCATTCATGAATTAACCTTGAGAAAAATTTTAATTTAGCTGGTGAATCCTCTTTTTGCTTAAATTGTATTATCTCTTTTGCTTTCAGATATTGCCTTTCACTGCCGGTGGATTTATCTATATTGCCACAGTAACAGTTATACCAGAACTGCTTGAAAATACTTCTGTTTGGCAAAGCATCAAGGAAGTAGTAGCCTTGTTAACTGGAATAGCGCTCATGTTTCTCATTGCTGCATATGAATGAAATGGTAAATAAAATTAATACTAATAATGATTACTGTTTGGAAAATAATATACGTATTATAATTTAATGCTCGTTCTTAAAAACTTAATTAAGTCGTATGTCTTTTTCCTTCGTATTATTCAAGTTTTTTTTTTTTTAATTGTTAACAAATATACTTTTTTATTTAAAATCTGGTATGTTGCCATGTTGCTTTTTTTACGCATTCTTTTTTTTTTTTTTTTTTTTGGTGAAGGTTACTGATATTTGTGTTAGGTAGGAAATGCTTTTTAGGATTCATCACAATTTTACTAGTGTTGGATATAAAATGGAAATGATTATTTGTCTATAACCTAAATGTTGTCTATAACCACTTGCAGTGCATTGTTTATAATTTAAATGTTTTTTGTTTAGTTTTAAATTGGATTAATAGTTAAAAGTTTGTAATGAACTTCGATTATTCAAAATATTAAATATGATGTTGAATAAATGGTTTAAAATTACTACATGATGCTTAATTTGAAGCTGTTCAAAATGGTTACTCGTAGTAGCCGTTACATATCAGATTCGATGCTTCAGTGTTTTGTAATATTTTGCGGTAGGATTTATACTAAAAAATCGCCGAGAAATATGAGTTATATTCAATTATTAAATTTGGATACTTGTAAGAATAATATGGACTGGTTGTTTAAGTATGTTTTGTATTATTCTTAATCGTATTATTATTCAGTTGTTGACGTTTCAAATATAGACAATGTTAGATTTAGAGTGCATAAATCAGGGATGGATGCTTTTTTGAACCGGTCAGAAAAGCAAGATCAAGCTTTAACGACATCAATGGAAATTCCTTGGGTTGAGAAGTAGTATGTTTCAAATATTCAAATTATCATATTGTTGAATATCTTAGTAATTCAAACGTATTATATTCATTATAAGTCTGATTAATTCTTTTTTATTTTCTTTGTCATATTTCCACTTATTTATGTAACTGGTTGAGTTTTTGAACTTAGGCAATTTGCTTATTTCAGTCGTCCACGGAAGGTTGAGGAAGTAGCTTTTCAAAATGAAGTTGTATCAGTGCTGAAAAAAGTACTGCAGGGAGCTGATGTAAGACTTTTTTTACAATTTACAAAATATTACAATTCATTTAGCTCAAATTCTCTTATTAGTGTTATGAAGTACAAATTGTTAAAGTATCATAACAATAACAATATTTTTCTTAAATTAGGAAGACAGCCAAAATAACTCATGAAAATTTTGATAAAACTTTTATGATATACAGCGTATCATTATAATAAAATTTTATGCAAATGTACATACAGTTATTATTTCATATTTTCAGTTACCAAATTTGTTGTTCTATGGACCGCCAGGAACAGGTAAGACATCGGCAGCTATTGCATTATGTCGACAGTTATTTCGTAATACCGATACATATCGTGATAGAGTTATGGAAATGAACGCATCCGATGAACGAGGCATTAATATTGTTCGCAATAAAGTTTGTTTTGCTTTATTTTATTGTTTTCGATTTTTGTTAGGCTACTTTTTCAGTGTCATATAAATATAATTTTGAGTTTTTTAAGCACAATTCATTTTGCAGACACAAGATGATATAATTTTTCATCCGTTATGTTAAGTCACACTTTTATGAATGCTCTTATTTCACATCATCTGTAGCACTAAATTGCGTTTCACTGAATAATGATTGTTGCATAAATTTATTCTCACTTTCTTTTTCTAGATCAAAGAATTTGCTCGACGAGCTGTTTCATCACACTTACCAGATGGAAGTCCTGTTGTGGGATTAAAGGTTTATACTATTTTTTAACAATTTTTTATTTTTTAATTTCAAAGCTATCATATTATATTATTCATGATCCGAACATTTTAAAAAAAGTGAAACTCTGTCCGAGCATCTGTTTATTATGAAGCTTTCATTGTTTTAGCTTAGTCAATTGTAAAGGGAAGAACTCCATTTAGCATCATTCAACCTTCAATTTTAGCAATTCACCTACTTGACGAGTCTGATATGATTTATTGCGTAGCCTTACACATTTCTTTCACTCTTTCAGCAACATGATAAATGTATGGAAAAGTTATCTAGAATGCTTTGAATTCCTCCCTTTTTTTTTAACTTTTTCAGTTAGTTGAAACTTAAATTTATAAACGTTTAATGGATATTTTGATTAGGTAATTATCCTGGATGAAGCAGATGCAATGACCACCCCTGCTCAAGCAGCTTTAAGACGGACAATGGAACGGGAATCACGCACTACTCGTTTTTTTCTCATTTGTAATTACATCACTAGAATAATAGATCCGCTCACTTCTCGCTGTGCCAAATTTCGTTTCAAATCAATTTCATCGGAAAGTCAGGAAAAAAGGTTGCTAGGATTTTTTTCTTTTTCCTGTTTTCTGTTTCATAAAAATATTTTTTACTGTCTAACATATTCATACTGTTTTATGTTCACTAATGGTAATTGACACAGTGCGTCGAAATATTTTAAATCTGAAACGAATTTAATTGAACTTGCCTGCTGTTGACCTTTCAGTAAATGTTTTTTAATTTTATTTAATTTTTATATAATTAATTCTACATTATGATATTATTATGAATTTAATAGGGAAGTTTTGGGAGGCAATATATTGTAACGTGATTTAGTTCAAAATAAAGTAAATTAAGAATATATTGCTAAAAATATTGTAGACTTAAATGGATTTGCCAAAATGAGAATATTGAATTTGATCCACTAGCAATCAGTGAATTAATCGAATTATGTGATGGTGATATGCGAAAAAGTGTCACAGCATTACAGGTAAAATGCTGATTTTACTGGCAACAATTAATAGTATGCATTGTTTATTGGTATCCAACTTTTAAAATTACACCGGTTTGAATGAATCTCAATAGACAGTCGTCTTTTCTTAGAAGGGGAGGCAAATAAAATTTTAAAGTGGAAAAAGACTATTTCAAAAGAATGTATCGCTTACAGTGGGATTTTTTGATGTAAATTTGATTAGTTTTTGAAAAAATTCTGATTTTTAAAATTTGAATATTGCAGACAATATCATCATGTCATAAAAAATTAATTCCCGCTGATGTGCGACAATTTCTTGGAGCTGTACCGGATGATGTGGTGCAGCAATTCGTAGCTTCATGCAGATCTCGTAATCATAATCAATTGTATGCATGCATAGAAAATATCAGACGAGAAGGGTATGGGGTTTATCAGTTGCTGAAACAATTTTTCCACATATGCTTACGTCTCGAGGATCTTAGTGATTTGAACAAAGCTGCAATATGCGAAAAAATTGGATTAAGTTTTATTTTCTTATTTCTTTCTTTTTTCACTAATCACTTTACTTTTTTTTCTTATTTCTTTCTTTTTGCCATGGAAATGACAGTAGTTAGTGTATTGTCTAAAGAAGGCAAAAAATCTAACAATTTAATGAAACTTTTTGCAATCAAATGAATCACTTACAAAATTATTGCTATATCATCCTTTCAGACATAACTGGTCACTATGTTTAACTTTAATGAGTTTATTTTAAAAAAATTCTTTTTTCTTACCAACTGTCAAAAAATTCCATTCAATCTACCTATTCATTTATCAGCTTATTAGTTAATGTTTCACAAGTCACATACTATAATATCTTATTCAGGAGTGTGAAATGCGTATTCTCGATGGTGCAAATGAGTTCCTACAATTGCTTGATTTTGGGACGGTTGTGATGGAACAATTCAAAACTTCACTTTAAAATTTTTTGATATCTTTCGCTACATGATCTCATGAATTATTCGCTTTAAGTGAAGGAAAATATGAGTGAATTATGTATCAAATTTATACAATGCCTTATACATTTGCTCTCTTCTTTTGCATTTATTTCAGCATTTTTTTCTCAAAATTTTTGATATTAGCCAAAAAAGCATGAAATATAATTATTTTAAAGATTCTTTACTACACTGCTGTTACCATACCAAAAGAAAAAAAAAAGACAACTAAGAATCAGTTTTTACTTCTTTAGTTCAAAGTTTTATTAAATTTTAACATTGTGGTATGTTATAATGCATTTTTTTTTTTTTTTATAAATTTATTATAGATATATTAGTTATGTACACGTTGTTTGACATTACGAAACAAATGATGAATTAACGTTTGAAGAGAATATAAAGCATTGTTTAACTTTTTTTTTTTTTTTCATTTTTCCCGCTTTGTATTTACTGAATTGAAATTAAAGAGTTTTTTCCATCATTCTGATTAAAGACTCAAAGATATATCCTCTATCATTTCATCAGTGTGAGAGATATTAAAAATTATAGCTTTTTTTGTTTGCTTAAAATACAATTTTTATGGATTAATTTTCACGACAAATAATTTATTTCAAATAATAATTATCCATTTTCATTTCAAAAAATAGCTGTTCCAGGAATTTAATTGAAATTTATGTAGAACCTGATGGGATTATTCGCTGCTCTGTAGCAACCATTGCATCTTCCACACTGAAATTATTTGAAATACTCTCGAAGACGATAGTATGATTTTCAGAGATTTTGGTGAATTATTAAGGACATAAATCAAGGAGATAGAATATTCTTGGATTGCATAACTGCTTATTTCTTCTAATTAAGTTTAGCAATTTCAGATGGGCTGAAAAGATTATTGTAATGGTATGTTTGAGTGCTATTTGTATATTTCAGAAAAAAAAAAAAAATTAAATTTCATCTTTCAAATTTAGGATGTAAGAATAGGAAAGAAAAAACCTTGTTAAGACAGATGTTGGGAAAATCATGCCATCAATACTGTCACCACTGGGACTCTTTGGAGTGCTACATAGATCGGTTGATGACCGTCCACTATTGCTATTATGGCTAATTCGATTCTTCTTACTACCCTGATATTTCTTTTGACGTGCTCTTGAATTCTACAATTTCAAAAATCATTTATGTAGCTTTAATGGGATAGGATGATAACAGTGCAGAAAACAACCAAACAAACGAAAAACAAAACAAAGAGAAGAAA